TGCAGCTGCTGCCTCTGTCCCTGATCTGCCTGTATGGCTGACATCATCAGAGTGCTGATCTGAGCCAATCACATTGCTTTCCCATAGGAGTGGCTGAGACTGTCAAGGAGGCAGATCAGGGGCAGAGCCAGCATGATTCAAACACAGCCCTGGCCAATCAGCATCTCCTCATAGAGATACATTAAATCAATGCATCTCTATGAGGAAAGTTTAGTGTCTGCATGCAGAGGGAGGAGACACTGAATGTCAGTCACACTGTGCAGCACTGCCCCAGGAAGCACCTCTAGCAGCCATTTGAGGAGTGGCCAGTGAAGTTATCACTAGGCTGTAAGTAAACACTGCATTTTCTCTGAAAAGACAGTGTTTGCTGCAAAAAGGAAGATCCAAGATGTTTTAAAACTACAGTTTCCATGATGCTTTGTTCTAAAAAAAATGCAAAGCATCATGGGAGTTGTAGTTATACAACATCTGGGGAGCTATGTTTTGGGCACCCCTGCTCTAGAACAATGCACCAAATATTGATATATTAAAATTTGACAAATATCACAATGTGATAGTGATAGGAAGTACTTACATGTACAGAAAAAGCGGTTCCAGTGGGAATGAGTCATTATTAAAAGTAAGTAATATAACGTGAACATTGAACTCATCGATCGACTCTATATTAAACTCTTATTTACAGAGCAGGGATAATATTCTTATTATTAATTAGTAAATATGTGTAACCGTGTGTGCCTGTATATGTATGTGTGTGTCCAGCTGTGTGGGAATTGTGTTGTAGGATAGCTGTACGTTAATGTATATCAGTGTATAATACAGTCTGTGTGTGTGGCAGTGTGTAATACAGAATAGGTCTGTAATACAGAGTGTGTGTAATATAGAGTATGTGTGTAATGCAGACTATGTGTGGCAGTGTGTAATACAGAATAGGTCTGTAATACAGAGTGTGTGTAATATAGAGTATGTGTGTAATGCAGACTATGTGTGGCAGTGTGTAATACAGAATAGGTCTGTAATACAGAGTGTGTGTAATATAGAGTATGTGTGTAATGCAGACTATGTGTGGCAGTGTGTAATACAGAGTAGGTCTGTAATACAGAGTGTGTGTAATATAGAGTATATGTGTAATACAGACTATGTGTCGCAGTGTGTAATACAGAATAGGTCTGTAATATAGAGTATGTGTGTAATACAGACTATGTGTGGCAGTGTGTAATACAGAGTGTGTGTAATACAGACTATGTGTGGCAGTGTGTAATACAGAATAGGTCTGTAATACAGAGTGTGTGTAATGCAGACTATGTGTGTAATGCAGACTATGTGTGGCAGTGTGTAATACAGAATAGGTCTGTAATACAGAGTGTGTGTACTATAGAGTATATGTGTAATGCAGACAGTGTGTAATACAGAATAGGTCTGTAATACAGAGTGTGTGTACTATAGAGTATGTGTGTAATACAGTGTGTGTGTGTAATACAGAGTAGACTGGCTGGGTGTGTAATACAGAGTGTGTGTTATATAGAGTATGTGTTATACAGACTGTGTGTAATTTAGAGTATGTGTGTAATACAGAGTAGGCTGGCTGGGTGTGTAATACAGAGTGTGTGTTATATAGAGTATGTGTGTAATACAGAGTAGGCTGGCTGGGTGTGTAATATAGAGTATGTGTGTAATACAGAGTAGGCTGGGTATGTAATGCAGTGTGTGTAATACAGAGTAGGCTGGGTATGTAATATAGAGTACGTGTGTAATACAGTGAAGGCTGGGTGTGTAATACATAGTGTGTGTTATATAGAGTATGTGTTATACAGACTGTGTGTAATTTAGAGTATGTGTGTAATACAGAGTAGGCTGGCTGGGTGTGTAATACATAGTGTGTGTTATATAGAGTATGTGTGTAATACAGACTGTGTGTGTAATTTAGAGTGTGTGTGTAATACAGAGTAGGCTGGCTGGGTGTGTAATACAGAGTAGGCTGGCTGGTGCTGCTGTCCCACTCCCGCTGTTTCTGCCGCCTCTCTGACTGAGTGACCCTCCCTCCAATAACTGACTGAGCCCAGCCTAACCTAACCTAACCTAGCATTCTGAGTGTCTGTCTGTGAGCACTTCTGTGAGACTGAGTGAGTGTCTGTGAGCTCTCATGTGAGACTGACTGAGTGTCTGTGAGCTCTCATGTGAGACTGACTGAGTGAGTGTCTGTGAGCTCTCATGTGAGACTGACTGAGTGTCTGTCTGTGAGCTCTCATGTGAGACTGAGTGAGTGTCTGTGAGCTCTCCTGTGAGACTGAGTGTCTGTGAGCTCTCCTATCAGACTGAGTGAGTGTCAGTAAGCTCTCCTATCAGACTGAGTGTCTGTCTGTGAGCTCTCATGTGAGACTGAGTGAGTGTCTGTCTGTGAGCTCTCCTGTGAGAGAGTGAGTGTCTGTCTGTGAGCTCTCCTGTGAGAGAGTGAGTGTCTGTCTGTGAGCTCTCCTGTGAGACTGAGTGTGTGTCTGTGAGTTCTCCTGTGAGAGAGTGAGCTCTCTCTAATCTATAAAGCAGACTGTCTCCCATTGGACCCTGTGTAGATGTGACACTTGCTCAGGTAAGGCAGGGGATGCTGTATTTAATTCTCTCTATTAATTAATAACTATATTCACTACCCATGAATTGTGCTGACCTGCTAACTATCTACAAACTGTAACCCACAACAACTCATTTCATTAAAATTAATTAATTAATTTAAAAAAAGAATTGCAAATTTAGACCTAATTAGACAAACTGTAAACCGAGTTAAGCTATTGTTGCCTGAAATTTTCAGATCCCTTGTCAATTTTCCACAATTCCTGATTTACGAAATTCGCCATGTATAGTTTAGTAGAATCAAAACAAAATTAAAGGGTTACTCCAAGCACCACAAATACTTCAGTGATTTGAAGTGGTCATGGTGCCTGGAGTCTGAATGCGCAGCGCTGCCCGTACAGAGTTTAACCCCTTTGCTGCCGGCTCAGCTGACACTCTCAGCCAATTAAAGGCTACTTGATCCTTGCAGCAGCCAGACGTATGTCACCAGAGCAGACTGTAGTGTTTATGGTACTTTGAGTAATGCTTTAACTATGAATTGTCACTTAGGAGATTTTTGCACAACCTAATAGCTACCTAAAGGTAAGCTAGGAGTTGTGCTCTAATTTTGCTTTAATCCTCACGTCTTTTTTGTATATATTTAAAACATTTTAATTTACATGCTCTGGCTGCTGTATATTTCGCGTGACATATAAATTAAATTAACCCCTGGATGGCCGTGTGTGTGGTAAAGGTAGTACTGTGTCACTATTGGAAGAGATGTCTGTGCGTGTAATACGTCGGGTGGCATTTCTCTGTGTGTTTAAATATTATATCGCATTTACTGGGGTGAGGGAGAGAGAAAATATTCTCAAAAAAAAAAATTGTTTTGTTTAACCCCTTAAGGACCAAACTTCTGGAATAAAAGGGGAATCTTGACATGTCAGACATTTCATGTGTCCTTAAGGGGTTAAACCTGTTTCAAATCAGTCTTATGCTTTTATTAGTATTCCTGCAAAGTGCTCTGGCGTTACAGTTAGAGAGTTTATGAACTAAAAAAGTGCATTATTTAAGAGTTATGTTTTCAATGATGCAGCAGTAAAGTTTCCAAATTACTCATTAAATCACCTATAATCTATTGTCGCTGTGACTTAGCGCAGCCTGAAACCTGGCGCTCAGTGCCTGTATGCTTCGATAGACGTATGGGCAAACGAGACCTCACAGCGCCTGCATGCACTGCACAACTGGAGTTAAATTAATTTGCCTCATCTGGGCATCCCAATGAATGGAAATGATAGAAAATGATTAAATAAAAAGCATGTCACAGCCTATAGCTATTTTTTTTTTCCTAAAAAAATAGGGCAGTCACTGTGCCACTTTAAGAGATATGTAATATATATAGGTAATGGCATACGATGCTAAAAAAGTGATTAAAAACCTTGTATGTAATTTTATAGTCTGTTTTTATAGCGTGCTTGCTACAGACAGAAACTGAGGATTATTGTATAAAATTACCCGTATACAAATATTGTTTATGTGAACAGTGAAGAAATCAGTGAGATGACTGGGAGGTCGTTTTAATTAGACTGGTTTCTGAAGGATGGAGAGGAGAGAATCGTACAGCATAAAGAAACAGGATAGGCAGTTTGATAGATTAATTCTGGGAGTGAGTGACACAAGCAGAAAGTTGAGACGTGACGGTTAAAGGAAGACTCCAACCACCATAACCACTACAGTTTTATGTAATGGTTATAGTGTCAAGGATATCACCAGAGAGATCAACATTTTAGGCAGCATCCTGACTTGAGGACTTTTTCCAATTCAACAATTTTTTTCCATAAAATGTACGTGTAAATTTGTGAATATTCCCAGTTTATTGAATGATCCCGCACTTTGTTCATGCTTTGAAAAATACCTTTTTTTTTTTTCTGTGGCTCTTCACATGATATCAGCAAAATAGCTCAGTTACTATTTCAGATCTTTGGGGGTTTACTCACTAAACAGGTGATTGTAGTGGATTTTAAACTAATTTGCAAAAGGTAATCTTAAAAACACAATCTGTAAACGCAGAAGGTTGGTAAATGTTTCTGAATCGGCTATATTGGCCTACACGTTGGTGTTCTCATTTTAATTCTCTGCAATTTGGTATTTAGTCGATAAACCTTTTGTAGTTTTACTTTCGGTCTCATGTCAGGCAGTGTGGAAATTGCTAATAAATTATAATGATATATGGTCGCATAATAATAATTATTATTATTATAATAAATCCTGGTCACAGCCTGTGATACCTTTATTGAGAGCATTCCATTATAAAGTGTCTTGGTGGATTAGGCAGTTAGTGTCGGCCGTCCTGCGATTGTTACTTTGGTTACAGCCCGGACCGTACACACATACACACCCTAAAACCATAATCTCTAATCCATAAACACAAACCATTTTCTGTTCTCCTTCATAGGACCATGTCTGCTAAGAAAGATGGGACCTCCTTTAGCATTGAGGATGACAGCTACACAGAGGGTAAGAGGGCTTGTGCCACCTGTTTTGGGAGAAATTTGTATAAATATAATATGTTTCAATGCTGTCTGTGTCAGTGAAATACAAATACAGTTTACTCCTTTTATATTACTGCATCCCACTAAGGATTTACGACATTAGAGGCGTAGAAAAACAGGGCATTTCAGAGGCACGGCTCGTTTAATCTTGGGGTACCCTGGCACTATCCTGTTGTTCGGGGGCATTGATGCGTGTACTGACTGAGACCGTAACAGGAATTAGTTAAACTAAGCTCTTCTCAGACTCCTCTGTTGCAAATTCTATCTGCAACCTGTCATATGGCTGGGGAGGTCAATTTGTTAAAATAAAAATTGCATCTTGACTTGAGACAGTCATGCAAAATATTAAATTGTACAGCGCTGCAGAATATGTTGGCGCTATAGAGATACATTTTAATTGCCATTCTAAAGAGAACTTTAAATGCAACTTGGCATGCCAGCTCTGTTGAACCTGTTTATGCAGTGACAGCAATATATGTCACTGGAAATCACTGCAAATTATATATCCCATTATGTTTTAGTCAGTCCTGCAAGGCATCATGGGAAAAGTATTTAACTGCCAAAATTAGCCATCATCGCTTTTGTAATTAGGGTCCCATTTGACAGAGCTGTTTGATCCCCGGTAAGGTAGACTAGGCGTCTTCTTAAGGGCTTCTCGGAGTAGGTGGGGGGCCCATTTCATGCCTATGTTTGTCTGTCGGCCATCTAAATTTCACACATATATTTATTTATTTTTAAAGTATGTCCTGGGTAGATCAGTTATTTATATATATATATATATTTTTATTCTTTATTTTGTATTTTCAAACAATACATTGGGGACAACATAAACAAGGGGATATTAATTGGAACCATGGTATGTAGACAGGATAAAGGTTTGCTATACATATTGTAAAGCGCTACGGAATCTGTTGGCGCTATATAAATGGCGATAATAATATTAATAATAATTCAGTGATTGAAAGTATTTAAAGAGACGAGGTCTTGGAAACATTGATAGCTTTGACGATAGAGTCACGGCTCTGTCCATTAGCCAAGGCTCCTTCATGGGCAATAAGCCCGGCCTCGACCACAGACTCAAAAGGTGGAAACTAATGCAGACACTTGTTTGGTTTAGGGTGGAGAATAGGAGGATTTGGTAACGATGTAGATCAATATCTTTGTTGAAGTGGGATTGGCAGGAAGTGGGTTGGAGAGTGGATTTACATTGTGAGTGAGCCTATGACCTGCGGTTATATTATTATTATTTTATTATTTATATTGCGCCATCAGATTCCGTAGCGCTGTACAATAGGTTATAGATATCAATATTTTTTGGGTGGCATCATATTATCAGTAAGCGTTGAACAAGGGGGAACTGAGGGGGGGTCGGCAAGGTTCGAGAGAAGACGGCCTCACACGAGGAGTGATTTCACCGGGGGAGGACTCGAGAGGCACCGGGGAGGGAGAGAGGGGAGAATAGGGGAGGGTGTATTAAAGCTTTTTTTATTATTTATTGAATTACTATGTTTTTGTTTTGGGGTACCTGAGCAGTTACTCATTTTTTTTAAAACCCAGCTGAAATGTACACAATTGTAAGTAGCCCCTACAACGCTATAGAGTATGTTGGCGCTTTGTGAATAACAAAAATGCTTATCTGGGTTTGCTTGTTGATTGGAATGTGATTATTTCTTATTTTAAGATGTTTCCCGTGCCTGGGACAGTCTGCAGGAAGCCAAACATGTGGTGAGTCAATTTTGATTTGCATTTTAGTTAGAATAAAGTAAATTCAAGTCCTGCAGTAACTGAACATGTTTATGCCATCTGCAGCAATTGAAAATTGTACAGATGATGCAAAATTCACATTTATATGTTAAAGGAACACTATCGAATGCTATTGGTGGTTTGAGTGTCTATAGTGTTCCTTTAACTTTTGGTGATTAATTCAGCGGAGATGGGGATGCCAAGAAGACCCCCGGTTTATATCAATATATCAATATAAAATATCAATATTTTATCCCCAAATTTGCTTTTCACTTTAAAAAATTTGCTACAAATCGCTGGAATGTATTTACTTGCACGACAAAAATAAAGAATTGTAAAAAAATAAATTAAAGAACCAATGAAAGATTATTTGTATGTCCTTCATTTTATTACCGCGTGTTATTTGGCTGAAGAAGAGAGTGATGATTTTGCAAGCCCAGGCATGTCCCACTATAATCATTAAAAATAACAGACACCGGGTATTGTATTGTATGGTGTGCGTTGGGTCCGGAAAATTACTCTCTAGGGACATTATTAGTGAGCTGGTTTGATCTTCCGTCTCTCAAAAAACCCAAACACGCAGACAACCTTTTGCCTGTTTGCCTCACGTTACCACCATTTCGTATGTCCTGTAGAATACGATTGTGCTATATAGTTAAGCTGGTAACAGTCTAAAAATCTGACTGGGTTCTTCTTTTGTGTCATGTAATTACCCCTTATATCCAGTAGGGACTTTCTAGAACAGTGGATCGCGACATTCGTGGTCAAAACTAATTGCTTGTTGACCCATTCTTCATTTGAAAATGTTAGCCCAGTGACCAATTTTTCAAACATATTTTTAATTAACATGAAAATAAATTGGCCTAACCCTCTCTTTTCCTAGTATCAATGGACCTTCCATTGTATTAGGGACAGAGAGCCACTGGTGTGCCACATGTTGTGGGGTAGTTATGTGGGACCCCACTAAAAGGATAAGACGGCCTATTTTTGGCCATGACCCATGGGTTGAGAGCCAGTGGACTCTAATGGGATGAAGCCAGCCAGGGCTAATAGGAAATCTCACCACAAGTGTCAGAGCGAACTTGTTTTAATGCCAATACTTATGTATATGTTAACTTTTCTGCATGTGATTAGAGCTATTTACTAAACTGAGAATTACTAGGAAATTGTAGGTCCACAAAGCGTAATAATAAGAAAAAAAAAACACCTCCAAATGACCTCTCTTCTTAGCTTAGCCATTGTGGTCTAAATCTTTAACTTCCATTTTCAATTATCCACATTTCTCAGTTAAGAGAATAACCGTGAAATAAATCCATAGTATGGTCACCTTTTTCCACAAATGGATGTTTTTAATTTATTAAATCGCTGCAAATAACAGATACCAACGTTATTATGAACACAACACTGTATTCTATCTAGTTACAAAGGATTGAGAACAAAATGAGTCCCGAGGTTCACAGGCGGAACTGGATGCTGAAAACACAGAGACTGTTGCCTGATAGAGATTCATTTTCTGGTTAGTCGATTCTATTTAATTATTATAAAATAAGTAAATATAACTTGATGATTATTATTATTTTTTTTATTATTTGGGTAACATTTTTAGTTTAGCTCCATTGGCGTAAAATTTGCAATTCCCTCATATGTTCTCTACCATTGCTGGTTTAGTTAATAAACATCTAATTTCTCTGCCTGTTTGTTTTTAAATATTTTTAAATGGATATTTTGAGTTTTGAATGTCTCCATGTGTGGCAGAAGGACCTCTCTCTATATTTGACAAATGTGTATTTTTCAGTTGTAATTATAAAATGTAATTTAGAAGTCCTCACCTCTTTATCCGCAAGTGTGCGCCTCCATCTTACCTCCCTGTCAATCACTGTTATAAACTCTGTCCTTTCCACCTAGCAGTAAGAAGAGAGAAAGCGTACAGAGAAGATGAGAATCAAACAATGTTTCTATTTATCCTCTTTGTTGGCATTATTCAACCTGGCTTTGCCTTGTCTGAACTGTATCATAATATAATTTGCTAAATCTTTAAAGGAACACTATAGGGCCAGTAACACAAACCCTATAGTGATAAAACCGCCATCTATTTCCCTTCACCCCCTAAATATAGTAAAATCTTACCTTTATTCCAGTCTGCTGCTGCAGGATCTGCCTGCTTGGCTGACATCATCAAAAGTATTGATTAAAGCCAATCACAATGCTTTCCCATAGGAACTGTGCAGCACTGCCCCAGGAAACACCTTTAGTAGCCATCTGAGGAGTGGCCAGTGGCGTTATCACTAGGCTATAATGTAAACACTGCATTTTCTCTGAAAAGACATTGTTTACTGCAAAAAGCCTGAAGAGAATGATTCTACTCACCAGAACAAATTCAATAAGCTGTAGTTGTTCTGGTGACTACAGTGTCCATTTTAATATTAATCTAAAAGAAAACAGCACATCTCAGGTTATAGGTGGTATAAACTCAAGATAAGTGACAGTTCCTCTTTAAATGTTTTACTGAATCTTTTATACTTCACTTGTAATTTTTATTAGGGTCTCTGCTGTAGATTCACATCTAGTTGCAATGCCACTGTTCACCATCACCACTGTGTGGACGGTTACCACGTCATGTGGATATGACAGGTGTTCTTTAAACGGTCACGTCTGATTTAATAAACAATGGCTGCACTTATTTGTTAGTGCACCTGTGCAGCAAAACATTGGCAGGCCATGTAGCTAACAGGACAAGTATAATTTGCCCTTTGCTTTTTCTGTACATTGCAAGAAGGTGTATATGCAAATTTGAATGAATACATGCCTGCAGTCTTCAAGACATAGAGAAATATATATAATTTTTTTTTTAATTGTTTTCATATACAGGGCACGATTCTTGTTCTACCTCAATTAATGATCAGCTGCTCTTAGGGGACATAAAGGAACACAGCAGACGGGCAGACGAGACATATACACTAGACAGGTACAAACTTCAACATTAAACTAAATTGACTTCGCCATTGATTCCTTAACTGTGCTTAGAATTAGGAACACTCATTCAGCCATGAATCTTCTGTCTGATAGACATTTCCCCAGTAGATTTTTGTGTTTTATAGTCCAACAACACCTGGAGATGGTTGGACAACCCTGTACTGACCCCGAAGCAACTTCCACTCATTTTTTAATATGAAAAAAAATAAAGAAGTGTATTGCATGGATACTGATGTGCATGCCATGCAATTGGCGGCTCTCCTCTTTTGCAATGAAAGGGTATTTTAAGATTTAATTTAGAATTGCTTCACACAATATGACCCAGTGTGCAAATAATGCCCACTTTTTGGAATTAGCTGCACAATTTGTATGTTTTCTTGTAACTTGTACAAAAAGAAGAGATTTTCTCTTGCGTTGTGTTGTTTATATGTTTTTTTTTTGTTTTTGTTGTTTTTGTGGATATCTTGGCAATTCACTGATTAACATAAATTGCTTTTGTGACATAGGTTTCCAGATAGGGATGACACATATGATTCTTCCATCGAAGACATTCAACTTGGCTGCTCAGGCAGAAACTTGTCTTCAAAGTCCTCATTCTTTTCAGAACGAAAGGTATTTCCCACCGATATGGACAGAAGACATATCATGCCATATAGCACAAAGCTCGATGATCAGGACTGGTTACCAGTGGAAATTCACAGAACCTCTGGAGATATATCTTTTCTAGAAAGCAATAGATCCAGAGAAGATGTGGCAGAAGATACTTTGGACACATATTTGGATGAGTTTTCTTATCCACTGACTGTCCAAAACTTTCATTCTGAGGAACAAAATGTGCCCTACGTTTCCGCATATCACATCAGGGCTACATTATCTCCAAAGAGGGACTTATATACTCAGAAACTGGACTACCTTAAGAACAAATCACCCAATGACAAACTAGAGAGATTAAAGGAGAAGATCAGAGAACAGAAACGAAGACGGAATGCCTCAAGGGAAAGGCTACCAAACTTTTGGCAAGCTGGGGCAACGATTATCAAGCCTCTCTTGAAACGAAAGGTTTGCAAGGTGACGTTTGCCCCTCCTCCTCCTCGTAACTTTAAAGGTAAGAAAAATATTAATCGACCAGCGTTTATTAGCATTAATAGCATCAGACTGTCTCATTTGTGAATAATGCAAATCCATGTTTGTAATTGACAAAAGTACAGCGTTGTGCTTTGCAGCCATATTTAAAACTGCGCGAGGTTCACATTTTCATAGCTTTCAGGCAAAGTTAGCCAAAGAGTCCTGCCAACTGTCATTTGTCACAACCAAGCCTTTTTCGAGAGACTCTCAGACCAATATAAATTAAATATATAAATTATAAATCATTTGAAACTGTATTAATCTTAAAAACGCAGACGTACCAGGAAACCCTCGATAAAACATATATATTCATATATATATGAACAAATTTGCCTTCACTGGCCGAAAATGAACGTGAGCCTGGGTAAATGTGAATTATTAGATTAAATTGAACAACATGCACACTCTGTGCATCCTAAGAATCTTATAATTAATAAACATTATCTGGGAATATACCGTGTGATTCGTATAACACAACATTGGGAGTACAAAATGGCGGCTTCTTGATGTCATGCATGAAATTATATGATTGATAAGATGGGTACATTTGTAATGTTGGATTGGTTTTGATTTAGTAACAACAGGCTGAAAAAACTGAAAACGGGGTAGAGCTGCTTAGAGTAGACAAAAAAAAGGTTAAGGCCTAAAAGATAGCTAAGCCTCATGGGAAATGTAGTTTTCCACGTGGCTCTGATAACAGTGAGAAGAGATTACAGTAAGAGGGTGTTGCAGTATTTTAAGTGCAATAAATTGTTTGGTGATTTAACCAGTAAAATTCAGGTTGTGATGAATTGACAAAGAATTTGTAAAATAGAGAATTATTTACAAAAATCCAGGATTTTATCTGGAATTCACCACTGAACTGCATATATAAGCCGCAAATAACAGATCTGAAAACATGGCTGATTTGGGCAATGTTTCCCTTCTCATCTATTTCTGTCTTAAAATTTGAATTTTCAACTTGAAAAACTCTGACAGGCAACAAAAGAATCTAGACTATTTTTCAAACTCGGCTTTATTGGCCTACAATTTACAATGAAATGTTTACTGAATTAACCCAGTGGCAATGTTGGTAGCAGTCCTCCAAATAAAATAGCAGAAAACCAACAACAAACAGTGGGGCTGGGGGTAGAAGTTGGTATGAGAGGGGTGTTGATGATGTCCCACTCTGGAGTGACCTCTAATAAAGGGAGGCATATTGGCCTTCTTTTATTTATTGCCCCCTTCTCCCAGCTCACCTATCATTCTTCCATTTTTTCCATACCTTGCACTTCTTACTTTACTCCTTGCCCTGGAGGTGTAGTGGCGCACTGGGCTGAACCAGAATGATCCATGCTTTTCTCATCTCTGTCGCTCCTCCATTGAGATGGGAGGAGACGGGATATGGCGTCATATCTTCCTAGTCTCCACCAAGGGGTGCATCATGCTGTGTCCACCGTAATGGACATCAGAGCCGTCCACGATGAGAGCAGCACAGACTCAGTGCTGCTTGCTCTTTTGGCACAGCAATGTGAGCGCTTTTGCAACGGTAAACCAACAAGAAAATACACGACATTTAAATGTCCAGTTTTGTAGAACAACCATCTCAAATACCGGTTTGTCCAGGCAGACTCTGGACACGTGTCAATTGTACTTATTGTTTATACTACAAGGCAGATAGCGACCAGAAATTGTAAACATTGTTCTAAAAGCCACAATGCCTGAAAAACATATTTTTAAATAAATCCTTATGTTTCCTCTTTTTTGGAACGCTATCAAGGTATCAGTGCTCAAAGTAAGAAGACGGGCCGCTCAACTGCCGAGATGAGAGAATCCAGGAGCAGAAACGAGGAAAACAGTGGAAATAAGATGGAAGTGCTACCTTTAGGTCAGTTAATGCATATAGACTATTCCAGCCAATTCTGCTGAATATAGCTAAATACAGCATTAGAAATCTCATCCTGTCATTTTTCACTGAACAAACACTGTCAAGGGTCAACTTTTCAATCTCGTCAAATTTTCTGCAGGGCTGATTAATCCAAGTCTGTTGTCATATGACACAAGGCTAAAACATTTACAAGGGGAAGGGCTTTGCTGCCACAACAGTGAACAATGAGGCTCCTTTGAATGTTTTTATGCTTGATTTTATATGTTTAAAGATTTTACATTTTGAATATTTGGCCATATTTGCTTAGAAGCCTAGAGAACTTCAGTTAAATTGTCCCAGGTGATCCAGTGCTTAATACCCCCTCTCTCGCCCCTTCTAAAAAATGATTACATATTACTGATTCCAGGATGGTTTTATTATTTTTTTTAATAATGTCCCTTACAGGAATTCAAGCTGTGTGAGCAATGTCCTAGTGCGATGTCCTAGTGCTGAAATCTGGGGCGCTGTGTTATAGCATTTATGTGTGACTAGTAAATAAAACGTTTTTTTTAAAATAGCTGCGAGAAAAAAAGCAAAGACAAAATTAAAATAAAGTTTGAATGTTTCAAAATTAAAATGCTCTGCCTGTGGGTGTTCTGGATTTTTCGAAATCTATCAATTCTCACCATTGTCTACGTAAAGAAAAGAAACAAACCGCGAAAAATGGGCGCTTTATAAATCAAGCGTCTGATATTTGTTTTCTTCACACTGTTTTATTGCGGCATGGAAATAAGAACACGTGACACTAGCACCCAAGACATAAAATAAAGAGCGCAATTAAAAAATATATATTTTGATTTTAATTTATATTATATCTTTTTTTTAATGTTTCCAAAGGAAAACCCAAAAATGCCATAAAAAAGAGCCCGGTTTTTAGGAAACTGTCGTTTGAATCCCCATCACCAGAGAAAAAAGCGAGAAGCACGGGTGAGTAAAACTAATGCATTTTACAGGGAACCCACGATCATATAAAATTGATTATTCCCTGACATATTTACATTATATTATTTTTGCATCCGGTAAAATGATAAAATACCATTTGTGTCTTGTTTCTCTCTCTTAGGGCCCGTTTAATCTGGTAGAGACTCATTTTGTGTTTATTATCAATGCCTCTTACTAATTAAACAAAGCTCTTAAAGGGACACTCCGAGCATCAATACACTATTAATGCATTTCATAGGCCTGGCCTCATTAATATGCTGTGCTTTTTCCAGGCTCAAATATTTATAATTTTTGCTTAAAAATAAATAAATGTTTAGCTCAATTCTGCACTATAAGTCTGCCTCTTTAGCTACACCCACTAATGCCAGAAAGATTTCCTTATCAAATGCATGTACACAGATCAGCCACTGACAGTACTACAAAACAATCTGCATTAGAAGGAGAGGACACCCAGAGAGAGATATTAAGGTTATTACTACCGGTTAGTAGTTTCTCTGCATGTCTGCAGCCAGGTTGTGAATTAGATGCAGTTCACTCAGTGCTGTTGGGGCTGAGACTGTGTACATACATTTGATAAGGAAGTATTTCTGGTATGAGGGGGCGCGGCTAAGGAGGCCGGCTTATAGTGCCGCGTTTTGAATAACATATTTTTTTGTGCAAAAACTATCAAGAGTTGAGAGTGGGGAAAAAAACAGCATATTAATGAGACCAAAACCTTTCAAATGCATTAAAGTTTTTTTGGTGCCCGCAGTGTCCTTTTAAGTTCTTTCTGAATATGGCATTATATACAATTTATGCCATGCCTGGTGCATGGGCATAAAGACACGCTGGATATAGCTGTAGGGGAAGTAGGAAGATGCCTACAGGTGCCTGTCTACTACCATGACTCCAAATGTGCATTTTGTTTCCTTCTCCAATGTATTTTGATATTCGTTTTCATTTTGCTACATGGTTATTGAATTTGTTTATTATTTACGGGGGAAGAAAGTGGATTATCATGTAGAACACAAAACATGGCTAAAGTTCAGACTTTCTTACTCGGCATCTTGACCATTTCCCCCAAATGTCTCAAAGTAAGAACCTGATAAGTCCTGTTGCCAAATATAATGGTGCTCAGTAAACAAGACAGAATCCTACGGACACATCAATCATTGTGCTGCCTCCTTGTGGCTTTTTGTGGAATATTACAAAGTTATGTCATTGCATAGGATTTATTTAGTATTATACCTTGTAACTTGTGTGATGGACGCCAAAATAATACTCTTCAGCACAAAAAAATTCATATGAAAAAAATACTAGTATTTGGCAAAAACTGTTTATCAATCAAAAAGCTTTCATAAACAAATGTGTATAGTCCACTGCAACCCTGACAGATCTGCAAGTGGCAAGACAGGTTAGACGTATTATAGCTTAATAACATTAAAATATTAACAATCTTTGCGAATTATTGTTTTAAATAAATTCATGGAAAAATTGTTGGTTGTTTATTTAATTTTTTTGCGCTGCTGTAAAGGAGAACAGACACTTCTCAGGAATTAAACCATTAAATAAATGACTGTGTTAACCCAGGGGTTCCCAATAGGTAGATCCCCAGATGTTTTAAAACTACAGCTTCCATGCTGCTTTGTCATTCTAAAGGCATTCTAAAAGTATGCACAGCATCATGGGAGTTGTAGTTCTACAACATCTGGAGATCATCCTTTTGGGCACCCCTAGGTTAACCTTTTATGAGATGTTCTTTTTTTCTTTTAAATGTATATTAAATATTTAGCAGATCACGTCATAATTCAGTGCAGACAAGGCACAGCCAGGGCACGCAATGCAAATAGATTTAAAAAAATGATTTTTTTTTAAAATCTCTCCTCTTCTTCCTATGCTTTCTCTATGCTGACTGCCAGGTACAAAGGACAAAGCTTATAACAATGACTGATGGGTAGTCATGGTAGAAGAGCCCAGTTAAAGGATAAAGAATTGTGATGATTCATACCTTTAATTTTATTTGTGTCACCTCAAAAATACATATTTGTGAAATATAGGGATAATGTAAACATCATATTAAAAATCTTGGCAAGTGAGCTGAAATGCAACAATAATATAAGCCTGATTGTCAAGTCTCTTTTACGCATGAAAGAATAGCATATTTGAATGGCTAATGTGTTTTCTAAAAAGGCAAGTCTACTTTTAAGATACCCCTGCTTAGAAATGACAAATTACCATACGGTGCCGCAGGATCAAGTTTAAATAATTGACAAACACATTATTTGCATTTAAAACCACAGCCTTCTTCAATGTCAGAGATATATCGTTAAGTAATAATCCTGAAGGAAATCTATGAAACCATCAATGACCTTGTATCTTGCCCAAATGACCTTGAAGGACAAGGGTCAAAGTGCCATTGTGGAAATGAACACATGATCGGCTTTCTGAGTTTGTCCTATATTTTAATGTCGTCTTCCTGTCAAGTTATTGTTTCTACTGTTTAGTTAATAGTGGAAAAAACAGAAGAATGAGAATTAATCCAATAAAATTCATGCAGTGTAAATGGTCGTGATCATATAATATATTTTTTCCCCCTTCTTCGTCCAACTGCTTAATATGCGCAAAATATCAAATTTAGACATTTAATGGATGATGTGAAAAATGGTTTTCTTCTCCGCAGAGACCGGTCGCTAAGACCATGGTCAGATGAAACATTTATCAAGATAACTGCCAGTGTCAAGAAGTCTTTATTGGTCATTAGTTTCTGTCAGCAGTGATGTCAGGGCATGACCACCGCTAAGATAAATGAAGGTTCAGAGGTCGGAGTCACCATCCTACACTTTTTGATGAATTGAAGCGGAATTGAAAATTTGCTGCTGTTAACAAAAAATTAATTTGCAGTTGCTGAAACATAAAAATTCCAGAAAAAAAATATAGTTAGGGCCAAACCAAATGTAAGATTTTTAGACTAGAGAGAAATGATTGGATTGACTGTGAGTCTTGGGTCAATCAAACAGAGTCCGATGTTTTATCTTGGAAATAAAGAACTTTCTGTAGACCGTGAAAAAGAATAAGCAGGACTTCATGGGTTAAAACAGAATGATTTTTGTATATCATTGCAATCATTAAATCAATAGGAGAACGTCAGATAGTTCTAGTTAGGTCATTTACTGAAGCTGAATATTATATAGGAAGGTCATTGGTTGGGTCACAAGTGAAGTCGATTTGTCATTTTCACCTGTTGTCCTATTAGGTGTTTACATGTGAATGCACTTAAAGACTCAAGGGTTTATTTACTAAACAGTGAAGAATTAACATGAACTACTTTGGCCTAAATGTTGAAAATCAAGTTTAATTTCACTGATACATGTCAGCATTTTTACCATCAGATCTCATAGTGGTAAGATTGTGAAAGGCAAGGAAGAACTTGATGAAGAAATTACCTTTTTTTTTGTTTTTATTATTTTTTAATAAGTATTTATCCAGTTGCTGTTTAAACATCTGTGCAGACTCTGATAAAACCACCTCTTCAGGCAGAGAATACCACATTCTTATTGTTCTTACTGAAGGAAAAAATCTCTCCTTTGCCTTAGACGAAATCTCATTTCTTCCATTCTTAATGCGTGACCTTGTTTCCCATGTATTCTCCTGTTTATGTATAGATTTCTAGACAATGGCTTGTATTGTCCCCTGATTATATTTGTATAGTGCTCTCATATCCCGTGTGGCGCTGTTTTTCTAAACTTAACAGGTTTAAATTTGTTAACCTTTCTTCAAATCTAAAATCTTCCATTCCCCTTATTAATTTTGTAGCTTCCCACTGTTAAAAAATGCTGCAAACGGGGGCGGAGCCTGACACAGACCGGAGCGGTCGCACATTGCCGGAGCTCCGGTACAATCCACTGAAATCTGCAGAAATCGGGGAAAACCCGCATCACATACAGACTCCCAACCGAGTACTGACCTCGGAGACACACAGACACGCTGATGCCGTTCCTCCTGACACCCGGCTCCAAAAATAAACGCCGCGGCAGCAAGGCCTACAGATCGGGAGGGCAACCTCAGGCCCTTTCGGGAACGCACTGGCCCTGGAACGTCCCAGACTTTGAGGACTGGTACCCCGACACACTGAGCGCAGGTGAGATGGGCCGCAAGACGCAAAAAACGCCCCAAAATACCGCAAAGCCCCAGCGCGATATAGGCCAAATGCTACAGGCCTCAAACGCCATGAAGGCCCAAACTCCTCGAGACACATCCCCACAACCTTCAGAGGAAGGAGACACACAGGACAATCCACACCCCAGTCCCCAACACCCGACACCCACAGGGACATCGGACACTAGCGCACCGGCCTCCAAAAATGACATACAGGCAATGCTAACAGGCCTACAGCAGAATCTCAGACAAATGTGGGAAGCAGATCTAGCCATACTCAAGCTAGACGTACACACGGTGTCAACGCGCACGCAAGCAATCGAAGAAGAGGTCAAGGGACTGAGGGAGAATTACCTAGCTCTAAGGGAGAAAGTGCGCAACTTGCACGCCTCACAACTGACAATGGCTAGGCAAGTTAATCTCTTGGATGACAGAGGGCGCCGCAAAAATATTAAAATTCGAGGGGTGTCGGAATCAATGCCACTGGACGAATTACCGCATTTCGCTAGACGCCTTGTGGCCACACTTTTACCAGCCAAACAGGCAAAAGCATTCCAATTCGACGGGATCTATCGTATAGCTAAATCCCCACAAGCACCCACCTCAGCTCCACGAGATGTAATCTTAAGATGCCGCTCAATGGCGGACAAATTGGGGCTAATGGCAGCAATACAAGGGCTGACCCCACTCGACTTCGAAACATGCAAAATCTCCTTCTTTCAGGACCTGAGCAGAGCCACACTACAATGGCGCAAGAGCATGCACCCAATCACCAAGCAACTCCAAACGGCTGGGATAACCTATAGGTGGGCGACCCCAGGAACTCTCTGGATCACTAAAGGCGACAAGCACTTCAAGGCCACCGAACCCACAGAAGGCCCAGCACTGATGACTGCCCTGGGACTACCGAATCCCACAGAAAACTTGGGGACACCACTAGACCCTCAGCCTGGAACTTCCGAAGCTGAAACAGCCGTGACTCCTGGAAGAGGCAGAGATGCCAAACCCAAGACCTGAGGGACATACTTAAGCCGACAGCCGACTAGGCTTCAGTTCGCACATTCAGTTCAAATGTTCTGTGTAGCTAACCCTGACTCTTAAACTATATATAGTTCTCTGTTTTTTCTCGTTCTGACAATTATTGCAGCACGACCGAGGCTCACTAGATCCAACCATTTATGCTCCGACGACACCTCCCCCCCCCCCTCTCCCTGGGGTTATAGGGAACCGATATCGAGGGCGATATAATAAACCGGACTGGCATCAGGCACATCCACTAGGTTGATAACCATAGCCTGGAACCACACGGGTCCGACCTGATCCTGCCATATTACAGCGACCTATAATCGTCTGGACACACTAGCCATAGCTATGAACTGTTTTAGCGACTACACGCAGCCACCACTAGACTGAAGGGACACCCTACGACTCATAAACCCACATCCTCGGGACAAAGGGCGAGACGTTAGACACAATACCCAGATTTAGTCATTCCCACCCTGTTCCCGCAGCTCACGACCCTACAATACAAGGGGCGATATTGACAGATAGGTACCCTCTATCATCACGATTACCCGACTTACATCACTCGTTATAACATTGAGACCAATTGTATCTATAAAATGTTTGTGAAACGATCCTAGACATTTATTTACATGATATTCACTGTTTTGATGTGTAAAGACTATTGTGGCCTTACACATATGTTTGCCATTTTCACGGACGAAAAATAAAGATTTATAAAAAAAAAAAAATGCTGCAATACTCCATTATTTTACCCTTACTGGACTAATATGATGATGCAAAAAGCTAGCCAGAAAGAGATTATATTCGTGGTTCGTGCCAGTTTCTGATTGACGATGTGCTATGTCATGCTTTGCAAGCTATCCACCAGTGTTCTGTATAAATCTATTCTTTGGGCTATAGCAGTGAATGACATGAAATCTGTTTTGAGCTAAGAGCTATTTTTTTTTTTATTCCTCCAAGAATCTTCATTTAAGATATCAAATAGAATCTAGCGGCAGTTCTGAGCAGAGAGTGAACAACAACTTGACTTGGGAGCAGCAGTTTATAATTCACCTAGACACTTAAACAAGTCATAGATCATCAACTGTTACCCTAAAAACTAGTGGAGCATCATGGGAACTGTAGTTAACCGACATTAGCAGTACCGGTTTTAGCCATCACTACTTAATCTCCAAGCTGATTTGTAGCAGATAAAGTTTTTCTATACCTTTCTGTTTGTGTCTTTATTTTATTAATGGTTCTGGAGAATTTATCCTACTATTATAACATTGCCAGGAATAGAAACATTGTGTGTGTTTCCAGATCTATACGGAGCGTCGGCATGGAGGGAGGGACAAAAGCTTGTGAAGAAGTTACTCGGCCCAAGTCCAGTTGTGTCGAAAATGCTGCGTGTGTCTCAAGAAGATGGTGGGGCTACCATGAGAGCAGGTACTTTGTTACCTTGTGCGCACCAGGGATTCCTTCTGGGCTTTTTGTGTTGTATGTTATCTTTTATAACCCAATGTCACGACTAGTAGTGTGGTCCAGCACGCAGAAACTATGTAAACATATACATAAGAAGGAAAAGGAAAATAAAAGGACAGAGCGTAAACCAGACGTTAGAATGGCCGGACTAATACGCTAGAGACAGAGAATGGTCAAAGGGAAAGCCGAGGTCAAGGAAGCCAGAAAATACACAATACCGTTTACACAAGCCAAGTCAGGGAAACCAGAATTCAGAATAACCAGGGAAAAGCCAATATCAGGATACCAGGAAATCAGATTCACAATGATAAAGCACTCTCAGGAAACCAGGAACAGGAAACCACGACAGGGCAAGGTACTGGGGAGAGCTAGGGATTTAAATATCACTCTCTATGTTCTAATTGGTCAGAGGGCGACCTCTGACCCCAAAACGTGCGTGTGTGTTGACGTCGTGACGTCACGCGCACGTTAGTATAATTTTCGGGCCAGCGCCATCTTTGATTTGGGCGCGACGCCCGGAAGACCTGGGGGAACGGTTGCCATGCGGCGGACGGGCAACCGCAGCACCCAAGCAATTCACCGCATTCCAAGCTACTTTGTAGAGAGCTAAAAACTAAACGTACTCAGTAGATATAGAAGGCATACAAGAGATTCTGGATCTAAATTTAAGATTAACTACAAGTGCGGATCCTGTGTTGTCAGCTTTCGTTCCAGACTCTTTGACTTTGCAAAATCATCATTAGCGGTCTGCTTTTGTCCTCAATTTCAGTCTCACCAATTGGTCTGAACTTGCAATGGTACCAGTTGACGTCTGTGTTTGTCTTTTCATATTTTATCAAATTGCAGTGTTCTCATTAGCAGTCTGATTTTGCTCTGGTCTTTCTCACCTTGAAATGTCATGATGCCTGCTTTTATTCCAGTCTATACAAAAAAACAAAAGAAAAAAGTTACTCACAAGCTATCACAAATCCCCATCCACATTTAAAGGGACACTATAGTCACCCAGACCACTTCAGCTCAATGAAGTGGTCTGGGTGTCAGGTCCCTCTAGGGTTAACCCTGCCTGATGTAAACATAGCAGTTTCTGAGATCTGGGGTTAAGCCAGCCTCTAGTGGCTGTCTTCCGGAGAGCCACTAGAGGCGCATCGGCAATGATCGAGGCATATTATGCCTCAATCACGCAGAGAGTCCATAGGAAAGCATTGAAAAATGCTTTCCATGGACACTTTGAATGTGCGCGCATGCACATTCGGCGTCGGTGATGTCAGACAAGTCGGCGGGGGAGGAGAGGTAAGGGAGCCCGGCGGGGGAAAAGGGTGAGTAGCTGAAGGGGTTTTAACCACATCCGCGCCATGGGAGGGGGACCCTGAGGGTGGGGGCACCCTCAGGGTACTATAGTGTCCCTTTAATAACTGGCTTTTTTTTTAACTATCACTCCAATGGGCATTGAAGTGTAAGCTCACCTGCCAAAATGTATTGGGACTAATGTGTTTGACAGTAATTGCTGCCACCGGGTTTAGTTTTGTATGTTTTTATTGAAGTCTGTCGAAATGCAGTGTAACTATTTTCTATGGCACACAAACACACAAATGTTATTAAATTGCATTTTTATTTTCTTTTTAGGAAGCTGCAAAAGTACAAGTCAGAAAACGCTATTACCGTCAGATGCTCCTGTTAGTCATCTGAATACTAAAACGTTCACCCAAGCCTGTAGGAAGCCTGGACATTCCGCAGATATAAACCTGCACAGCTCTACACCTGAAGCCCTACAACGAGTACCAGGGATGAGAGTCTTAGACAGAGGCAGAGGAGTGGATCTGCCAAAAAGTGAAGCTGGGGTCCTTCAACATGTAGCCAGGAGGTCAGGAAGTACAACCCCTAAAAGATCTCTCACAGATTTAGTCAGCTTGGCACAGAATCCTAAGAAGGAAAATGTAGCACAAGGAGACGAGAAGCAGGGAAGAAAACACAAGATTCGAAGCTACAGTGTCGAGGAGGTGCGGGACTTCATGAAGAAAAAGAATATGGAGAGGCTGACGAGAGAGCGAGAAGCCCAGAGTTTGTTACAAAATGCTGCGCAGTTGCGACAGAAAAGATTGCAAGCTGTCTTCAAGAAGCAAAAAGATGCTTTTCCCTTCAGGAGTGACCCCAAAGCACGGATCAAGTACCCCCAAAGAAAGCATTGTGTAAGACATAAATGTTAATGTTATTATGATACCACTAAACATATTATTTAATTACCTGAAAATCTAAAGTTGTAGTTTAAGATGCTGTCTGCCCCTGTTTTACTTCTTGTATCTGCACACCTTTCCTTTCACACTTTTTTGGACCACGTAGGGTCTGTGTACCATAGTGGGAAACCACTGAAATGGAGCCACAGACTATTCTTTACGTGGTTTGTCATATGAGATTGTTCTCGGTTGAGTTCCTTTCTGGGTGGTTGGTAAAATCCCCAAATAACTTACCTGGAACTTTTAGTTTGTGTGAAATTTGTAGCAATAACTTTAAGAAAATATACCACAAATAACCTGTTTTGGAAGAATTCAGCGTATATAAACACATTTTTATACAATGCAATTCATTTTTAGAGATTATGCAAGCCATTAATATATTATATTCTCTTTTTTGTCATATTTAACCAGGAAATTTCTGAGGTATTTTAATTAAGTTTGAGCCTCATGTTACTTTCCGTGGAAGCTCTGTGAGGACCCAAAACTAGCTCTGGGTCTACAGGACCCATAGAGCGATCACGTTCATCAAAGATTTATTCACAAGTTTTTTCATGAAAAAATAAACAATTAATGAAACCTACAAAAGTAATAGTAAATAAAAAAAAATAGGAACTAAATTAATCAACTGTCAGATGATTTCTCCTAATTTGCAGAAGCAGCTTCATTCATTTTTCTCATGAATGAAACTTCCCGCAAACTAGACTATTTGGCCCGTGTGAACCTGCTGTACGTAGTACATAGCCTCTGTGCAGCAATGGTTTATGGGATTGCACACCTGCATTTTTTATCATTCTGTGTCCCACCACTTTGTCCTGCAAGTTATAGACTGCTAGTTGTTTAGTTGCAAATGTTTTTTGCAAACTTATTACTATTATTATTATTTAAACTAAAACATGTAAATGGCACGATGGAAAATATAGCAAAACAATATCAGCAGGTCTTTTGTGCACAATGTTCTGTGTGTTTTGTCTACTCACTAATCAGAATATGAATCGTCTTGCAGGAAACAACGTGTCTCGGAAGTGATGAAAAAGGCTATCCTGAATGGGTTCACTTAAAATCATTGGCTCTTCTTAAAGAAGTAGATCAGAGCAGGTAAGTCCCCCTCATCTAGATTTAAAAAAAAAACCTCAAAATAATGTCAGTAGATAAATTGGTGAACATTTTTCTTAAACAGTTTATGGCTTACACAGTTGCAAGTTATGAAAACATTTTAGAAAAAATAGTGCAGGTAGGTAGGTAGGTAAGTACTGGTAGGTTAGGATTAGTGATGTCCTGAACGGTTCGCCGAACGGTTCGCCGCGGACGGCGAACAAATGCGCTGTTCGGTCCGCCCCCTATTCGTCATCATTGAGTAAACTTTTACCCTGTCCCTCACAGTCAGCAGACACATTCCAGCCAATCAGCAGCAGACCCTCCCTCCCAGACCCTCCCACCTCCTGGACAGCTCACTAAGAATGCAGCTTCACAATGGATGCTGTCCAGGAGGAGGGAGGGTCTGGGAGGGAGGGTCTGCTGCTGATTGGCTGGAATGTGTCTGCTGACTGTGAGGTACAGGGTCAAAGTTTACTCAATGATGACGAATAGGGGGCGGACCGAACAGCGCATATGTTCGGCGAACCGTTCGGGACATCACTAGTTAGGATATAGAGGAGATACAGTTTGTTTTACGAACAAATGTGATCAGAGTCAGCTTCACTAGACCCCCGAATTATTCTTCGAAACTGGACTGTTGCCCACCCTAAAGATGGTTAGAGGAAACACAGTTTGCTTTACCAAAAGGAACTATAAAAGGTTCATTTGAAATTAGACATCACACAATCTCGTAATATCATTGAGAAAACGTATGATATCTCCTGTTCTTTCAAAACTTACGTCTATAATACAAAAGATAACTCAACTGCCTCAATAAAAAATTAAATGACCAATTATAACTCAGCTGTGGTCTGCTGGAAAAGCAAGATGAAGGCTGTCAGCCTCAATCTCTTGAATGCATTCATATTTATCAGATGTTTCCTGCTGGTGGGAGGAGGTAATGCACGTTTACACAGGAAATTAGTCCCTAAATTAGTGTTTGGTTTCAACATCGCAGTAAAGCATTGACTTTACCATTAATCCACCTTGCTCCATCTTCGAATACCAACTGTTTGGCAGTCACACAGGTGATGATGTATAAGGCACATTTTCATGATGACTCTGTGAGGGTTGATGAGCTAGATAGGTTAAATGTCCACCAGCCGTGGTCCCCAGGGACCCTCAAATAATCAACAGTTGACTATATGAAATTCTGCAGATATAATTTCTTTTTACATTGACTTTTCATATTGTATTTTAGCAGAAAAGGCACCACCCATGCAAATAAGGAGCCTATCCAAGATGAACAGTCTAGTCCACTCAAACTTCAAGATTTGGATACGTTTAGCATGACATTAAAAAAGCAGATTGCAGAGATCTCCTCAAAAAATGATGGCAAATACGATTCTTCACCACCAAACAGAGACCCATCCCTGTCTCCATATCGAGATAACCAAGACCGTATGAAGGCTATTTGGGCTGTGGCCAAAGAGCTGGGGGAGAGGATTGAAGTGGAAGCAAGTAGGCTAGGAGCAAAACAAATACCCCAAGATTCCAGTAGTAATCCAGTTCCAATACACCACACCTCGCCAGCGAAGGTCAGCCCAACTGGCTCGCCAAACTACAGGATCTCCAGGATCTCACCAGAGCTGTCTTCCATTAGACATGGAAAAGCTGCCCAACCCGAGACTGAGAGAAGAAGAAATTTAGAAAAATGGAGAGTGAGTGATAGCAGCCTTGGTACCTATACCATAAGCACAACTTCCAGAAATGATAATTTGCCACAGACGTCTGGTCATGTTGGAAGCGACACCATGATGGAGAAGGTGATGGACAGGGAATATTACATTAACAAAGGTATTGGTAATAATACACATTAATTGGTTCATGAGAAAGCTAATTTAGATCTATCAATGTGATGTCTACTAAATAGAGAGTGATACATTAATCTGATTAGGGTCTCGTTAACCAACATTGAAAGTTTGCATACTCATTTTTTTTTCAAAGATATGGAATGCAAGTTTTATTTCAAAATATGTAAGTTGGAAAAAATGTCCAAATTCTGCTATTTTTCCATATTTTCCAAAGCTTGGAATAAGTGAATAAGTATTTAGCCCAAATTACTCAACGCATGTGGCACCATTAAAATATGCCTCTATTCCCATTGGCCTGGCGTGTCTTTTAGGAACACTGGCTCTGCTAGTGACCCATCAATTGCAACATTTTTGATCATTGCCATAACCTTAATATGCAAAACGTTTTATATAACCAATATGTTTTTTTTTTTTTTTTTAATTTTGCATATTCACATGCCAGTACAAAATACAACAAATTAATAAACAAAGCAAGTTTGACCAAGTGCCTTAACTATATAATGAGCATTTACTGTACTTTTTAAGGGTACACCGATCGCAAAAGGTCTCCAACCAATAAGAGACATCAGGACAAGAAGACTCGAAAAGATAGCCCCATCCGCCAATCCTCAAGCACAAGGTAAAAAATGCTCCGGGATGCAGGTTAACTTACTGTTAACCTTAATGTTAACCTGACTGTAGTTAACACGTGGCATGACCCAAGATTGATCATCTGTAAATGCTGGCAGTTCAACATTTGCCCACTTGGGAGCAGTGTTACACAGCTCTTCAGCGGACCAGGGCTCTTTTTAAGGGTTTGCCTGTTGACATTTACTGACGTTTGCTTTGGTTTTTTTTGGGGGTTTCTTCTTATTTATTTATTTATTATTGCTATTTATAAAGCGCACACAGATTCCGCAGCGCTGATTCTTCATAGAATGTTCTTTGTTGCTTTCATTTAAATAATAGAGCTATGTTTTAGATATGATTTAAATAGGGAAGATAAATAAATATTTGCGCATATATGAAATCTTTTCAAAATTCTGGTGAATTTTTTTTATAAATAATAAAATATAAAAATCTGGGCCCTGCTCTAAAAAAAATGCCTACCGTTTTGTTATATTCTACCTGGGCGTATTATAGCATGACTACGACTGATACCATAACACAGCGTAAGTTGTGATACAGGCAGCTATAAAACATATATTAAGCACAATTCATTCAGGTGTACACCCAGAAAAAAATACTTTCTGGTTCTTAATTTAATATAATAACGTAAACATTTTAGGAGAAAATACTGTTTTACGCTAGTGAAAAATTAGGTGTATCCAGTGACAATCACAAAGTTTTCTTCAAAAAAATAATACACTACCCAAAACTAATTTCAAGTGCCCATATAGAACTAAGCAGGGAGCTGGGAGAACATTTTGTGCCCAATCCTAGTTCTAACATTGTCCTTAAGGTAAGCACTGGAGGCCCTATTGTCACTCTGGACATCTCGCCAACCTATAATTCACTGCGTGCGTTGGAACATAATATATTCACTGTAAAATCTTCTTAACACTGACATGTACGCAAAACCACGGGGATATCTTACAGATTGCCAATGATAGACAATGTATCTGTGGATATTCTTGGATTTGTAAGATCTTTTTTTATTTAGTGGATTTTATGATATAGTTATGTTTGTTGTAGTAACGCACCTTGTTTGCCTCGTATACAATTTGTTGTGTTTTTTTTTTTTGCTTCTTCTATCAAAGCATATGGTTTCCCTAGTGGATCCATCAAGAATTGGTTATTTGAATAATATAAGCACGTAGTTTAAATCTTTTCTGATCTCCTTTTCTCGTGGGGATTAGAGTGATTTAACCTGTGGCATGGCAAAGATTAATTTAGAGTAATTGTTTTGCCTCATCTTCTGTCTTATATAAATATGATTGCTGCAGAATCTGTCACTAAGATGTATTGTTAAGTAATGGGTTCGGCTGATTTTGGTTCTCCAAGTAACAATACATTTGCAAATCTAAGTATGTGTGTCCTTGATATGGTGTCTTGTCTACAAAAATAGAATATTACAAAATATATATTTTTTTAAAGTGCAAAAAAACAATATGTACATATAATCCTAAAATGTTAACATGTGACAGTACTGCACATGACGTGCGCAAAAAAACCCAAAAACTACATAAATAAAAATTGTAGAGAAAAAAAGAGAAAAGACAAGACAAGAAAAGGTTGCACCAATACAGACTATAGTAGATATGATAGTAAACAAAAAAAGTCCAAAGTTCAATGGTAAATCCGAAGATAAACCTTAAAAAAAGAGAGTCCTTAATTATGCCAGATGGACAGCCGACGGCCTATATGGGGACGACTTCTTTGGATCCATATGTGGAGAGAGGAGAAAATAATGGTGCAATACGTCTGGTACAGAAGGTAAATATTTGGACAATAGGGTCTATGGTAGTCCTACTCACATGTGGTAAAGCTTGAACTACCTCTAGTATGTATGACATACAGCGGTACAATCCTCGCATATAGGACACGTGGAGAGGTATAGATATCTTTGGATCCGTACGTGGAGAGAGGAGAAAATAATGGTGCAATAGGTCTACTACAGAAGGTAAATATTTGGACAATAGGGTCTATTATACTCCTACTCACGTGTAGTAGAGCTTGAACTAGCTCTAGTATGAATGGCATACAGTGGTACTGTCATAGACAAAAGGTACATAAAGGGTTTGGTACAAAAGCCTTTGGCTTAGTTAAGTTCTTCCACGTCTGCAGGGGTTAAAAGCTAAATAGTTTTGTCTGCAGTTTCTGCAGATGGTTTTTCTGTTACTCATGAAATGTTACAGTTTGCTTTAACCTTGCATAGTTTAGATAACACTTTAAAGTAATACACAAGATCCAGCGCACTCACCTATCCACTAAACAGCAACTTCAATGTTGACAGATTTTATTAGTTTTTTGTTTTTTTTAAAAAACACCTAATCTAGGCAAAAATAATGGGGGTTTAGTTACATTATATGATCATACATTGCATAAGCCTGCCACAGCGTCAATGTACCCCATCTTTGGCAGGTCCTACTCTAACAGCCTAAAGTCTGCTCTTATGAGATTAACCCACTTACTGGGGGAAAACATTCCATCTGGGGCTCTCTGCAGTTCAAGGCTAAATAGGGTCCTGGGATGAGGCACATGTGACAGGGAGGGGTGCAAAACCAAGGAGTTGGCTAGACTCCCAAATATAAATATATGAAACAGCACCCCATTTATGCATGTTCAGGTGAGTGCAGCCACCACCCCCTTGTTTCAACACTTTCAAGTAAGTCATTGTTGCTTTGACACATGCGTAGTAGACTAATGCCACTTTATATATGCAACACTCTCGCAGTTAAATGATGAGATGATTTTGAACCACAAACGGAGTCTGTGGTTTTATTATCGGTTCTCCCGAGCGCTCGTATATCTTATTAGGAAGCTCTGGTTATCCTTTGGATGATTTATCCATCATAAATTTCTATATCAATACAATCCCCGCTTATAAGATACGTGGAGAGGTGTAGATATCGTATCAATGTGTAGACCATAGAAAGGGTTAGTGTTATCTAAACTATGCAAGGTTAAAGCAAACTGTAATATTTCATGAGTAACAGAAAAACCATCTGCAGAAACTGCAGACAAAACTATTTAGCTTTTAACCCCTGCAGACGTGGAAGAACTTAACTAAGGCAAAGGCTGTAACCCTTTATGTACCTTTTGTCTATGACAGTACCACTGTATGCCATTCATACTAGAACTAGTTCAAGCTCTACTACACGTGAGTAGGAGTATAATAGACCCTATTGTCCAAATATTTACCTTCTGTACTAGACGTATTGCACCATTATTTTTTGCTCTCTCCACGTACGGATCCAAAGATATCTATACCTCTCCACGTGTCCTATAAGCGTGGATTGTACCGCTGTGCTAAACACTTGAAAACCCGTATTGTGGGATTTGACTTAGTATTTGGGTACATGGGGAGTTTAGGATCATTGAGTTAAGGGTTGCGTTAGAGATATATTAAGTACTGGGATACATGGGGTGTTTTACAAGGTGTTATACCTAAGGTTAAGTTAAAAAGGGTTTTCAGGTTTAGGCTGTGAGTTCTTACATTTTGGAAATAAGGAAATGGTTTGTTTAGGCTTGGGGGGAAGTAATCAATTAGGGAAAAGGGTATTTAGGACATGGGGAGTTTGAAGGGTTATTTCCAAAGTACTCACCCTCCTATATCTTTTGTAGTCATGCCTCTTATGCTTGATACCGGAGATGCAGACGTTGCTATACAGTGTGCATCACTCAATGCTGTCCCTGCTCCTCATGTAGGGCTTTTCCTGTGTGAAAGGCTGTTAGTGGGCAGATATGAAGTGATCTATTCCACTTCCTGTCCAGCCTCACATACAGACACTGGAGGAGCTGGGACGGCTACAGCACCTCTGCTATCAAGCATAGGGGCTGACACGCTACAGAGGACACTGGCCAAGGCTCCTGGTACTTATCTCATCCGACCAGCCTATTTAATCCCATAAATGCACAATATAAGTGCTGGAAACAGGCACCTCCTTGAGGACATGCGCCTGTAGGCAGGTGCCTACTGTGCCAAATGAAAAACAGGGCCTGATAAATGTATATGATATGATTTTAGTAAGTGCGAAAGTCAATAATTCCAGGGTTGTAAGGGACAATTGTCCTGTTTTTTTTGTCCACTCAATGTAGCCCTTCTTATCACTGTAATAATGTTTTGTTTTAGGTCCAGAGACTTCAGAATTTGTTCATGAATTAAAATGTCACAAACTAAATACCAGTAAACCAAAATGTAAAACTAATTAAAGTAAATTGAAAAGAAGTTCTGACTAATGACCAAGATCATTTCCTCAACAGTCCGCAGATAATTCCAACGAAATTGGAACCCAGCTGGCATTCAGAAAAAATAACAGGAACAGAGTTTATAAGTCCGAAATTGGATCGGAAAAATTCACGCACTCTGAGAAAAGTTAACAAGGGTAAGAAATGTAAATGATAAATTACATGAAAACATTAAATATTGCAATTTTTGCTTTAGACAAAAATAGCTGATTTAGAAAAGTTATCTAACTCTGCTAAGTCACAGTTTATATTGATATTTAACTTGAGAGTAAAGAAGTTCTGTACAATATTTATATATTTGGTGAACAAAATGTAATTATGAGTGCATATGGCAAAGTCTCCAGTAAATTCAGATTGATGCGTTACGCATGGAGCTATCACTGGGTACGCTGGTTGGTCTTTAGAGTTTCGGGATATAATAAATGTCCATGTGTCATGTACTCATCTGGCATTGATAAAGGTAAACAAGCAGATCGGATGAAAAACAATGATTAAAAACAACAAAACTTTTCCTTAAATGAAAATACTAGATTTGTGCTTTTGAATTACAATTAGTCCAAATTTAGGCCATCGTCTGAGACGCCAAACAGTATATAGCTGAGCAAACAACTAGCTCGATGGCCGAAAATGCTAGTTCAATTCAGTATTCGGAGTTCCGCCCAAGGCACCAAAAAAAAAAGAGAATTATTGTTTAGGGAACAGGCACTAAATGTTGACTTTATTTACAAGTGAGAAAAAGTAAACAATAGCTGGGAAAAAAGAAGAAGCGTTATAAAATTCTATATCTATATATTATATATAATACAAAACAATTTAATATACATTTCTAACTGCTTCTCTTCTTTTCCCTATATTGGTAACTTTTTTTCACTTAATTTGTGAACCGAAGTTGTATTATGTATTTATCATCAGAATCATTTCCCCAAACATTTTCTGGGACAATATTTGGATGAGCTGAACCGTCAACTAAATGAGTGTTTAAGGTCCCAAACTAAATTTAATTTTGGAAAAAATGGCTCTGCTGAACCAAATATTTCTGCTGTGTCCAAGTCTAGAAAGTACCTGCATAACACTTGCTCCCCGTTCCCTTGAAATTCTGTGGATTTGTATAGCTGCTGAATTTAAAAAGCACTCTCTTGTTTTATTTTTCAAATATGGAAATGTCTTATTTATTCAATGAAATATATAAAAGGCAGAAAATACCGTTAACGTAGCATCATTTGTCGTAATAGTAAAAGCTAGTAAATAATGGAGTCTACGATCGCACTAAATCTGTGCTAAGCATTCTTAATAAAATGTATGACCTCCGAAGAGAGCTGCTAATTGCATATTCACTTGATCCCCTTTATTAACCATAAAACTATTTACAAGCTATTTGAAGCATAATGTCTACATTAGTATAAAATACAGCAAGGTGGCCGCAAAGCTTTCATGGCGACGTAATCTCATGTTATAAGAGCGCGGATACAATGTGATTTTGTTGGAGTCAGTAAGTAGGAGATGCTGTTTAGTTTTAAGCTGATTATTGAATCTCCGGGCCTTATTTCAGGCTAAAAAAATAAAAATAAGCTGTAATCTTCAATTTATTTAAATATAATAAACATAAATATATTTTCTCCAAATGTTAGGGTGTAAAGTATCAACGAACTGCGCTCACAGTAACGTCTCACATACTAACGACAAAACAATAAAAATAAACAGTCCCAAGCTGGAAGGATATCAGAATGTGTTGGAAAACCAAGAATAAGACTAGACTGTATCATACATTTGCAATACAGCTCTCCAGGAAGGTTTTCTATAATGATGTTTTAAAATTGAATGACAAATTCTTTTTAATTTGTGTTCGCTCAAATTGGAATCTGCAGATACAACCTCAGCATTCTTACATTACAAATAAATATATACAATTTAAACCTTAGACTGTTACATTATTAGTTACATTTTTCCGCTGATTACATTACATTGAGGTTTTATTGCACGTGAGAAAATGTGATGTTTGTGATGTACTTTGTTTAAATTTTTTTTTTTAGATAAGAGGGAAAAAATATATATTTTATCTCCTGCAGAGGAAGGATTGACCAGTGTACATGATTTACCGCAAACCAAGACGGACATAGTGCAGACTTTGAAGGTAAACGTCGTTAACACTGTACATTGTATCTCATTTGCCAACCTGCTAACTACAGTGAGCATCACAGGAGATAAGTGATTGCATTCTAAAATGTAAACATGCAGACTTAGCCCTCTGTCAGACTACATTTCACATAATTTTCTGCCAGCCATCAATTGGACAACTTTGGTCTTGTGGGTGTTAGGGTGCAGGAGAGACATGAGGTTAAACAATACATTTATTCATTTAGGAATTCCTCCTCAGATTTAGTAAATACCGACAGGTGAATCCTTAAAGGGACACTATAGTCACCAGAACAACTACAGCTTATTGAATTTGCATAATCATTCCCCTCCGGCTTTTTTGCAGTAAACACTGTGTGTTTAGATTACAGCTTAGGGCAGGGATAGGCAACCTTCGCCACTCCAGATGTTGTGGACTACATCCCTCATAATGCTCTTACACCCATATTGCTGGCAAAGCATCATGGGAGGTGTAGTCCAAAACATCTGTAGTGCCAAAGGTTGCCTATGCCTAGCCTAGTGATACCTCCACTGGCCACTCCTCAGATGGCTGCTAGAGGGGCTTCCTAAAGCAGTGCTCTAGTGTGTGACTGTCATTCATGGAGTCACTGAACTTTCCTCATAGAGATGATTTGATTTAATTCATCTCTCTGTGTAGATGCTGATTGGCCAGGGATGAATTTGGCTTGTGCTGGCTCTGCCCCTGATCTGCCTACTTGACAGTCTCAGCCCATTCTATGGGAAAGCATTGTAATTGGCTGACATCACCACTTAGATGATGTCAGCCAAGCAGGCAGATCAGGGGCAGAGCCAGCAGCAGACTGGAATAAAGGTAACATTTTACTATATTTAGGGGGACGAGGAGAGAGCCAGGGGCCTTGATAGTGTTTTTAAAACTTTAGGGCAAGGAATACGTTTGTGGTCCTGACGCTATAATGTTCCTTTAAAGGGATTTAAAGATCTAATGGTGCATAAACTATCTTCAAATCAGAATATCTTTTATTCAGCATTTTCTAACCTGTATCACAGCACAATGTATAGATTATTGTTATACCTACATGTAAGGAACTCTGTCACCCACAAGTTTTATTGCTGATAGGGTCCCTTTAAACCACACAGTGCTATTCATGATACTTTGACTAAATGACTTCTCTCCTATGAAATCAAGGCGCAGATCACCCAACAGAAAGAGGAGCTTGCAATCCTGCGGGAGAAAGCCAAGGTTGAAGCTGAAGAGGCGGAGAGATGTATGGAGGAAATGATGAAATACAGAGCAGCCTGGGTAATGCATCTCCCATCTCCTGCACTTCACACTGACAGCTTATTCAATAAAGTTAGAATTGACGTGAGTTCAAAGGGAATTCAAAATGAATTTAAAATTTCAGACCGACAGAGATGAAACATCCAAGTCAGTTGTGCTTCCAGTTCTGTTATTGTGTTATCGTAATTAAGAAGTTTGGGTGTATACATAATGTCCATGCAGTCGCAATTCTCTGCCATTTAGGAGTTAAATCACTTTGTTTCTGTTTATGCAGCCCTAGCCACACCTCCACTGGCTATGATTGACACAGCCTGCAGGAAAAAAAAATGGTTTCATTTTTAATCAGATGTGACTTACTTTAAAAGTTGTTATCTCCTGCTCTGTGAATTGAAGTTTAATCCCATACTGGAGGATCCTCCAAGGTCTAGAAAGCTATTAACAGTGCAGGAGATAAAAAAAATTATAAATTAAACAGAATTTACAATAAAATAAGTGTTAACATTAGATGACAGGAAGTGTTTAGGAAGGCTGTACTAGTCACATGCAGGGAGGTGTGACTAGGGCTGTATAAACAAAGTGATTGAACTCATAAATGGCAGATAATGGAGCAACGAGACTACAGGGACATGATCTATACACCAAAACTGCTTCACTAAGCTAAAGTTGTATTGATGACTATAGTGTCCCTTTAAACTTGAAATTCACTTTGAATTCCCGACAATTCTCACTTCATTGAAAACCCTGTTAGATTATCTGTCTGATCATTTTCTTGGCATTCACAAAAGTCCATCCTCTCTCTAACTCCAACCACAGTCAACTTTATATCACCATTCTACTAGTGCATTGAATCCTCATTTTCTCCTTCTACTAGATTGTAAGCTCACATGCTATCTTGGAAATGACTGGCATAAACATGCTAGACTTAATTTATGGATAGTGATGGATCCTCTTTTCATTTTTTACTGCCTTGTCAAGGTGCTGCCTCACAGCAGTTAAGCCATTCTTTGGATATCTAATTTTGGATAAGGGGTATCTAATTTGCTGCATTTAATTGTTACTCTGTGTCAGTTGGCACGCTTGCCAACTCTGTCCTCTGTGCTTTAGAAGAATGTGCTAATCTGTAAAGTGACAAAACAATTGTTGTTTAACGAAGGATTTTCTTTATATTTTAGAATCCAAATTATCGCCTACTTATTTCATCTTAAGCATCCTGTTCTTGCCATTTGCCTAAGTATTTAAACATTTTTGTAAACAGGTTCAGATTCATTTAGACTTTAATCACTAGTAGTCTGATAATACATATATTTTATTTTTCCCCTCTGTAGCCTGTGGAACTCGCAGAACTGGAAGTCAAACAAACTGCCCAGCCAACACCAAAAATCAGACATGTGCATTCAGACAATTGGTGAGTTTTAACCAGTACAACATAATTCATTCATACTGAATTCGGGCACGTATTTGCAGATAAAGAAGATCCTTTTCTGTTTTTGTAAAGAATAAGTAAGTTTTCACATTCACTGAGAGCACATAACATACTCCATTACTTACTATTTACACAGACATTTTCTTTAAAGGTTAATGAAGTCGGTACATGGCAAGTAATGTTGGGTAGTAATATAATGTTCCTAAAAGAGATACTAATATTTTTTAGCCTTGTTTTTCTTTTTTTTTCTACTTAGGACGATTAAGATGTAGAATTAACAGGGAAATTCTGAAATGCCTGCAAACAAATACAGACAGGCATTAAGTTAAACTTATAATTAAAGGACCACTATAGTGCCAGGAAAACATACTTGTTTTCCTGGCACTATAGGGTCCTTGGGTCCCCCTCTCCCTCAGGGCCCCCCTCCCGCCGGGCTCTAGGGGGAGGAAAGGGTTAATCCCTTACCTTTTTTCTAGCGCCAGTCTCAATGCTTTCCTATGGACGCTGGTGTCTTCTCACTGTGAAAATCACAGTGAGAAGTGCGGAAGCGCCTCTAGCGACTGTCAATGAGACAGCCACTAGAGGCTGGATTGACCCATATGTAAACACAGAAGTTTCTCTGAAACTGCTATGTTTACAGCAGAAAGGGTTAATCATAGATGGACCTGGCACCCAGACCACTTCATTGAGCTGAAGTGGACTGGGTGCCTATAGTGGACCTTTAATTATTATACTTGGACTGACGACCTAGACCAACCAATAATGGATGCTTTTAAAGGATGATCTTGAGGCCCGTTTCTCGCTTCCATTAGGTTCCACTTATTGTGCTGCGCTACAGAACATGTTGGTGCTTAATAAATATTAATGTGGGCATTGCTATTTTTTTCAGCCTAATTTATGATGTGGTATAATTTTTTTTCTGTAGGATGTTGGTTATCCACAATTCCTTTCTGCCTGTGAATATCCCCATGAACCACTCACTCGGGGCCTTTTATTTTTAAAGATCACTCAGTGGAGCGCTAAATATCAAATTCTTACCCCTATTGGAATAACGTATATATCACTTTAAGGGGCAGACAGCATAATAAAATCTACAACAAGAAAATACACATCATGGTGCAGTATGCTTGTAAGGTGTGAATGGAGTGGAAGAAGATGTATGTCCAACTCACATGGTAAAGAGCCTGGAGATTGGCTCAAATCACAACAGCTGAGGTATGTTTGGTAATACCAGACCTTCTCCAGATATACAGCTCACAACATATGTGGATAAAAAAGGACAAAAATCCTAGTGCAAGTGTGTTTAAAATAAACAAGTGGTCACATATAACAGTGCATGAATGTGCTCACCTGGAATAGAGCCAATTGTACTAGGCTCTATGTATAAGCGTGTGGTGCCTTTAAGGGAGGCACTACCCTTCTTTAGAAAATGCAGGAAGCAGTTGAAGATCCACTACCAGATGTATAAGGTAAAAGTAACTCCAAGGAAGACCACCCCAGAGACTTTTACTTTTTGGTATCTGTATATACAGTTTTACTTTGCTTAATTGTTTTTTTTTTTTTTTTTAATAAATTGTTACTTTTACCTTATACATCTGGTAGTGGATCTTCAACTGCTTCCTGCATTTTCTAAAGAAGGGTATTGCCTCCCTTAAAGGCACCACATGCTTATACATAGAGCCTAGTACAATTGGCTCTATTCCAGGTGAGCACATTCATGCACTGTTATATGTGACCACTTGTTTATTTTAAACATACTTGCACTAGGATTTTTGTCCTTTTTTATCCACATATGTTGTAAGCTGTATATCTGGAGAAGGTCTGGTATTACCAAACATACCTCAGCTGTTGTGATTTGAGCCAATCTCCAGGCTCTTTACCATGTGAGTTGGACATACATCTTCTTCCACTTCATTCACACCTTACAAGCATACTGCACCATGATGTGTATTTTCTTGTTGTAGATTTTATTATGCTGTCTGCCCCTTAAAGTGATATATACGTTATTCCAATAGGGGTAAGAATTTGATATTTAGCGCTCCACTGAGTGATCTTTTGGTGGTAGTACGATCCACTAAGTTCACTTTTTTCTTTCACATTGTGTTTGTGTAGGATTGGGATACCTGCATGCGTGTTTGAGCTGCTGTTCTATCTATATATTATTGTTAAGCGCCTAATTGCACAGAGCACCTTTTCCTTTTATTTTTACTCTAGTCTTCCCCTCCCCAGGTTTCTCACTAATCAGTGGTCATTATTCCGAAAGTCATTTACAAGTCTCATCTCAGCAATTTTTAACAGCAGTCAACTGCTACTTCTTTGTAACTTTTGCAAGTCTTTGATGTTTGATGGTGTGTTCTGTACATGCGGTTAATTTCTAAAAATGTATCCCCAAAATCTTTTTTCTTGTTGTCCACTTTAACGATCGTTTGGAGAGATATTTTTGTGTGTGACCTACTTTGGAACCCCTAAGGACTTTCATGGAATCTCGCAGGACTGGCGGTGAAACAGTTACTTGTATAGTGTAGACGGAGAGACAAAGAAAAGTCATTTGATTGTTGCATGTTGCTGAGCAAGCACATTTTGTTATAGGTCTCATTTTACCAGCTGCCAGTTTGTGTAGCCCTTAAGTGAGTACTTGTCTCCATTAGCGGGAGAAAAATCATTTCGCTAGTCAGCCCATAATTGTTCTACCCACTCTCCCACCCTCATCAGGAGTACTGAAATCATTTAACGCATTCCGTATATTTTGTTTTGTCCATTACTTGAATGGTCTAATAGATGGTTTTACTGCGGTCCTCTCGGAGTCCAGGAAAATAATTTTAAATATGTCCTCATCATAACAAGCCCTAAAGTATTAAGAACAGAATCTGCGACGAGTGCTTAAAAAAATTGAATCACATATTGTAGCGGAGGGAATTGGATGCATTTTACATATTTCGAGATTTTGTTGTGTTGTTCAAAAAGCAGAAAATCCAAGGTTTAAATTCATTTTGCGGGTTCTGCTCTAGAATAATGTAGAAATATATGTTGCAGAGCGCTTTACTCCAGGTTTTTCATACAATAACACAACCCATCAAATATGGCACCGATTGGTTGGATCGCACGTAATCTGTGGGACTTGAGGAGTGGGAGAAAAACGACCCCCATGGCCCTCACTGTAGACACCCCGCATTTTGTATATTTCTACTTAGCAGAACAAATCTCATAAAGTGTGATTTTATTTTCTTCCAAAAACGAATCTTTCAGTAAATAAGAGCTCCAACTTATATTTTGAGTAATCCGTAGAAAGATGTTTCATCCGTCTGTAGATCAAGCAGCAAAGGATAAGATAAAGTATCACTATATACTTTTTTATTTATTTACCAGTTTATGGAACCTCTGCTCATCAACACGCACCTTATTTTCTGGCCTGCATTGTTAGGCCATCGAACATAAAAGGGCACCTTCTCTGCCCACATGAATCCATGCTTTCATGGTCCCCATTCACAAGACCCAAAGCTACATTACTAATGCTTAAAAAAAGCTTTTTACTTACTATTGGGCTTACCATTGGCACTGCTTACCTCTCCTCCTTCCGCGACGTTATGGCATGCTCTCCTCCGGCGTAGCCTAATCCAATGTTCCTCATAGAGGAGCATTGGGGACCTGCTGTGCATGCGCGGCGAGTGACACACATGCATCCAAGGTTCCCCATAGGAAAGGATTGAATCAACGTGCCTGAGTTGTACATGGTCATTGCAGCAGAAACGCCTCCATTATCTGTCAGTGCAACAGGCACTGGATGTGTGTTTAACCCATCATGGTAAGCATTGTTCCTGCTTAATGGTAATGTTTTACATTGACCACTGCACCCAGGCCATTGAGATCTGGTCTGGGTGACTTTAGCGGCTCTTTAATAAAAGGTCTAACATTGATACCACCATCTGCTTTAAAAGTAAAATCCACCAGAATGCAGTATGTACATTATCATTAAAGGGACACTTTAGTCACCTGAACAACTTTAGCTTAATGAAGCAGTTTTGGTGTATAGAACATGCCCCTGCAGCCTCACTGCTCAATCCTCTGCCATTTAGGAGTTAAATCCCTTTGTTTATGAACCCTAGTCACACCTCCCTGCATGTGACTTGCACAGCCTTCCATAAACACTTCCTGTAAAGAGAGCCCTATTTAGGCTTTCTTTATTGCAAGTTCTGTTTAATTAAGATTTTCTTATCCCCTGCTATGTTAATAGCTTGCTAGACCCTGCAAGAGCCTCTTGTATGTGATTAAAGTTCAATTTAGAGGTTGAGATACAATTATTTAAGGTAAATTACATCTGTTTGAAAGTGAAACCAGTTTTTTTTCTTCCATGCAGGCTCTGTCAATCATAGCCAGGGGAGGTGTGGCTAGGGCTGCATAAACAGAAACAAAGTGATTTAACTCCTAAATGACAGAGAATTGAGCAGTGAAATTGCAGGGGAATGATCTATACACTAAAACTGCTTTATTTAGCTAAAGTAATTTAGGTGACTATAGTGTTCCTTTAAGTGAGATCTACAATATCAAAAGTTACCTTTCGTGGGCAATGTTGCAGGGAGCACCCCTCACGTGTGGCTTTCAGTAAGCTGTATCCTCAGAGGATGGGCACGAGAGGTAAAATTGCTTCCACTAGCCCAACTTTAAAACATCAATATTATTTTACCTATGGGAGAAATTCCATTTTACACCTATTTATGAAACCTGAAAAACACTCTATAGGTTTAGGAAAATGTTCATTTTAGGCATATTCTCTCTACATAGCTAGGAGCGACAACACATGCATAATCCTTCTATCAGCAAAAAAAATAAAAAATGTATGCGGAACAATTAATAAATAGAAAAAAATAAAAAACTGAAATTAACCTAAAAATAGAGAGTAAAAAAACCTATTTTTTTCTGTATTAATTATTATTATTATTGTATCTAATTGTATAAATTTATACATTGTTATTTGAAAAATATTCAATAAAAATATTTGAATAGGAAAATAGAAAATAAACGACAAAAAAAACCCAACTCTTGGTAAGGGGCGTGTGTAATCAGATTTAGGAGAATCCAACAAAATAATCAGAAATATATAATCTTTAAAGAACAAGTTCAAAGCTGGCTTTTACTGATTAGTGAAATGTCATTTAGATAACAGGGCAGAAATCATTCAACCTTTTACCAGTAATTGCCTGGAGAGAGTCCAGACTCGCAGCCCCACTTCCAAATTCACTTTAAGAAAGAGATCAACTACACTGGTGACAATACATGACTTAATCCTGTTTTACCAGGATTGCATTTTTTCTATTATTCTTACTGGACGTAGTCACGTCCTGGCAGCCCAGCGGTCAGGATTTATCAATAGCCGTAGTCTGGAGCCAGAGAGACTGCCAGGTTTTACTGCTGTTTATAAATCAGGCACCTGACGCATACAACTGCTTGACAGCGCAACACTTTGTGTTTTTTCTGAATACGGAACCTTGCAGAGATGCTGCTTTCTGATTGGTTAGAGTAAGAGTACCATGTTTTGATGGCTATAGTAGGATTTTGTAATTAAAGGAGGCCCAACTATCACTGGAGATTAACAATAAATTAATAACCTGCAGTTGGAGGCATCTATGTCTAGAAATCATGTTTCGTTGATTATAAAGTGCAATTTATTTATTTTTAGGTTTTAGAAAATTATGCCTCTCTAATTTATCTTACTGTTTAGCAACAGTTGGAAGAAAGAATTTTCACATTCTTTTCAGAGCATATTCTGAGCAGGAATTAGACGTTAAGGAAACATGATGTGGTTTATTGACCAATCGGAGAATTGGAAAGAATTGACCGAGACATTTTATATTTTACCCTTAAATAGGCAAGCTGGGAAAATTTTCCATCCCACCCTTATTGATGTGTACCACAAGTCCCAGGATACAGGTTATGCATATGCACACTCAGACTTGCAAAAAGGCAATGGTAATCATTGGTCATTTCTAATGTTTGAGTATTTATAGCGCTATAGCCTTTTTACCTAATGTTTGTATTTATGGTAACATAGTATTTTTATTTATATAAAGTTTTGTTTGTTTTTAAGTATTGATAGTGCTGTGGTATTTTTATATAAAGTTTGTATTTTTTTGTATTTACGTTGTAGTGTTTTTTTATGTTGCGTTTTTATTTTTCACATTTTTATATGTACACTTTGTGTTGTGTTTTATTTCAGCCTGGGTGGTGTCGCGTATGCTGCACCTAGTGAGCAGATTCTCATCCATGATGCGGTAAAGGACCAAAGACAGAATGATAAAACATACCCAGTTCTTCAAACAGGTAAGGGCTAGGTGTAGCCAATAACTCCCATCATACTTTGACCCACATCAATTAAAGGGACAGTGCATCCTCGCTAAACAAAACTCTTACTTTAGAGACAGTGTCAACATAGTTATAGGGTTATACAGACAATGGGGCATTTGTTTTCAATGCCAGATATATTTATATGTGGATAAAAGCAAATTTAACAGTTTTAGATTTTGTTCTCGTAGAAGATAGGGTTGAGCAATTTTATTATAAAATGAAAAAGCACACGTGAAAATAGATATTTGTTAATGTTCCATCATAGATATCGTGGAAAATGAGCCAGTGGATGATCCGTGGGACCAGATTGAACCAGCCACGGATTCTACCAGCAAGGTGCTGTGAACACATATATGTGGAATTGGGTACCCAGTGTGGCTAGCAAGATCCTTAACTGTGATTTGTAAAAAGTTTAACACTTTGACTAAATACTAGTAAAATGCACACTTCATCCCCATTGAGAACAAAATACAACATCCGCCTTTTACCTCTTCATTGTCTAAATTGACTTGATGTGTTTTAAAAATGTTCATAAAATGTGAGCATAACAAGTTCAGTTTCAGGTGCAAATACTTTGCAATCTATACATTGCGCTGCCAAATGTGTCTACAAATATATACATTTACATGCAACCAACAGCAACATCTTATCTACAGTTTACATGAATAAAGGCTGGGGAAATAAAAAATAAATAAATATAGGAATAACATTTAAAGGAGTCCTGGGAGCACCCTAATTGCTATAATTAATTTAAGTGGTTGTGGTCCTATTTTGACTAACTATTTTAGCGTGGCCTCGTCTGGATGCCAAACAACTTGCCAGCTGGTCAGATAATGTGGAAGGTTTACTTTGCCTTTATCCACACATGCTAAGATTGTTAGGAGCAGCTGAGCATACTGTGGGCTTGTTTCGATGCTTGCTGGTGAAAAGGTTTTTCATCGATAATGCCAACAGCCAATAGAGCTTCGCTGCTACAAATTACAGGCAGGTCCCGATGATCCAATCCTGCTTTTAGTGTTCATGTCTGCCTGCACTCATACCGATTATTACTTGTGTCTACCATCTTTCATAAAATAGTGTTTACTCATTAATTACTGTGATGACTTTACCAGGACACAACACAAGTTTCACTCAGTGCATATGCACTTCACCTGTGATCATCTAAGCACGTTGCCCTTTAAGGGTTTATTTACTAAACAGCAAACTGTACTGAATTGAAAATGGGATTGCAAGATTAATGCAAATATAACAGAGTTTAAAGAATTCTCCAACTTGAATATAGTTTCAGCTTGGCTATTTTATTTGATCCCACCAGCCATTTAGTGGCTCAGAGGAATATGTACAGAATTAGCATTACCCAATCCAGAACTAGAGTTTAATGACGTTGCTTGAGGTGAAGTTACAACTTAGGCAGCAGAGGGGTTAAACTCCATATGTTCAGCAATTCAATGCAAAACGCTGCACATGCAGACTTCAGGCACCACAACCACTTCAAGTGGTGCCTGAAGTAACCCCTAAATGCACTTAAACATAGATTTAAAATTTTTTTTTTAAATAGGATGTCTTGACCATTTTCAGTGGTTAAAATGTATTTTTCTCTTTATACTTGGATACAGAAGGTGCAATTTTTACTTAGATAGTGACTGGAAATATGTTTTGCCATTTAGCATGGAAACCAGGAGTCACTTAGTATTTAATCTCTATGGATGGTGTTAAAATTGATAGCAGCCGCTAATAACCACTCGCTAACAGGTATGATTTGTATTATAGCCACAGCCAGTAGTTGCGGATATTACTGACAACCATTTTAGATTATGGGCTTGTGATTGCAACAAGCCTAGTTATGAGCCCTACATTTGGTATTGCAAGTAACAATTAAAATAAATAAAGAATGGTACATTTCAAATATAAGTGGCATGTTGACCACACAAAGTCAAACATCACTGTGTCATGTTTCCCCAATATCCGTTAGCTATGAGACAGTAGATCTTGGGAGAATAAAGCAAGTCATTACATTTTTGGTTTTGTGTCTCTGTAGTGGAGTGAAATAAGTGAGTTCTATGGTACCCCCAATATGTTCAGCCGCTATAGCCTGGAGATGGCACAGCAGTATCTGCGGGAAGAAGAACTACGGGCAAGACACCAGACAGCCCTACTGAGACTCCGCGAGGAGGCACTCAAGGAGAAGACAAGAGCCGAGCTTGCACTGCTGGAACACCAAAGAAAGTAAGATGTTTATTCATAGAAAGCTTGTGTTTTATTCAGCAACCTAGAATGTCCCTGATTTAAAGATCTCCAATTTCTGTTCCAGTGAAGAAATTGGTAGATTCGGTTTGGATTTTAACAGTCCATAATTATTTTTACTTATCACCAAAGAAGAAAGGTAAAGTCTTCATTCACCGTTTCCAAATATGTTTGGTCCTTCCTAGATGTTTAGAGCTGAACAATGAGCACGGCAACGTAGAAGAAATTCTGGAACAGGAACACGAGGTTCAGGAAAACCTGAAGCAAGAGCAGGTACATAAATTTTCTGACATTGGGGCAACATGTACTATGGTGGGAATCCTTCCAGACCGTCCATTCCAGGCAGAAACATCTTCCGTTTCCATGAGATCTTCTTTCTGATGGAATGATCTTCCATTTATCTCATGTTGATACATCAGGAGTCTACTCTGACACACTAGCTTATTTCAAGACATGATACAACAATGATCTAGGATCCTGGACTTTACATCATATTATCTCAGCTTTACTCCTTTCCAATGCGAAGTCGATATATATTAAAGGCAAATTTTTCCTTTTCTGTTTAAAGGCAGAAATAAGACACCTGAGTAATATCTACAAGGCAGCCCATCAGGAGAGGAAGTTGCTTTTAAAGCAGCAGAAGGATGTCTTGCGGATCCAACAGTTAGCGGCCCATATGAAGAAGAAGCTGTACAGTGCATGCGCAGCTCAGCAGGTACACATGGCGTGCACTGGTGGGAATAGTAAATTATGTCACCAGATGGTGCAACTATTGGGTAAAACCTGTAACCTAGACCATAAAAAGTAAAAATCAATGCTGTGCATGTATATATGTCTATATATTGTTTGTTAGTCCTGTAATGGTAAGAGATATCTACCTGCACGATACATTTTCCCTCCTGCCTCTTTACCTATTGTTTTTCATGAAATATTCACTATTAGATGATGTATAAGAAGTAAAAATGTCTAATATGGATATTTGAGGGATTTTATTTTAAAAACAAAATTTACAGTTTTTAAATAAAAACCTATATCTCGGGATATGTAGGAAGGAGTAACGATTGGAGTTTGCGCAGCAGTGCCAAATACACTGCCAGCACATGAGGCTATGAACCATTCCAGATCGATGATACCACACCATCAATTAACGAATACCAGTCACATTAAATTGTTTTAAATTATGTTTTTTTAAATGGTTTCCCAGCATGCAGCATAACACTTTGTATATGAAAAGCGCTAAGTCTGAAACTAAAGAGATGTTTTAACAGAGGTCTTCCCTCCCTCTCGCAGGTTCCAGGTGACACCGAAGAACAGATAACCGATGATACTTTGTGCAGTTCTACAGTTTTATCAGCGCTGTCAAACCATGACACCGACGCTGACCTTTCAGATCACCTGGCAGATGATGATGATTTTGTAGAAGACAGAAAACAGACGTACAGTGGCAGGTACCCAATTTCTACACTCTTTCATTTACAAAACAGAGAGAAAAAAAATCATTTATTTAAGCTTTAAGACTGTTAATGGCTCTGTGAATCTCAAAGACATCTAGCCAATAAGTCCCAGGATGGCTGAAGTTTAATGTTGAATGTTTTGTAGACGGACTTCAAATAGTGACAGATCCATTTCTAGCAAATTTGTATAAGCAATGCCTGTTTTAATGGTCAATTAAGTTATGGTATTGATCAAGACTAGGAATCTTTGTCCAGTCCATCTAGTGGAACCAAAATTTGCTCATTGTGAAACCGTTATGTGAAAGCTTCTTGCTATCTTTGCTGCCATGAAGGTAAAATGCCTAGCTATGTTTGATCCAATATGGATGTTTGACCCATAGAAGGTCCAGGCACTTAGGGGTGTAATAAGGTGGTTTTAATTAAACATATACAAGCAGCAGCCTTTCAGTCTCACAATGAGGTCTTCATCAAGCTAAAATTTCAGTGCACAAGTGCAGCATTTATAAGACATGACAAACATATTAATTGAGCAAAGTAATCAAAACTAATTAATGAACAATACCTTCCCAATTAGCCTTCACTGTAGCCAGTAAACCCAACCAAAAATCATCAAATGATGTGAGGCACAGAAGCCATTCGATGGCATCAAACGCAAAATGTAGGCACCAACAGATGGTATCCAGCGTCAGCACACATACTCTGTAACGTCACCTCAATAAAAAGATTAAAATCAATTGTGACCACACATCATCATGTAATAACGTGAGACGTCAAAAATAAATAAAAATCTCAGTAGTTATGGCAACAGGTCGAGGACAGGTGTGAGAGCACAACATTATAAAACAACCATTACATAATAGTTTCTAATAAAATACCAATTGTACACATAAAGAATATCCAAATGCATTCTTTATCTCAACAAGATGTGACCTTAATTCATAAAAAGTAGAAAGTTCGCTCTGTGTTGCTTACACTGGATGTAATCTGTTAACACCAGCATTTTGCATTTGATGTCATCGAATGGCATCCATACATCACGTCATTTGACGCATAGCGTCTTATGTCATCACACCTTATGGCGTGGTTTGTTTTATATTGCCCTGGCTCCGGTTGTAGTTAATTGGGAAAGTACAGGAAGGTATTATTATTTGTATTACTATGCTTAATGTTTGTCGTGTCTTATAAATACTAATTTTGTTCAGTGAGATGTTAGCCTGAGGAAGACCTCATTGTGAGGTGAAAACGTTGCTGCTTGTAATGTGCACTTTTCACTAAAACTGCTTTATTATACACTTAAGGGGAATGGACCTTTTGTACTTTGGATTGTCCTAGAGGGGTATGCCAGCCCTGGTCTGGATTTGCACCTTGTGGTTATAGAAAGTGTGCAGATTTGTAGCTGAAAGACCCCAGCTATGTTTGGTGAAAGGAGCTGTTTATTGACATGGAACTAATAGATCTAGCTATATTCAGTAATATAGGGCTAATATATCTAGCTATGTTTACCCACATGAAGCTATTTTTGATGACGAGGATATTATTTATCATATAGCTATTTTTCAAGAGTTCCACATGGAACCCAAGATGTGTGGAATGTTGTAGAGAAAGCCAGGATCTGTTTTGGATTAATTAAACGTCATTAATGATAAATCTGAATATTTCAGCCAGCTGTATTTATCTAAGCAATTACATATGATGGGGTTTGCCTCCCAATCTTCATTTTAAAGTGAAGTGATTTGTACACGTAATGTTTGGGGTGCTGGCAGCTTAAATGTCCTATTTATATATTTTTTCAAAGGATCTCTAGTTTCTATACTCGCAAGGTCCATCCTCATATTTGTTCTATATTTTTACAGCATTCCTCTTCCAGACGTGTCACCAACAGAAGACACAAGCATTCATAAAGAAACCTTACCAAGACACCAAGGTGCTGAAATTTGTTTTTTTGCAGAAGACATGATAACAGCAGATGGCGATAGAAATAAGCGAATACCCTGGCTTTATCAGTACTGAGTATCTTCTGTGTTAGTAGTACCAACAACAATAAATGGCAGACCGTGATAACCTGACCTTTGTTGTGTGGAATATATTAAAGTGATCAGGCATCTGTTGGGGCTAGCATGAATGCACATCGTGGGAATATGTTGTACCTATAAAGTCCACACGATCCTTTTATTTAAAAAAAAATTACACTCAAATAATAAACAATCTTTGGGCAGGAAACTCTTTTCAAATATAGCATTGCAATTAAAGTGCTTATTTGTATTTATTTATGTTGTCGTAGAATTAGGTAGATGTACACATCCCTGTAGGTTTTTTTTGCAAAAAAAAAAAAAAGTCACAAATTGAAATTCCATCAGTGTTCGGAGCAACAGCAAGGACAGACAATTGGAGTTTACATGGCAATGTATGGAATATAGTTCCATCTGAATTTATGAATTGGTAATATGTGATTGTGTTGAATATTTTACGTACCATTATCTTGGGGATAAATTACATTATATGTTAATCTCACACAGGATCTGGCTGGATAAGAGAATATACCACAAGTATCAGTGTATACTCATTTTTTTTTTTTTTTGCCATTTTAATAATTGAATTATTTATTAGAAAATGTGTGCTTGCCTCTGATTGGATATAGCTCAAAATCTACAGCCTATCGGAGCGAGGCTTTAAACGGCTAAGTTACTGTATGTATATATATATATATATATATGTAAATAACACTGCCCTTTGCATGAATCGGATTTCTGCATAAATTTGTATGATAAATGGAATGCATCTGAAAGAATTTATCACCACCCCTATTGCATAAATAAAAATATTAACCAAGATTGCAGGACGGGAAAGTTAAAAGCAGTAATAATCTACATTATGCATTACAGATGGGGCTGCGGAGGGCTATCCTTCATCAGGAATGGAAGAACCAATGATGGAAGCTGTTGAGAATAATCTAAGAAAACACCATCACAAGTTTCCGACGGCGGAGAGAAAACTGTGCAATCATTCACAGGCAGGACTGGCAGCTATATTTCCTTATTTTACATTATTCATACACACACATTATTCATTCATCTACATAAGAGGGAACAGGCTGTGACTATAAATAGGCTCCTTTAAACCGGTGCGATTTATCAGTAAAAAAGTCAGGTACCAGCACAGAGCCCTGCGCGGTTGATATTGACTGTTGCTACAGACTGGGAATTTTTAGTATCAATTAAAGGGGAAATGTTATTAGACAATCAATGCAGGACTGTCCACTGGTATAAGCCTATAAAATCTTCTTGAGTAAGCCAAACACATTCAGACTTCTGTTTCCTTTGCAATAAAAGTATTTTACTGACTTGTTCATTTTCTCTAACATCAAACGTTCCTTTCCTATGAAGCTGCAGGACCTAGAATTACTGGAAGAAGATTCTGAGCTGTTGCAGAACTACAACCCCCATGATTCCTTGCTAGATTTACAGCGGATAAAGCAATAAACTAGCTGTAGTTTTGGAACAGCTGGGGATCTTGTTTTTTTGGCTACCTCTGTGATAGACAAAGATTTCAGCCAGAGGTGTTTGTCAGTCTAAACAGCTACGTGTTCACTGCTGTACAATGAACCGAGATGTTTAGGTAGGAAGTTAAATGTACATTCGCTCCAGAGCATTATGAGTAATAATTTTATTTGTATTTTTGTTTGTAGAAGAACGTGTATCTACTTCTTTTTAGCTTGCGCTAGTAATGTGTATTTTTTTGTTTTTTTTTACCAAATAACAAAAACCAGCTCTCAGCCGATGATAAGGAATTAGAAGTTGATGTAATTCCGGCTGCATTTAAAATGGATTCTAAGAAAGACAACGGGTAAATATGGAAAATGTTTTGTGAAAACATTTTTTACTGTAAATCTAGTATGTTTTCTGTTACAGTTTATCTGCACATGTTTCTTGATTTATCAGCGGCTGTGCATTGTGCTGACAGGTTGTGCACTGTCTTACTGGGCACTGTTTGACAAAATGTAACAAAGAGGTGGGGACCCCCCATCCTTACTTGGGTTAGTTAGTAAGGTTGTGTTATTTTATTGGCATAATATATGACACCAATATATTCTGTAGCACTTAATATGAGGGTATCACAGCAAACTGTAGCAGATGTTTACGGGAACAATAGGTTGTTGAGGACCTAATGAGCTTACAATCTAGAGTACAGGTAAGGAACCCAGTATATTTTAAAGGAACACTATAATGTTGGGAATACATACCTGTACAGGGCCCCCTTAAGATAATTAGAAAAAAGGGTTGAAAGACTTTTATTCACCTTTTTTTCCATTGCCAAGATCCAGTCCCTGCAGCCACTTGATCCACCTTCCACGACGTCATGCTGACTCTTCTCCTTTGACATCTTCTCGTCCTATTTAATGCTTCTCATAGAAATACGTTGGGGACGAGAAGTGCATGCACAGTGAGTGTCACACATTGAATATAATTCCTCCTTGGATGACGTCACACTCATGTGTTGCAGCAGAAGCACTTCCGAGTGGCTGTCATGAATACAGCCACTAGAGGTTTGTCCTGCAATGAAAACATTGCTGTGTCAACAAAATGGCAGGGCCACTGCACCCAGACCACTTCCTTGCGATTCATTGATCTGGGCGCCTACAGTGTTCCTTTAAGCCAATTCCAGAGGGATCTGTTCCCCTGACAGCACAGATTTCTCTCCCTCAGTCCGTCTTGGCATGTGCAGTAATACAGATGTAATTTATATCTGGAATAACATGCATTAGAGAAAACATGGGTGAGAGACTTGTACTGCCAGGGGCCACACAAGTCCTCCTCTCGCTGCTATAAACGGGGTGCAAATGGACTGTGGTCTGTATTTGTATTTTTACACTAGTGTATAACTAGCGGCTATCTGCTCCCTCCAGTTGCTCTCTGCATATAGCGATTACGCTGGAAGAAAGGTTCCAGGTACTGACATTCACACTAGGCTTGGAATGTGGCGTATCTCACTGTCTGCACTGTATTAGGAATTAACTATAAATAGTTACATCACTCAATATAATATGATTTCAGGACAAATCAGGGTCTCAATGTCCACGTGACAGACACTGACAGAACTGCGGAAGAGGAGGATGATCAACAAAGTAAGAATTAGCTATTGCCATATAAGTATTTTGCTAATTTATTGCTGATTCCAGTCAGAGACATTCCAAATTCCTTTATCACCAATGACGTTTCTATAATTAAAATAGCGCTCCTCAGTTGTTATCCTGTTTATTGTACCTTTCCTACACTGTTCATACAATCTGCATTTTTTTTCTTGAAACTGTTTTGTATTGGGGGTGGGGGGGGGAACTTCACTAAAAGTAATTTGAAATAGGATAAAAGCCCTACCTCTGCCAATTAGAGGGGTTAACTTCACAGGAGAGATGGTAGAGGACTCGTTAAATGAGTTCCGCAACTGGGCTTGTTTAGCCAGTAACCTAGTATTGGGCAGAATAAATAGGCTTATTTTAATGTTAAAAACTATTAAGCTTCACAGGGTTATTAAAAAATGTATTCAGATAGAAAAGAACTGTCACTGAGTCCAGGGTAAACTTGGACTTATGACAGTAAGGTCAGTGTGGGTGGTACCAGATCCACCCTGGGCTTGAACCTTGTAAATTATACAATATATAAGAAAAAAAAGGGGGGGATCCCAAACTCAGCAAGGGTGGGGGATTCCAAGCTGGTAGATAAATAGACAATACTTAATAAACAGAGCTAACCAATATATCTACAATAACTTTGTAGGATAAACCACCATAAATCCTCCAGGGAACTTATTAAGTACAATGCATTGTCACAGGAGAATTATTCGCTAAACAGTGCGCTGGGTAGTATTCCCTGTGACAGTTTTGTACCTGTTTAGACAGAAATATCTGGATGCATTTAAGAGTATCCAGAAGATATACACTGTCCATGATAACAGTCCAGGGTTTATTATCCACATATTTTTAGAGGTAATTGCTCACCACTCCCCAACTGGGAATCTTAGAACAATTGTGTTGTTTTTTCATTTTTATGCACTGCAATAAATGTATTTTCTTACTTGGATACATTGTACTTAATAAGTTCCCTGGAGGAGTTATGGTAGTTTATCCTACAAAGTTATTGTAGATATATTGGTTAGCTCTGTTTAGTAAGTATTGGCTATTTGTCGACCAGTTTGGAATCCTTCACTCTTGCTGAGTTTAGGATCCCCCCCCCCCTTTTTTTCTTATATATTAAAAACATTTTTTTAATTAAAGTGTATTCAAAGCAGATTTTACATTTTGGGCAAAATAGCCAAACTGAAATATAGCTGACTTCGAAAATGTGTCAGTTTCGGCTATTGCGGCTTGCAATGTAAAATTCACACTGTATTGAATAACCATGATAGAACTTATTAACTACTTTGTTGTCATACTTACTGATCGGCGATTCCCTCGATGTTACGTCCTGGTTTCGCCGATAGAACATCCTGCCCACGCACCTGACAGCAGACATCTGCTGATCTCTCCTATCCCCTGATTGGGCCTTGACTTACCAAGTACTGAGATTTATCTTGCTGCCTTCATTATAAAAGATACTGCTTAAAGTGAAATGACATTTTATCCTAAAAGGTATTTAAATAATTTTATATTTAGTTCTTAAAGTGATATACACCTCAAAGTTGTTCTCTGTAGTTGTGTTCTCCTTGTTCTGTACTGAAAGATATAACATTTGTAATAATTTGCAGACTTTGCCAATGGTAATCGAGACGTGGAACATCCAGACCATAATGCATTATCATCAGAACATAATCACCAGATTATTCACATGGAAGAAACCCCGCATGTTTTATCAGATAGTTCAGCTGCAGCAACATCTAATGAGTTCACTCAGGCAGCTGGAAATGCTGGACACGGGCATCCTCTCGCAGCATTTCTAAAGGTTTCTGCAAAGCTCATCCACATTTCTGAGAGTTCAGTTTCTGGATCTGACAAAGAAGAAGGGGCCCAAGACACCGAGAGTGGAGATTCCGAGGTGTTTGATATGGAACCCTGTGAACTTCCTTGTAAAGTACACAGTGATGATTTTGAAGACCCAATATCAACTAGAGAACCTTTATCCTTCAGATCAAATGACAGGTCCTCTGGGACACAGGAAGGCCAGATTTCCATGGACCCATATACTTGTCTACCAGACATTAATCAAAAGAATGTATTGGAACAGCATAACACAACAGGATTAGTACAAGCTGAAAAAAAATATGGTGGAAAGGGTCAACCTGAAGACCATGAAGAGCTTGTAGATCATATCATTTCAATCCAAGACCCCAAAAATACAGAAGTAAAGAAAAACACAGAGATAAAACCTAAAATAGCTCCTTTGGCATCCGAATCCTTCCCAACATCCTCCGACTTGTCGGAGACCGACACAAATACCAACAGCAGAGAATATTTAATTGAAGAAAAGGGTACTAATGGAGTCACAAACACAGGAAAATTGCCTTTGGTGAATCCAAAAAATATTATTGATATTGGTGGAATCCGTTCTACTGACTCCACAGTTAAACTGAAAGAAACTAATGAAAGACCATCTTTAAAAGAAGAAAAACTAATCTCCAAGAAAATTGAGATGGTGCCATCCCAAGCTATATCTTCAAAAGATTTATTTCAGATTAAAAGCTTCACACTTCAGAGTGAGGAAAATGTCACATTCATCACTGATGAAGATCTGCAACCGATTGAAGATGCCTTGTCAGAAATTTTGTCTCCCGTTGATGAAATGCTTTCATATGAAAGTGCAGACTTATACTCCGCAAAAAAGGATAACTCATACCCCAGTGAAGACCTACCCTCCATACCGGAAGATGTTGAGTCAATTAAAAGTAATGATGTCGACAGCTATGATTTTCCTACACCACCAGAACAAATAGTTTTTTCTTCCAATGAAAGCATGCAAAGTAGTTTAGAGGGGAGTATAATTGACGAGATGCATTTATCACATGAGTATGGTTTAACAGAGGAAATGCTTCTTCCATCGGCAGACTTAAGCCGAGACAGCATAGGTTACTTCAACGACCAAAAATTGTCTATGTTTCCTACAGAAGATGTGGGAAAAGAAAATTTGTCTAAACCTTTTAAAATTGATAAGCCTTTTCTAACGTTATCCAAAGCGGAAGAAGACTTCAATGACCCTTTGTTTACGTTTGATCTTGGTGACCGAGTTTTGGTAAAGCTTTCAAAGCCAGGTACTCTAAAATTTAAAGGGTTGACTGCTTTTGAAGAAGGCTATTGGGCTGGAGTGGCTCTTGACAAACCAGAAGGTGACCACAATGGAACATATGAAGGAATAACTTATTTTAAATGTCCTATGAAATGTGGTGTTTTTGTAAGACCACGGCAAATAACACATTTATTGGGGGATGATAAGTCAATCTCTGAAAATATCACTGACAATGATGAAGAAGGTGACGATCAGTCTTTTGATAAGAACTCTAATCCAAGTGGTAATAGGTCATATCCCCCAAAAGAACCAGAGGAGAAGGAAAGCAAAGAAAATGTTACCTATCCTGTTGAAGAAGGTAATAAATTTAGATCATGTCTCTATTCACACAAAAGTAGTTGTAACATAAAGGTTATAGATCTCTATGAGCCTGCAAGTAATTTCAAAGGTTTGGATATACGCCCAAGGGGCCTAAACACTGAAAATGAGGACATCATAGGTGAAGACAAAGAACCAACTTGGGATTTGCAAGAAAACATGATCTACAGCAAAAAAACTAAAGTGCAAATAACGTTGGGAGACAAAAAGCAGACGTTGGTCTTAAGGATTTGTGAAGACCTCATAGCTAAAGTTATTCACGAAGCCATTTGGAAATGTACTAGAATCGTTCAACGAAAACAACCAAAAACTAGTAACAATGAATATGCATTTAAAACCAAAAAAAAGCAAGACGAAAACTATTCTCCTCCCATAAGCATTATTTGTTCCAGTCTGTCAACTTTGGAAAAACAAAATGGCAGTCCAAATGGACTTGTCGAGGATTTAGCTGATAAACTAATAACTAACATAATTCAGGACTCTATAAAGGAATATAAGAAATTAAAAAGAAATAATGGAAATACGAGCGATATTCAGTCTTGTCACATCTCTCAATCTTTTCTGGTAAGTTTAATGTTCTTTTTCAGAGATTGTTTAAGTTTTTAATTGACATAACTCCTATTATCTTGTTTTCCACTAAGCTGTGATTCATTGTGGATTTAAAGTGTGTTTCAAATTGTAGGTAAAAAAAAAAGAAACTAAAAACATACCTGGCTTGGAGAACTTTCACAATTCAGCTGTTGGCCTAAAATTTGACTTTCACTTTGAATTACCAGCAATCCACAATTTAGTGAATAACCTTGAAAATATTAGTAAGGTTAAAACCATTAACCACAACGCTGAACAGGTTTGTTTTGCAATACCTTGCCCTTCCCCAACAAATTTAATGCCAGTACTATGTATTAAACGTGATAGAATTTTAAACTTGTACAACATTTATTTTTCCTCCATCTGAACCACTGCGTTATTTTTCTTTTGCAATTCTACCCCTTGGAATTTCATTTTGCTACCTCCTTTTGGCAAAACAAAAATAGATGTAATATCCCATTGTATTGTCCGTGGGATGGGGCAGATCCCATCTGATAGTCTACCAGCAGGTAGAAGAAAAATTTGTGTGCTGTGAACTGACCTGCAGGAAATGAAGTCCCATCCCTGCCCAATATAGGATCACAAGAGAGAAATGCAAAGGGAGATCTGAGCCGGGGAGCCACATATCTCCAATTGTCACAAGCCAGTAAAGTGGGCAGTTGATATTGGCACACAGCCTCGATTTAATATTGTTTGGTAAGCTCCTTTGGATAAACTTAAAATTATTATTTTGTTTAAATATTAGAATAACAAAAAGAAACTGTATAACAATACAGTGGTACCTCGGTTTAGAAATGCCTTGGCTAACATCATTTTCGGTTTACAAATGAAAATCCATTGAAAATAATGCCTCGGTTTATGATTTATTTTCACATTGCGCCTGGGAGTTTTATAGCGCCGCCCCTGTGCATGCTGGAGTCTGTGGGTAGCACGTTGCATCGAGTGTGGAGGTGTTGGAAAAGTTTTTGCATCAAATTTTGGAGCCATTCTGGAAATTTTTGGCAGCGTTTTTGGCACTTTTTGGAACTTTTTTGGTGCATTTCTCAAGCAGTGGAAAGGCAGGGAGCTGAGCTTCGTAGTTTGCATGCCTTTTACTGTGTGTTCTGCATTGTGGGTTGGTTTCCATGCCAGCTCATTTTGACTTTTTTCTGACCTCCGGAACAGATTCATTGGTTTTCAATGCATTCCTTCAGCCACTTACCTTTATCCAGCGCCAGGCTCCCTCGGCACTGGTGACCTCTCCTTCCCCTCCGACGTCAGCTCCCGAGTGGAGCCGAATGCGCATGCACGGCCTGAGCCACGCACGCATTAAAAACGCAAATAGGAAAGCATTTCTCAATGCTTTCCTATGGATGTTCTGCATGCTCAATGTGATTTTCGCATTGAGCGTCAGGGAAGCGCTTCTAGCGGCTGTCAGGAAGAAACTGCCATGTTTACATCTGAAGGGTTAAAACCTGGGGGACCTGGCACCCAGACCACTTAATTGAGCTGAAGTGGTCTGGGTGACTATAGTAGTCTTTTAAACTTCCCAAATATCTTGAGGATGTTTATAAGATCAGCTATTCCATTTTAATGATATTGTGAAACAAAACCTTAATTCATGGATCAATGTTAGTTTATCGATGCTATGATGAGTCAGTATGCATAAAATGATGCTCATTCCCGCATGTTCCATCTGTCAGTTCCGAACTCCTTTTTTCACACAGTTCAACCCAGGTTTCCCAGGTTCATTTAGGGTCGGTCATAGGTTTCCAATAAAGTTATAAAACTTCACTCTTTTAGAGGAGACTTGGGTGTCTCCAGTGTCTGTTAGTATTACGCTCTTCGCTTGTATGGTGAATAGTGTTGTTAAATGCTAGGTATCTATTCAGTCCCCTTCCTTCAGTGCCCCCACATGTCCATCTCAAAAACTGAATTGCATCCAATCCCACTCACCTTATCCATTTACTGGAGAATTCTAAACTACTCCCAGCTAAATGTAATCTTACTCCAATGCAATTTCTATATACAGATTGCTGGGATTGGTACTGAACATATTTTTCTGCTGCTTTCCCCAAAGAGTTCTAGAATCCACTGTATCCCCACTCTCTTCCTCTGTGTTTATATTCATAATGAACAAATACCCAAACAACACTCTTAATGCTATGCAACTACTCTCTTTGTGGCAGAATTGAAAAAAAAAACCTCCAAAATGCTTAAATATGAGACGGATATACGTCAGCAATGCCCCCTGGTGGAATGGCACGTACTATTAATGCACTCCGTACAGTCTACAAACCATATAGAGGTGAATTATAAATCACTATTGCAGTGGTATTATCCACCCTTTAACTACACTAAATATTTCCATCCCCTCCCTGTATCTTCTGTTTCCTCTATCCAGCCTGACAGGAAGCTGTTTGGTGCTCTCAGTAAGCACTACCTGTCAGACTGGGCAGAGGATAACAGTAGATCATCTACCCATGGTCCGTTCGGCCACGCTACATGCAGTGACCAGCAAGATGGGGAGCGCTGTGCTGTGCACCACCCTCCTGCAGGACAGGCGGAGATTGTGCCCCCTAATCAAGATTAATGTCTTAGCCAAGGAGGTGGGGCAGCAATAGAGGTAAAGTAAAATTTAGGGGTTTAAGTAAAATTGCCTTTCATACACCTTCTCTTTCACTTTATTCTCTCTCATCTTGTGGCGGTCCACTTGAGGTGTTGGCTATCGGCTGGGAATACCTCATTTATTTGTATTATTAAAGGGATTTTTACTATGGTATGATTATATTCCTTTATATATGGTATTCTCCCTTATATGTACCACTCATATCCCCATATTCTCTATTGTACCCTGTATTTTTCTCTTCAACGCTGAAAACCCCAGTAATAAAGAACTGATCGCGTACACCTTCCAAAAATACCCTCATTGTCTGTTAATAACAGAATGGTTACAATTCAATGTAATCACTGTGTGAACTAATTCAGTTAGAAGCGATAGACTTATCTCTTGTACCTGAATGCCACGTACCCCATAGAAGTCAATGGGAGAACTGCTATTTAATTATAAGACGCACGCTTATCATGTGTGATCTGACCTACGATCCCCGATCATTAGTATAATTCTGCTGCTTTAGCGGAGGTCAGACATGAGGAGTTATTTTCATTCTCTGAACCGCTCATGAAACCTCTAAATGTGTTTGTCTAGCTTTCAGGAAGAGGTATGTTTTGTATACATTGGCTTTGCATAAGGAAAAAGTCAGATTATATACTTAGATTGCCAAATAAGAGATTTAGCTAAAGGTTAAACTGTGCAATGTTTATCTAGGCATCCTTGCAAAAATATATCACACCGTTTCCTTATAACAGCTTAACCTGGGAGCAAATTATATGATTATAAACACTCCCTAAGATGATTAAAGGGGCTTTGCGATGTGTTTGTTTTCGCTTAATGAAATTCTATATCTCAATCGGTCTATATATTTATAGAAATCTTGTCCTGTTTTAAAGTTATCGTGTTTTAACTTTATGGAATATTTTATAACTCATATATTTCTAGGTATCACTTTTTATTTTTATTTTCTGATTGACAGCTGAGGGCAGCCCACAGTAAACTACAGAAAGACTTCAGAATGAACAGCCGTAAGATAAAGTCATTTCTTCTTTCTGGTAGTAAAAAACGTGCAATGGGCACAAATAAGACAACATATGGCCAGAGATACTTTAAATAAAATGTATAGTCCAATCAATGTGGCATGCCAAATTCTGGCATTGGTATTGTTGTTACTCAAAAGCTCCTCCCGGGATCGCTAGCATAATGCGAAATAATCATGAAGAATGGATAGAAACAGAGAAACATCGAATGTGACGGCAGATAAGAACCATTCGGCCCATCTAGTCTGCCCAATTTTCTAAATACTTTCATTAGTCCCTAGTCTTATTTTATAGTTAGTATAGCCTTATGCCTATCCCACACATGCTTAAACTCCTTTACTGTGTTAACCTCTACCACTTCAGCTGGAAGGCTATTCCATGCATCCACTACCCTTTCAGTAAAGTAATACTTCCTGATATTATTTTGAAACCATTGCAGCTACTGTCTATCCACGTTCCCTCAATTCCCTCAATTCCCAGCACTTTATAGCTATAAACCAAGTTGTGCATTACCCCTGTTTTAACACCTTAATTCCGAATTCAGTTAAAAACATTTTGAATATAAGACTTGACGACTCCCCACAGTCAGAACATATGCTCAGTTTGTAAATTGTAGGTGGCACCCCTCTTTTGGTTGATCAACCCCATCTTAATAACCTAAATTCCTGACATATTACTAATGGTCTAGCAGGTGAGATCTCCATTAATGGGCGTCAGAGTTGAACATGATGGTATCTGAACAATTTGCCCGTAAGGTGGTATGTAAGACTGTCAGTTGGCCAGAAAGGTCAGCTGCGTCAGGAGAGCTACCGAGATAGAATCCTTAAGAACGTTTGAGTTATACTATAGTTCTTTCCGTATCAGTTTAGCATCATATATTTCTTTTTTTCTATTGTTATAATTCAGTGTCTGCACAAGGACACCAGGAAAAACGGAGCACTCAGCAACTATGAAGAGGCCTGGAAATCAAATGTCATGCATACCCTCTTCGAAAACTTGTTGATAAATTCTTTGGAGACGATAGAAAATATTTACGTGAATAAATCAGATTGTACTAGAACAGAACACCCAGGTAAACCTTATCACAAGCCGAAAAATATAATCCTACTTTTTAATAATTTTATTTTTGTGGCTATCAGACTGCAATTGTTCTTCATTTGGTTGTACAAATTCGTCTGTTTCAACCTTGAGTTTGAAAGGTAAAAACCCATTCGGATCACCACAAAAGGCAACTCCGTAACGTGCACTGCGCCGTCTAACCTTAAAAATGGTTTTGACATATAATAAGGAAGTGAAGCGGAAGGGATCTCCAGTGGATAAGTTGAACTTTGGGTTCCTGAAATCCTGTTTCTCGTCAAACCATTTGAAAATGGTTTTACTAAAATCCAGAGGGCCTTCCCCCAGACTCCTAACAACCATAAACACTAGAATAAGCTGAAGTGGTTATAGTGTTTAGAGCAGGGGTGTCTAAAAGGTAGATCCCCAGATGTTGTAGAACTACAACTCCCTTGATGCTTTGCAAGCCTTTGGAATGCCTTTAGAAGAGCAAAGAATCATGGAAGCTGTAGTTTTAAAACATCTGGGGATCTACCTTTTAAGCAGCCCTGGTTTAGAGTGGCACTAGATAAGTCTACTGCAGATCATTTATATATCGTTTTGGGGGGGGGAGGGAAGTGTCTTGTATTAAACCAATTTTAAAAAACATTAAAACGCTATTAAAAACATTATTATCAGCTAGCATGTTTAGTCTGTATTGGTAATGGTAGAATGGATCACTTTTAGGGAGAAGCAGAATCTCAGAATCAATATAAAGTTTTAAAAGAAAAACTAGCTTAAACTATTAAACTACTGATTTATTTAAATTCCGTTTTAGTGAATCGTTCTAATTAATGGGCTCATATTAACAGAGCGCCTTTCTGATGCATTGCAGAAATATTGTAGAGCATTTACTAAAAAAAACAATTTCATTATAATTATTCTATTAAAGATTCTCAATCATGCGTCATACCTTTCACTTTACAGAATATCAGAGCCAGAGCAGTTCATTAACTTGGAAGAAAGTATGTGATTTATAATTGGTTAGTACCCGTTCTCCACTGTTATTCGTTGAGTGGGAAGAGCGAGTTTATGTACCAATGGGCTTTTTTTCGGTTACAGCTTGTTGTTTGAAATTTATTTACAGCTCCCTGAATTCCTAGACGATTAAACGTTTCTTGGAAGGAATTTTTTATCTCAGATTGTGGAACAATAAGAAAATGAAATTTTCCACTGGACGAGCTACAGACTGCGAACACCTCCTCTTATTGGCAGGAAAAAAACTTGTTTCTGTAAGCCGTGTGCTATCCATCCATAGCTACAAACTTAGGTTTGTATTCCTCCTTGAGCTACACAATAAAAATCTGAGGTTGTCAACCTACCACAGTTAATTAAAGTGGCACTCTATAAACACCATAACCACTACATCCTGCCACCCAGCTCCTTGCTTGGCATTCCGGAACCTACCCATGGTTGTCATGGTAATTGCTGCAAGTGATAATTGTCAGCAATTCAAAGTGAATTTCAAAATTTACACCAAAATAGCCAAACTGGAAACATAGCTGACCTAGAGACATTTTCAAATATAGATATTTTGGCCTTAAATTTGAAATTTACTTTAAATTCACTTTAAACGCCCAGCAATTCCCACTTTAGTAACTAACGCTTGTGAGTCTTCTTTCATACACACACACACAAAGCACATCACTGTGAGTTTTGTCGCTGTGGAGCTCTGTGATAAACGTACACACGTAATAAATTGCAATGCACTTTTGGATGTAACAGAAATTGTATTAATTTTACTACAATAAATCTCTGTGATTCTCTTGTATATACTACACATTATTGTGAGTTGAATTGCTGTGGAGCTCTGTGATATTTTATTTCAAATATGGCTTTTAATTTATTTTGATACCATGTATGACTCTGTTATTATCGGCTAGAACCTTAAGAAAATGACAACATTCCAGAGACAATTGTATTTTATAAACATTTCATAAAACGTATTGTTGTAAATTAAATATTTTTATATATTTTATATAAAGAAGTTTTTGCGTGCTGTGAAAATACCAAATATTTTTTTTGCACATTTTTATTAAATCGTGGGCTGCTATCCTTATCTGCTTTGTTTGATAATACAAGTTTGGTGGGGTTTTTTTTTAATATCTTTTTTATTTATTTGCATTTACTCACTGTACCCAATAAACTAATTTATTTTATGCACAGAAATTACTGCAAAATGTGTTTTTTTTTTTTTTTATCTTGTCGATCATCTGACGCGTGAGTTAAAGGTGTTGGAGTGAAGCAAATTTGATAAGAAAGTTGTGTGGGAAAAAAACTAGTGTCGACGATTTCTTTAGAAATCTGTGTAATAACTGATATTGGTAATTGGTGAAATTTTATGTGGCAGAGTTATGGCTGCCAATTGCACAGACTCGCAGCCTGGGGAGAGGAGGGAATTTTTTACCTGTTTTGGTTTTATTTCATGAGGTCTTTACATTGAAGAAGATGATCCCCCATACAAGAGACAAACCATTTTGTCTAGCCTACTCAGATTATTAGGGGTCCCCTGACAGTTTTTTCTCAAACCAGGCAGTAAACATTATCCCCTAGATCCTAGAATATAAGTAATTGCTACTTTTAATCACAGGAATCATTTGTACCCCACTTTACACGTCTTATAATAAAGAATTTACCATGAATACGGGACTGAACTCTAGGGCGCATTTAGCACCCCCCCGACTACCCTTACACACAGCAAGTAGAGGGGTAAACAAAGCTTTTGCTGATATTATAAAGCCAATCTCAAGATATAGCGTAACCAATGTATATGACTAGACACCTGTCCTAGCGGAACCATACCACAGTGACCACAGTCTGTCTTTATCAAACTTACGTCTAACCCTTAACAAGCTTAGTTACACTGGCATGTTATGTTATAGAAGCGATTTTGTATTAGCCTGACCTAGCTGAACCATAACACAGCAAACATAGTATGTCTTAACTCAGCCTGTGGTTAACTTAGCATGATTTATCAAACTTACGTCTAATCCTTAACAAGCTTAGTTACACTGGCATGTTATGTTATAGAAGCGATTTTGTATTAGCCTGACCTAGCTGAACCATAACACAGCAAACATAGTATGTCTTAACTCAGCCTGTGGTTAACTTAGCATGATTTATCAAACTTACGTCTAATCCTTAACAAGCTTAGTTACACTGGCATGTTATGTTATAGAAGCGATTTTGTATTAGCCTGACCTAGCTGAACCATAACACAGCAAACATAGTATGTCTTAACTCAGCCTGTGGTTAACTTAGCATGATTTATCAAACTTACGTCTAATCCTTAACAAGCTTAGTTACACTGGCATGTTATGTTATAGAAGCGATTTTGTATTAGCCTGACCTAGCTGAACCATAACACAGCAAACATAGTATGTCTTAACTCAGCCTGTGGTTAACTTAGCATGATTTATCAAACTTACGTCTAATCCTTAACAAGCTTAGTTACACTGGCATGTTATGTTATAGAAGCGATTTTGTATTAGCCTGACCTAGCTGAACCATAACACAGCAAACATAGTATGTCTTAACTCAGCCTGTGGTTAACTTAGCATGATTTATCAAACTTACGTCTAATCCTTAACAAGCTTAGTTACACTGGCATGTTATGTTATAGAAGCGATTTTGTATTAGCCTGACCTAGCTGAACCATAACACAGCAAACATAGTATGTCTTAACTCAGCCTGTGGTTAACTTAGCATGATTTATCAAACTTACGTCTAATCCTTAACAAGCTTAGTTACACTGGCATGTTATGTTATAGAAGCGATTTTGTATTAGCCTGACATAGCTGAACCATAACACAGCAAACATAGTATGTCTTAACTCAGCCTGTGGTTAACTTAGCATGATTTATCAAACTTATGTCTAATCCTTAACAAGCTTAGTTACACTGGCATGTTATGTTATAGAAGCGATTTTGTATTAGCCTGACCTAGCTGAACCATACCACAACAAACATAGTATGTCTTTAGTGATGTCCCGAACGGTTCGCCACGAACGGTTCGCCACAGACTCATCATTGAGTAAACTTTGACCCTGTACCTCACAGTCAGCAGACACATTCCAGCCAATCAGCAGCAGACCCTCCCTCCCACCTCCTGGACAGCTCATTAAGAATGCAGCTTCAAAATGGATGCTGTCCAGGGGGTGGGAGGGAGGGTCTGCTGCTGATTGGCTGGAATGGGTCTGCTGACTGTGAGGTACAGGGTCAAAGTTTAATCAATGATGAGTCCGTGGCGAACCGTTCGTGGCGAACCGTTCGCAAACCGTTCGGCAAACCGTTCGGGACATCACTATATGTCTTAACATATCTTGCCTGTGGTTAACTTAGCATGATTTATCAAACTTACATCTAACTCCTAACACGCTTAGTTACCCTGGCATGTTATGTTATAGAAGCGATTTGTAATAGCCTGACCTAGCTGAATCATACCACAACAAACATAGTATGTCTTTAGTGATGTCCCGAACGGTTTGCCGAACGGTTCGCCATGGACTCATCATTGAGTAAACTTTGACCCTGTACCTCACAGTCAGCAGACACATTCCAGCCAATCAGCAGCAGACCCTCCCTCCCCCTCCCACCTCCTGGACAGCTCACTAAGAATGCAGCTTCAAAATGGATGCTGTCCAGGGGGTGGGAGGGAGGGTCTGCTGCTGATTGGCTGGAATGTGTCTGCTGACTGTGAGGTACAGGGTCAAAGTTTAATCAATGATGAGTCCGTGGCGAACCGTTCGCAAACCGTTCGGCGAACCGTTCGGGACATCACTATATGTCTTAACATATCTTGCCTGTGGTTAACTTAGCATGATTTATCAAACTTACGTCTAACTCCTAACACGCTTAGTTACCCTGGCATGTTATGTTATAGAAGCGATTTGTAATAGCCTGACCTAGCTGAACCATACCACAGCAAACACAGTATGTCTTAACTCAGCCTGTGGTTAACATAGCAAGTTTTATCAAACTCACGTCTAACTCTTACTATGCTTACGGACCCTAGTACGTTATGTTCTATAAGCGATGTTTTTTAGCTTGTTGTATTCCTGATTATACAAAAATGTGCCGACCAAAATGCTGTTGTGGTTCTACATGCTTGCACAAGAAAAATAAAGAATTTAGAAAAAAGAATTTACCATGAAAATGTATTTTCTCCGTTAGACCAATAATTCTTTGCAACATACAAATAGGAGATTTTAGGTACTATTTATGTGTTGTGGTTTTTATTAATGATTCAAAGACTACTCTACTAACATGACATTTTTAAAAATCTTGTGTCGTACAAGGACGAAAAATATATTGTCACTCAGATAGTTAATAATCTTGACAATGAACACATTTGTTATTTTACAAGTCAGAACCACCTTAGTTTTTCCCTGTGCTCCGATTCCAAGGTTGCGAGCCAATGTTAATCTCTGCGTCCCCAAACACTTCTCTTCAAGTCTAATCAGCACTATGTAGTGGTCGTAACCCTATTCAAAGGGTTAAACAAGGGAAGAAAGTGGCCAGCACTATCTCACGATGTGTAATCCCATCAAACAGGGCACACAGAGTGGTTTGGCTGTCAGATGTACTGACCCCCTGGGTGACTTCAATATCAAGATTACTTCAAGGCGTAATCTCCTCCTTGGCTTTTTAATAGCCACGGGAAAACTTTGATCAATAAATTGGAATATCCTTGAAAGAGACGATCATCGTAAATGGAAAAATACTTTGTTTTTTTCTTCTAAAACAGGATCTTATTTGACAGTAATTAACTCTTTTTCATGTCAAGGAGCAGCTGTACAATTTAGAGCAGATTATTTTTAAAGCTTGCTGTTTTTAGATTAAAAGGAAACTCCAAGTCCACCTGCGGTTTCTACTAATATTATATTTATCTGCAGATATTTATTAAAAATAATGACTGCAGCCATAGCCACGTCAGTCATCTCTATGAGATCCCAGCAAAGAACCCCCTGCCAGTAGGAGAATTTGTCTGGCATAGTCAATGTTTAAGTCCTCTCCAATAGATTTCTATGAAAGAGCATGTACAGTAGACATGGACATTATCGCATTGCAAGTGGCTTCATTTATGAAAAAACATCAACTGAGAAATTTGGTAAATTAGTAGAAAATATCTATTAACGTTCTTTTGCCAATGAAAGCTCTGCAGACTGCTAGACACCAGCTTATAGGTAGTACACAGTGCTCTCATTGATAATAGGAGGACTACGATTGGCTGTGAAATCCTAGCCACTTCCTAGTCTGTGTAGATACTGCAGACTTGCAGCTAATGAATGATACTTCAGATGTAAATATCTATCTGTTGCTTTTCACTTTTATTTATTTTTATCAACTATCACAACTACTGTCTGACAAAGGCACAGCCATGGCATTTCATGCAAATTACCTGACATTTCTTATGGCTCTGATCTAATTCAAAGTAAACCTGTCTCAGCCAAACTCACTAAGTAAATATTTAAATTAGGATCACACTGCACCATGGAGCAAATTGATTTTATAAACCCTATCCAGCTTCTTATGATTCAGTAATACTGTATTAATTCTATTGGGTAGGTAGGCTTCACGGTAGCTTTCTATGCTACTATTGTTGCATGAATTATTATTTATAATCGGTATTAATAGTGTACACAGACAGTATTGGAGTCCTGTAAGCTGAATATTAAAACTCAGTGTAAGGTTAACCTTACCTTTTTGACGCTTACAAATGATTAACCCTCTGTCTTCTGTGCAGTATTAATACTAATACTTGGTTTAGAAGAATTAACCGAAATGTACTCAGTCTAACACTATTATTGTTATTATTAACCCTGTTAGGTCTACAAGGTGGCCCCCTGTCTGTCACACAGCGTATTATTATTATCCCTGTAATGTCGCCCCATGCCAGACAGTACATTATTATTACAATATTATAAAGTTATTAATATTATTATATTATCCCTGTCACACAATATATTATTGTATATTATTATTATTATTATATTGTTATTATCCCTGTCACACAGCATATTATTATTATTCCTTTAATGTTGCCCCATGTCAGACAATATATTATTATTACAATATTATTATAAATATTATTATCCCTGTCACACAGTATATTATTATATTATTATTGTTATATTACCCCGTCACACAGTATATTATTAAATATTATATTATTATAATTATTATCCCTGTAACATAGTATATTATATTATTATTATATTAGTATCCCTGTAACACAGTATATTATTACATATTATATTGTTATTATTATATTATATTATCCCTGCCACACAGTATATTATATTATTTTTATATTATTATATATTATTATAATAACTATCACTGCAACACAGTAAATTATTATGATATATTATTATATTTATTATTATTATTATATTATCCCTGTCACACAGTATATTATATTATTATATATGTATTATTATTATTATATATTATTATTATTATATTATTATTATAAATTATTATATTTATTATTATTATTATTATATTATCCCTGTCACACAGTATGTTAAATTATATATTATTATTATATTATTATTATTATTATATTATTATATTATTATAATTATTATATTATTATTATTATTATTATATTATTATTATTATATATTATTATTATATTATTATTATTATTATATTATTATATTATTATAATTATTATATTATTATTATTATTATTATATATTATTATTATTATATATTATTATTATTATTATTATTATTATTATTATTATTATATATTATAGATTATTATTATATTATTATTATTATTATATATTATATTATGATGATGATGATAACATTATCCCGGTGTTGTGTAACCCATAATAACAGACAGACAGGCAGAGCAGAGAGAGAGAGAGCAGAGAGCAGGCCGGTGACGTCATTGCCCGGCCCCCATTCCCAGTAGCCCCGCCCCTGGTTACGGTCGCGGCCGGTGACGTCACGGTGGGTGGGCGGGGTGGAAGGTCAGGCAGTCGCTGTGATGATGGCTGGCGGCGGTGCGGGGTTCCTGCTGCTGCCGCTGCTGCTGTTGCTGGCCGGGGCCCTTCCCCCGGGGGCCCCCAAGGAGCTGTACAGCCCGCAGGACCCGCTCGCTCTGCTGGACTCCCGCTCGCTGCCCCGGGCTCTCAATAACTCGGCCTCCGCCTGGCTGCTCGAGTTCTACTCCTCCTGGTGCGGACACTGCGTGCAGTACGCCCCCACCTGGCGGGTCCTGGCCGGGGATGTCAAGGGTGAGCCGGGGGGGGGGGAATGGAGGGGGTGCCGGGAGGAATGCGGGGAAACAAGGGGACTGGGGGCAAGCAAGAGACTGGGAGAATGGGGAAAACACAAGGGAATGGGGGCAGCAGGGACTGGGGAAACACGCAGGGAATGGGGGCAAGACTGGGAAACAGGGGAATAGGGCAACAGGGGACTGCAGAGGAAACACTTAGAATGAGGGCAACAAGGGGACTGAAACAGGGGAATGAGGGGCAACAGTAGGAAACAGGAATAGGGGGCAACAGGGACTGGGAAACAGAGTGGGGGCAGCAAGAGGACTGGGAAACAGGGAATAGGGCAGCAAAAGGGGACTGGGGAATAGAAACAGGGGACGCTGGGAAACAGGGAATGGGGCAACAGGGGACTGGGAAACAGGGAGATAGGGGCAACAAGGGACTGCAGAGGGGAATGGGGAAGCAGGACTGGGAATAGGGCAGCAATGGGACTGGGGAGGAATGGGGGCAACAATGGGACTGGGGAATGGGGAAAACAAGGAATGGGGCAACAAGGACTGGGGAAACAAAAAGGGGACTGAAGGGGAATAGGGGCAACAAAGGGGACTAGAAACAGAAGGGAATAGGGCAACAAGGGACTGGAAACAGGGAATAGAAACAAGGGGACTGGGGAGGAATGAGGGAAAACAAGAATGGGGGCAGCAGGAAATGGGGGGCAACAAGGGGACTGGGGAAACAAGGGACTGAAAGGGGAATGGGGGCAACAAGGGACTGGAAACAGGGGAATAGGGCAGCAAAGGGGACACAGGGGAATGGGGAAACAAGGGAGGACTGGGGGGGGAATGGGGAAACAAGGGACTGGGGAGGAATGCGACAAGAGGACTGGGGAGGAATACAAACAAGGGGACTGGGAAACAGGGAATGAAACAAGAGGACTGGAAACAGGAATGGGAAACAAGGGGACTGGGGAGAATGGGAAACAAGGGGACTGGGGAGGAGTGGGGGAAACAAGGGGAATGGGGACAAGGGGACTGGGGAGGAGTGGGGGAAACAAGGGGAATGGGGGGTCTGGGGGAAACAAGGGGACTGGAAAGGAATTGGGGCAGCAGAGGGTCTGGAGGGAGAATGAGGCATTAAGGGGACTGGGGAGAAATGGGGGGCAACAAGGGGAATGGGGAGGAATGGGGGGTCTGGGGGAAACAAGGGGACTGGAAAGGAATTGGGGAAGCAGAGGGTCTGGGGGGGAGAATGAGGCATTAAGGGGACTGGGGAGGAATGGGGTAACACCGGGAATATGGGGCAGCAGAGGGTCTGGGGAGGAATCGGGCAACAAGGGGAATGGGGGGAGATTGGGGCATTAAGAGGACTGGGGAGGAATGTTGGCAACAATGGTAATGGGGGGCAGCAGGGCATTTGTGGGGAGAATGGGGAAACGGGAATGGAAGGCAATGGGAGGAAACAAGGAGTCTGGGGAGAAATGGGGGGGCTGCAGTATGACTTGGGAGGAATGGGGTAATAGGGGGTTTGGGGAGTATTAGGAGGATTACATGGGATGTGGGGTTAAACAAGGATGGTAAGGTGGGATCTGTGGAGGCAATGAGGAACCTGGGATAGTGGAGTGGCATCTGGGGAGGCTCTAGGCAACTCGTGAGGGCTAGATGTAAGAAGGTATCTGAGAAGGCAGCAAGTCACCTGTGGGGGTATGGGGTGTGTGTGGGGGGGGATAATGAGAAATGGGGTACAGTAACTGGGGAGGTATTGGGGTTAATGCAATATGTGGAGGCAGTACTGTAACTGTGGAGGAATTGGGGTTAAAGAAATATGGGGAGGCAGTACGGTAACTGAGGGATGGTATTGGGGTTAATGAGATATGGGCAGGCAGTACGGTAACTGAGGGATGGTATTGGGGTTAATGAGATATGGGCAGGCAGTACGGTAGCTGAGGGATGGTATTGGGTTAATGAGATATGGGGAGGCTGTTTGGTAACTGAGGGATGGTATTGGGGTTAACGAGATATGGGCAGGCAGTACGGTAACTGAGGGATGGTATTGGGGTTAATGAGATATGGGGAGGCTGTGCGGTAACTGAGGGATGGTATTGGGGTTAACGAGAAATGGGCAGTCAGTACGGTAACTGTGGAGGGATTGAGGTTAATGAGATATGGGGAGGCAGTACATTACCAGGGGAAGCTAGGAGGCACCTAGTGTGGTCTAGGGTTAAGAAGGGATCTGAGGAGGGATGAAAGCAGCAACAGAGCTGTAAAAGTTTTGAACAGGTAGGTATGGAGCAGTATAGGTCTTGGGGAGACATACATCTGAGGAGCACAAAAGGAAATGGGAAGCTAATAAGGCACTTGAAAAAGGTATGAGGGTAGCGAAGGATAGGTAATAAAGTCATCATGTAGGGAGGGGTGGAGCAGCAAGGGATCTGGAAAATTCTTACATAAACTAAATTGGGGTGGCACGGAATCTGGAGAATTCATAACCTGGGGATGCATGGGGCAGCAAAGGAACCGTGGATCACTGAGGCATATGGTCATGGACTGGGGCAATAAATCCTATTCAGGGAGAGGCAGTGAGTTAACTGGTTAGGAATGACTGTCCTGAAGCAATAAATATTACTAGGAATGGGGAAGTTAGGCACTTGGAGGGAGATGTTGGTAACCTGGGAAGAGGAGAAATAGAACAGTGGGCATTTATGTATTAAAAAAAACCCAAGACGGCATACAAGAGATCTGCAGCTTTTTCAAGCTCTTTTTAGATATATCCCCAATTAAAAATGCACAAATAAATGCATGCATGTTTTCTTTGAGGTATGAGTACTAAACAGTAGTATTTATTTATATATATATATAGATAGATATATATATAGATAGATATAGATATGGATATGGGCAGGGTTGTGACACTTTAAGGTTCAAAAACTTGTCTAATTTGCGCTGGCCCTCTTGCTCCTGGAAGCACTGGCCACTGAGCCTAGCCTGGCATCCAACGAGCCAGTCCTGCACAGGAGCAGAGGTGACAGCGGTGGGCAACTGGCAGAACCCAGATAAATTGTCAAAACATTCTGGTGATGGAGCTTAAACTTTCTTTTAAATTGTGTGATTTTTATTTATTTCATAAAGATCTAATTTTCATGAAATGCTCATATTGACTGTATTGGAATGTCCTTGAAATTCCAGCACATTTTAAAAGAGGCAAAAAAAAAAAACAATATAAAGACTTTAATGTCCTGTGGTAAAGCTTGAGGTTAATGAAAGGCAGACCTTCTACCATCACGTTCTGTCAGTTGTGGGAAGTGTTAATTCTCACAGATTGCAAGATAATTAGGAAGTGAAAAATGTTGGGAATTCAAAAGGAATTTACACATTTAAGTCCACAGTAGCCATGTTAGAAAAATCTGCTATGCTTCCAGTTCAGCTATTTTAGTCTTGCGTTTGAAATTCATCTGAATTCCCAACATTCTCATTAGTAAATAACCCTGTTAGTCTATGGACACTTCCATAGTCTGGCAGGAATTTTGCATATACATCGGTTTTGTAATCTTGGGCATATACAGCCAGTACAGCACTGACGTGTCCCCTGGTGGATGAAGCGCCTGAAATTAAAGATGGCAGTGCCCACTGGGTTACAGCTTTTGGTAAGTGTAACTACCCCTAGGACCGCAGATCCGAAGAGGTTTGTGCAAAGAGTCCCAGAAGATGACCGAGCACCCAGGCACCCAGACCACTTCTGCCCATCCCACTACCCTAAACTCTGCAAGTGTAATTATTGCAGTTTTCATAAACTGCAATATTTACATTGCTGGGTCAAGTCGTCCTCCTAGTGACTGTCTACTTCCGTGTTCATAGAACACTAAAAGTGTTTTAAAACAACGCTGGACGTCCTCACGCAAGCTTGGGTGGAGCCTGACCCAGTGCCGAGGGACATCGGCGCTGGACTCCGGTAAGTCACTGAAGGGGTGGGATGGGGGGTGGGAGGGAGAGGGGCACTAGAGGGTCCTGCTGTGCTAGGCAAACTAATATGTTTTCCTGGCACTGGAGAATACCTTTAAGTGGTCATGAGGCCCTGGATGATTAGGACAAATCATAGCTAGAAGCTGCAGTAGGGCACTGGGCGAAGGATGTTTAGTAAATTGGGTTCTCAAAATGGCAAGGAAGTAGCTAGGGAATGGTGGCATTCCCCATTAAAGGACCACTATAGTGCCAGGAAAACATACTCGTTTTCCTGGCACTATAGTACCCTGAGGGTGCCCCCACCCTCAGGGCCCCCCTCCCGCCGGGCTGGATGGAGAGGAAGGGGTTAAACTTACCTCTTTCTCCAGCGCCGGCTGAATGCGAATGCGCGGCAGGAGCTGCGCGCGCATTCCGCCCGTCCATAGGAAAGCATTCACAATGCTTTCCTATGTATGCTGGCGTCTTCTCACTGTGATTTTCACAGTGAGAAACGCGGAAGCCCTCTAGCGGCTGTCAATGAGACAGCCACTAGAGTCTGGATTAACCCTAACATAAACATAGCAGTTTCTCTGAAACTGCTATGTTTATAGAAAAAAGGGTTAACCCTAGATGGACCAGGCACCCAGACCACCTCATTAAGCTAAAGTTGTCTGGGTGCCTATAGTGGTCCTTTAATGATGAACAGGGATATCTATGTATCTATCGTATCCGTGGAGAGGAAGTTTGCTGGGCGACATAAAGTGGTGAGAAAGGTAATACAATATGACTTATAAAGCACTGAATCACATCAAGGATTAAGACCAGGAAGCACTAATTCATACCGGCTTTAACAGAGAGGACAATTTAGAAACTGGTGAAATGGGAGCATTGAATGACAGATTTTCAGAGGATTGATTGGAAACAGGCAAATAGCAGGGGGCACAACACGACATCTTGATAAATCAAGTTTTATTCATGGATAAGATGGCTGATACAGAGCTCGAGGGGGTGTTGTATGTTGTGCTATCATAACTGCTTACAATATGTTACCCCAACGCATTTTATCTTTGTTACATTGGTGTTGCACCCATCCTGGTCCACAAAGCTCTCAATTCTATTTGGTGGTCTTCACATCTGTTGTATTTTTGTGGTCCTGGTAAGCATTGTAAACACATGCAGTATGATCTGTTTATGTATTGTATGTGAATAGGATATCTGTGCCAACCGAGAACCATTGTATAGGTAAATGGTCCTGACTGCCTATTAAATCTCTGCAAAAGAAGTGTTAGCCGATAGCGACCCGGTCTGTGTAGCAGAATACTTACCAAACTGTATTGCAGTCAGTTGTTAAAATGTTTGATCTTTCTAGAAATGATTTATGTAACATGTGGACGATCCGTGCCAGACAGCACGTCGTATGTGCAGTTCAGTATTTACCAATTACTTGGATTTTAGCCATTTATTTCAATCATCTCACATCTTTAGGGTTGGAAAACCTGTAATACTCTCTGGAAGGATACGTGATAGAGTTGGCAACACTCATTGTTAATTACAAAAATGCTGCCTTCTCTGGTGTGAGATTGTCATCTGGTGTACCAACAGCTGTGTGTATTAGAAGTTTATCGGGTTATAAAATCCAGGGAAGTTTGTCATTCTCATGATCCCCTACACCATAGAAAAGGGTCCCCACAAAAATTGTTGGAGTAACCCTTTAACAGGGGGGGTGGGGGTTCACATGCTAATAATGCCCTATAGGGCATTATAGAGTAACATTATTACTAAAAAGGTTTGTAGTAATTCTGCACCTCTTAAACAAAGACTTTGGGGGTTATTTATTGTAGTGTTAATTGTCAGAAATTCTAAGTGCTTTCCAATTGTAAAACCAAATAGCTGTACTCAAAGCATAGCTGACGTGAGAATGCTTTGTCCTAAATGTAGTTGTGCCCTGTGTATTGCAGTCTGCGTTGGCTGTACGTGCAGTGTACTGCCATATGGCACATGAAGCTGGCTGTTTGTCAGTGACAACGTGCCACCTGGAACCTAACCTTTCTTGTTTTCCAGTAGTCTCCAAAATTCAACTTTGATCCATTAACCATTGAAGTACCAGCTGTGAGTCACATGCAATACTGGGCAGTCTAACTTATCACTAGGGCCAACGAGACAGTTGTGTAACATTGATTTGAATCAGCAGATAAGTCTGTTGGCTTAGTAACTGCCCATTTCCTATCTTAAAGCACAGACATTATTGTTGCCTTAGGTTCCTGTTCAGCAGAGAGTCTCCTCCAAAACTCATTGAACTGTCCCTCTCATTAGTCAAGTGTTAAAAACATTTTGTAGCCTCTAAAAATCAGTCTGAAGTTGTATGCAGTGTTCTCTGTATAAGTGTGTGTATATGTATACATGTATTTAATTATTTGGATAACCTGAATACGTGTGATACCTTGAAAGCATTTTTGTGTGAGAAGCCAGCCTCCTGGCTGTATGGGAGCCGTATCTGATCAGTAAAGTTTACTTATACATCATCCCGTGGATAACCTCCACCTGCTACCCTCGCTTACTGTTCACACACCAGTAGGCCAGTGCTGTTTGTACAGGTGGTGCACACTCTCGGAAGTAACCTATGTTTGACAAAGTTAACACTTTGCTGATTTAACTTCACGTTGCTCGTGTGAGCCCTTGCACGCCAAAATGGTTTCACATCCTATGTTTCCATAGTGAAAAGCACAGTGCGAGCATCACTATCATTTTTCTTGGGGCTGGGTTGGGGGGGGGGGGTAGAATCTAAATGCAGGGTGACTTCCTCCCCCTTCAATGGGCAGGAGCATTTTCCTTACAAGTAAGAGTGCAATGGTCACAGACATCCCAGCTGGCGCAACCAAAGACAGGCCGGCATTGTCAGAAAGCATTAACATTTCAGTGCATCAGTCTTTGTGCATCAGGACCTGAGCAGTTGGAAGAGGATGGACCAGGCTGTATTGAAAAGACTGTGCATCAAGTTGCCTGAAGCCAAACTTTTTTTTATTTTTTTTTTTTTTTTTTTATTCCCAGTGTGTGACTGTGTATGTAGTAGGATAGTCTGTTGCACCCTTTATCTGCCCATCTGTCCCTAGATCATCGCAATCCTTTTATCTGCCTAATGTAACTGAAGTCCTCTGTCGACTGCTAGTTTTGTCTTTTTGGAGGTTTTGTTGTGTGTGTGTGTGTGTGTGTGTTTTTTTTCTTCCTAGACATGTAAATAGTTTGTCCAGTTATTAAGGTGTGTGTGTGTTTTGTTTTGTTTTTTTAAGTAGTAGTTAAAATACTGGATCTGGAATTACATACAAACTACTGCTTAGTTCTTGAAAATCAGTATTATCTTAGAAATTATCGCATAATCTAGAATTTCTAGTGTAAGAAAGGAGACCATAACATTATAATTTATAATGGTTTGCAAACTTTGGCAGCTGTTTCATGCACATTTTGTTTGTCCAGTGGATTAAAGGAACACTATAGTCCCCTAAATTACTTTAGCTAAATAAAGCAGTTTTAGTGTATAGATCATTCCCCTGCTATTTCACTGCTCAATTCACTGTCATTTAGGAGTTAAATCACTTTGTTTCTGTTTATGCAGCCCTAACCACACATTCCCCTGGCTATGATTGACAGAGCCTGCATGAAAAAAAAACTGGTTTCACTTTCAAACAGATGTAATTTACCTTAAATAATTGTATCTCAATCTCTAAATTGAACTTTAATCACATACAGGAGGCTCTTGCAGGGTCCAGCAAGCTATTAACATAGCAGGGGATAAGAAAATCTTAATTAAACAGAACTTGCAATACAGAAAGCCTAAATTGGGCTCTCTTTACAGGAAGTGTTTATGGAAGGCTGTGCAAGTCACATGCAGGGAGGTGTGACAGCTGTATGTTGAACTGACGCGTTTCACACCTTCAGGAAATCTATACATCTTAACATATGGTAGATTCTAGATATTTGCCTTATGAACTCCTAAATGGCAGAAGATTGAGCAGTGAGGCTGCAGGGGCATGTTCTATACACCAAAACTGCTTCATTAAGCTAAAGTTGTTCAGGTGACTATAGTGTCCATTTAAGGACACACTGGGGGTGGAGTTGGTGCCGTGGAATAATGCCCATAGCAACCCACTGATAGATATATATATCTATCAGTATATATTATAGTAGTCAATCCCACAAACTTCCCGAACCAGAAGCCTCTACACAGATTCCCATTTCCTCCTAGCTAGTGAGGGATATGCCAACACTATATATTATTTATTGCAGGAACGTCACTTTAAAAACCCACCCATAATAATTGTGAATGTCTCGCATACGCCTGCATGTTGAGCAATAGGCTGCAGCAATAGCTGGAAATGTATAAATCTAGGTTTATAACCAAGACTGCACAATATCTGTATCTACACCTCCATGATAAACCCCCAAATGTACAATACTAGACATTCAGAATATAAAATACTATTCCTTCTGTTTATGTACTAAAATAGGATTTGTTTATGGCTAGGAGAGATAAGTTTTGATCTCTCCTCAATGTGCAACAATGGAGAGCAGACAGAAAATGGGCAATGTAGATAATACAACTCTTTAGTACCGTGTATAGATTATTTTATTTTATATATATGTTTTTTTTTAAATGCCTTTCACTTCAAACGATGGCCTAATGGATCAAACTGCTTCTCAACAGGGCTACATGTGCGGCAGTGTTCTCCAGCTGTATGTTGAACTGACGCGTTTCACACCTTCAGGAAATCTATACATCTTAACATATGGTAGATTCTAGATATTTGCCTTTGAACTCCAAGCCACTCTGCTTTTTGGGAACAATTATATAATGCTGCACGTCTTGGTTTCTGTATATCTATCATAGTGTGCCCATAAACAGATTAAACTACATAATCTGAACATATGAATTCTGTCACCTGATGATCATTTTAGCTGATTCCTCGGGTCCAGTTTCAGCTTGGGTAAATCTAGGGGAATTAGCTATACATTTTCAGAGATAAGTCTCCTGAGATTTCACGTGGATTTGTTTTGTGGATTCTAGTTATTTGATAGATTAAATCACTAGTCCATCCACATATTAAATTGCCTGTGCGTCAAGCACCATTCTTTATACATTGTAACATCATCCGCATATTGACGCAAACGCTCTGCATAAAAACTGTTCTGAAGGTGCCATTTTATTTCTGTAAACGCCTCTCTTTCTCCTGGCAGACTGGGAACCCGTGATAAAGATTGGAGTGTTGGATTGTGCCAATGAAGTCAATACTGATGTCTGCAAGCAATATGGTATTCAGTATTATCCATCGTTTCGGGTAAGTTGCTTATGTAACAATGCACTGTATTAGGGATTGACTGATTATTGTTTTTTTAGAGCCGATACTGATAATTGGTGAACTTTCAGGCCAATAACGCTATTTTGTACATTTTGAAAAAAAACAAAACTATTTCTATACAAATCTACTGTTAACTGAACATGTTTATTTATTTTTTTGCAAATCTTTATTAAGGTAAATGCACAAAATATACATGTCAGAATTTATGTTTTCAGGAATATGTGTGTGTGTAGTGGATGCAGTGAGAGTATTTAATTAGTGGATGTAGTGTGTGTGTGTGTATAGTGAATGCAGTGTGTTTGTGTAGAGTGAGGGTGTTTGTGTGGGTTTGTAATGTGTGCAAAATGGGGGAGGGAGGGGCATCTTTATTTGGTAAACTTTTTTTTTTTTGTAATATAATTTTTTTACATTTAGTTTTAGTCCCGCCTCCCTGCTTCTTACCTGGCCAGGGAGGGAGGATATGGTATTCCCTGGGGGAGCCCACGATACACTCTTACTTCCATTCCCAGCAGCTCCACTGTCGTGGCCTGCGTGCCGCGGCAACGCTCCGATAGCCTGGGGACTTGCGAGATTTACACAGAAGTGCTGAAGGGAGCTGCTGGGAAGGTAAGAGTGTGCTAGGACCGCCGCGGGCCCCCCCGGACCCTGATGGAGGCCCTGGTCTGCATTATCGGCATCTTTATTGGCCGATACAGAATCTGTCGATCCCTACACTGTATGCATTTATTTGTAATAGGTGAAAAATAAAATGTGTTAATGCACACCTCTTTATCCTGCAACTGGGTGCCTCCATCTTAGCTCCCTGTCAGTCACTGTTATAAGCTCTGTCTATTGCACTTGGTAGTCGGCATAGAGAGGCATATAAATTTTGTTTATTTTTCTTTTCATCATTTACGATGTTTGTTCAGGCTGTGCCAGGACTAAACTGGATTGTCATGTCCCTTAAATTCCCTGAGAGCTGAGCAGCAGGAGTCTTGCGCTGTGCCATGCACCCAATGGCAGGCAGCCTGTGCAAGGCAGTGGTGGATCCGGGGGGAGGAAGGGCGGCAATTGCCCCCCCTCCTCTTAAGCACCATCCACGCGTAACGGAATGTACTGTAACACGTAAGCTATGATATTTGTACTGAAATACATGTCTCTATTGTTCTTGATTCTACCGACCCACTCATGCTCGTGACACACAATCCACATTGGCTTTGAAGATACCCATTATGAAGTAATTGCATTACAGGAGGACTTTCACCAAGATAAGACGTTGTGACGGAGATTAAACTTTGGAGGGGATTTTTGTTTTCTACCAGCAGATCTGACCACTTGTGCTCAAACAATTCTCATTAGATTACAAACCAGCAGAGCTGTCAGAATGATTCCGTCCAGACTAGAGGCCTCTTACAGCAATATATGGAAAGCAGGACATAATTTCAGATTGTGAGTTACTACCTTAAAGACTGCTGGTACAGAATTAAATCTACACATCTGGATAGGAGCATTGCTTCGTTTTACCTTTCCAGTTCACAATGCTTCCCAGATGTTGACTTGTCTTGATTGCAAGCTCATTTTATTTTTTAACCCATAGACTAATCTTAGATTTACACCATGCCCAACGGAGCTTACAGTTTATTTAAATGCTTATTTGGTGTAATCTATAGGAATGTGCAGTGTCACCGGGGAAAATCTTGCAAAGTCCCCGAGTCTGAAACCTGCCCTGGAATGAGTCTAGGATTAAATACAAAGTGCGGCCAATCAGACGTGGTACACCTGACGACCTTAATGTTCTCTGGAAAGGAAATAGGATTAGACATAATTATAGTGATTTCTTTCCTAATCTCCCCGTTGTTCTTTTCCCAGTCAGTGGATTGTTTTGTTTGTTGCTTGAAGGTTATACTACTTTATTTAATTTTTTTTCCTTTCTTGAAATCACACAGATTTTATTTTCCTTTTTCGAGAGATCACTCTTGCAGAATGATTTTTTTTGTTTTTTTTTTTGCTTGTTCACCGTCCATCTCTGCTGTTTACATGGTGGCAGATCTATCCAGGGACTGGTTTTTCTGTAAGTGATCATTATAACCTCTGAGCTGAGATTGCCGAATTGCAGACTAGCGTAAGCATGGCTCCTGTAGAAATTACACGAATTATAATGCTCTTTTATACAGCACTAGAAGAGAAGTAAAGAGCTGTATATTTATTTATAATCTTTGAGTGTTCCGTTTTACCTTTAGATTCACGCTCAATTAACTGCAGGGACTGGGTCTTTGCACAAACTACATTAAGATGGTAGTGGTTTTGGTACTTAGTGTCACGGCGCAGGGGATTTGTATCAACGCAACCGCACCTGATCAGTGCGGTCGCGCCAAATCTAAAGACAAAAGTCCATGATCGGCGTAGCCGCACATGAGCAGGGCGGTCGCACCGAAAAGGGAAAGTTTAACTTACCTGGATCGCGGCGGAGTGCTGCCCGAGTCTCCCAGAAGACTGGTCCCGGCTGGTGCGGCGTTCTAATGGTTGCCGGCCGCTGTGGTCCCATCCTTACTGATAAAGGGCACACTGTCCACATTAAAGATTGCGACGATGTCGACATACACACACTTTTTGGGTCAAAGGCCATGTACTGACCAATCACAGCACTGAGAGGCATATTTAAACCCTGTTAATGTCTTTTCTCAGTGCCCTGTCGTGGTTTCCACTGGTTGGTTGTCAGCGCATTCTTGGTAATATTTTCTGTTTTTTGACTTTCCCTAGTTCTGGTATCCTGACCTTTTGCTAGTATTTCGTTTTATCTCATTCTGTTTCCCCGACCTCAGATTGTTATTTTGACCATTCTCCCATACGTTCTCATTCTAAGGCCTAGTATACGTTGTTTGTGATATAGTACTCTTAACACTTGGTACTGGAGTACTCTGCCATAGTAGACACTTGTATTTTTTGGATGTTACTACATAAATTAAGTCACCTGCAAGCACTTGTCATGTTACCGTTAAAGGGATTTAAAAAAAAAAAAAAAAAAAGTTTTTTTAATCCAGTCTCAAAATGCCAATTATAAATTGGAATTCACTCTTTCTGTTAGAGTAGCCTGATCCCCTCCCCCTTTGTATAGAGTCAGGAAGTGATTGTAGTGTCCCCATCTATCTGATCTGTCCTGCTCCTTGGTGAACCACTCTTTGGAGGTCCAATGTTTTTTTGGGACAGTTTGACAGTTTTGATGGGTAACGTAGTTACTTATACAGAAGCTGTGATTTACCTGCTAGTGATTGATCCTCTTTCCCTTATTTAAGTGTAGCACAGGGATGTGTAACAATGCTGCAGCACTAGCTAATGTGTCAGATCTCCTCTTTCATTATGCAGTATGATCACATATCTTTCCCTCCATGGTGCTGAATGCTTGCAGGGGCCCTCACTGACCCACAGAAACTGGATGATCGGAGTTGCAATGTTTTGAATCTTATGCCTGTTGATCTTCGACAGTTTCGCACGAGCTCAAAAAATATAACTTGCTTGTTTGGTTTGGAAAATGTGCAGTCTCCTGTCTAGTTGGTTATTGGATCATGCACATGCCCCAGAAATTAACGTATAACCGAGCTGCCAAACTTGTTTATATTGCTCGAATCCATTAATTTTCTTTTTTTTTTTTGGTATGACTGTTGGTAAGGGTAATGTTTTGTGTCTGGCGTGTCCTAGCTGGCTTGAACAAACTTTCGTAGAATTTAGAAACCAGGGAGAAAAGTTTTGAAAATGTTTTATTCTTAAACTGAATCAATTGTATAATGGTTTTCTTATTTTTCTAGTTTTTTAAAGCTTTCACCAAAGAATTTACCCAGGGAGAAAATTATAAAAGTAAGTTTGATGTTTGTTTAAATGCCCCCCTGCTGTTTGGCTCCCATCTTAACCCACTACACTACCAAGCACTTGAGGGTTTGAATGAAAAAAATGTGTATAGATTGCTTATCAGAGAAACTGTATGCGTATTCAACAATAATAGTATAAAAGCAAAATGCATTTTATTTTCTTAATTACGTTATAAATTAGCTTATAGGACCCTGAAGGTATTACTAGCAGTACAGCTTACTAAAATGTCAACAGTATGTAAAATGAATATATGCATTTTTGCATAATGCACACATATAGTAAATACAGTTATATCATATTTCTAAAATAGATATTTAAAACTGCTATAGCAATATTTATTAATCTCCGGAGTGCCTACTTTCTCACCCCTCCTTTCTGACTGTAATAATGACTCGCTGCTAACCTTTACTTTTGGGAATGAGAGGGTAGCTGTCATTTTCAGCACACTTGCAGACATTAAAAGGACACTATAAGCACCCAGACCACTTCAGCTCGTTGAAGTGGTCTGGGTACACCCTTAACACTGCAAAGCTAATTATTTAAGATTTTTTTATAAACCGAAATTAATACCTTTTCAGGGTTAACTCCACCTCTAATGGCTGTTTACCAGAAAGCCACTAGATGGACGCCCGGGTCGTTAGATGACTTTTGGCTGCCTAAATGACGCTGTACGTCCTCACGCTATGCATGGGGACATCCAGCGTCACCTGAATCCCCATCGGACAGCATAATGCTTTACCATAAGAGAAATCCTATTGCGAGCGTGGCCATTGCTGTGCATGTGCATTAGATGTCTCCTACCTGCTGACGTTGAGAGGAGCGGAGGCAGACCCGAGGCAGCGCTGGACACAGGCAAGTGACCGAAAGGGTTTTTAACCTCTTCCGAGCTGCGTTTCCCTTTAAATGAGTGGCCAGTTGCGACTATTGGGAGTGAAGAGATTAAAGTGTCTGGACCCTGTGATCGGTCTGTAAGCCAGGAATTCTGTACAAGGTTACCAGGCAAAGTATGACGTATGAGGAATAATGTCAAATAAGCATGGGCAACATTATTAACCGAATACAAACAATAAGTGATTACAGTTTTTCTGTGGTTTTCAGGTGGAGCTGAGCACGATGTCCAAACTGTCCGGCAGGTCATAATCGACTTTCTCCAGAATTCCCCTGCGGAGAGTAAACCCCCGGCCTGCCCTTCGTTGGCGCCCATTGAGTAAGTCTGTTTCCTGTGGTCTACATCAAGCATTGTTTAAGGAACACAGTAACTTTAAAAACAAGTTCCTTTTAAAAGTTAGTATGCAAAATGTAAAGTAAAGCAATAAACCTTGCCTGTAATCCAGTGCTGAGACTGTCTCTGCTCTGCAGGCTGGTTCATTAATCATCGTCTGAGGACACGTGGCACATCTGCTTGACAGACACTAGCTGCATGTTTATGGAAAAATTTAAACATTGGTGTTTCTAGGAAACTGGAATATTTTACAGCATCCATGCACCAAAACCACTGCAGTAAGATGCACCATGGTTTCTTTTAAGTCACTGTTGGCTTTTTTTTTTTTAATAAAAGTTACTGATCACATCTGATGACCTTTTAAACCATTTAGGGTCCTATTCACTAAACCAGGAATTGCCAAAGAAATTACATAATTGTTAATCCAAACTAGCATAGCTGGAAGTATTTTCCACTCGCTTTGGCCTACAATTTCCTTTGTCAGTTAAACATGATGATATTTTATAGCACAAAACAATCCTAGTCTATTTTACTGCCAGATTGCCAAGAATTATTTGTCATGTTTGCATATGCGTCAAAGCATTTAATTTCTAGAACGTATCCCACAGTCTGTCTTGTTCCTCTTTGGCACACCTAAAACAAAGGGTGTTTTTTCATTATGTATCTTTCCTTGTCTCTCTGCCCTAAATTAATCGGATATTTTTTATTTTCTTTAATTTTACTGTGTACCAGATCAAGCCAAGTGGAATCTCTTATTGCTGTGAAGGAAAGCCATTACACGGCTGTTATTTATGAAAGTCCTGATTCGTACATTGGGCGAGAGGTATGTTGTCACCCTTTGTTCACACAGACATTTGTAATTTAAATGTTTCATAGACCTAAAAACAGGATTTAACTATACATTTATGAACTGGCCCTGTTCTCTCCAGAGTGCTATGTTGGCTGAAACAAAAATTTATTTTAAAGGAATATGGTTAGAAACATAGAAACAGAATGTGACGGCAGATAAGAACCATTCGGCCCATCTAGTCTGCCCAATTTTCTAAATACCTTATCTTATAGTTAGGATAGCCTTATGCCTGTCCCACGCATGCTTAAACTCCTTTACTGTGTTAACCTCTACCACTTCAGCTGGAAGGCTATTCCATGCATCCACTACCCTATCAGTAAAGTAATACTTTGAAATATTTGAAAATAGAACTCCCACCTCTGATGCGCACCTTCAAGACTTCTCTAGGGCTGCACCGTTCCTGTGGAACTCCCTTCCCTTCTCTGTTATACTTTCACCCCGTCTCCATTCCTTAAAAAAAAAATAAATTGAAAACTCCTTCAGGAAAGCGTAGCAATTAAACTGTTTTCCCTCCCAGCCACCCTATTTCCTCTCTTCACAACTGTCATCCCCCCCCTAAAAAAGTAATAATAAAAATTAGGGATCGACCGATATTTATTTTTTAGAGCCAATACTGATATCGATAATCTGTGAACTTTCAGGCCAATAGCCGATAACTTACCGATACCCAGGGACACGAGGCAAACAATGCATCTGCCTTGGGCGGCGCTTTGCAGGGGGCGGCAAAAAAAGGCACCCCCCAAAAGCCCAGGCAGATCCCTTGCTTGCCTCGTGTCCTGGGGGACTCAAGAGCTGGCCCGCTGGCCACTTTTGAGCCCCTCCGAGGCTGGCGGCGGGCAATGAGGGAGCATACTCACCTGAGCTCTTCCTGCTCAGCTCCCTCCGCGCCGCTTAATAAAGGCCGGGAGCAGGCATTTGATGTCAGACCGGCTCCCGGCATCACTAAGCGACGCGCGAGGGAGCTGAGCAGGAAGATTAAAGCTCCCTCCCCATGTACTCTGCCTGTCTGCCCCATACTGGACAGGTTAGTAATCTACTCCACCTCTCCCAGGGAGGCTGGGTGGATTTAAAATAAAAAGGAGTGTTGGTGGTAATGTGTGTGTCTGTGAGTGAATGTGCGTTTGCATAGGCGTGCGCAGCCCATTGCATAAGGGTGTGCACCCTAAAGCACAAACATACAGGATATATATATATATATATATTTTCTGTGTAGGCTCTGTGTGTGTGTGCGCGGGTGGGGGGCGTTTAGTTAATATCCGTGCTGCTGCCATCCCTGGTGGTCCAGTGGTGAGTGAACTCTAGCATGCGGGGCTTGAGTTCACTCCACTCTTGCGAGATCTGAGCGTTGTTGCGGCAACGTTCCGACTTCGCGAGAAGAAACCGGTGGAGCTGCTGGCAAGAGCTCCCGGGTCCTCTCCTGCCTCCCTTCATGCTGCTGTGGGTCAGTGAGGAAGATCTTTGATCTCCCTCACCAGCCCACGGAGGGAGGCACATAACGCGGGCCATGGGGACACCCCGTGCGCACGCCTATGAGTATGTGTGTCGGTCAGTGCGTGCCTCTCAGTGTGTGTCTATCGGTGTGTCAAATCAGTGAGTGTATTCATCTATCAGTGAGTGTGTGCGTCTGTCAAATTGCTGCTTTGACTGTAAGGGGCAAATTTTAATTAGGGGGGGGGGGGTGCCCGAGCACCGTCCTGCCTAGGGCAGCACAAATCCTAAATACACCACTGCCAATACCAATATTATGTACATTTACCATTAAAAAAAAAAAAAAAAAAAATTAAATTTTTTGTTTTTGTTTTTGTTAAGGTAAATGCACAAAATATACATGCCAGTCAGAATTTGTTTTCAAGAATGTGTGTGTGTGTAGTGGATGCAGTGTATGTTTGTGTAGTGTGTGTGTATAGTGTGTGTATATAATTAGGGATCGACCGATTATCGGCCGATATTCGGTATTTTCGGCAGAATCGGTGTCTGCCAATAAAGATAACGATATTGCCGATAATACATACCTGTCATGGGCCCGGCAGTCCTGGGGAGGCCCAGCAAGCGCTTACTTACCTTCCCTTCAGCTCCCCTGAGTAAATCTCGCGAGTCCCGCGGGTGTCAGATCGTTGCCACGGGTTACCGTGGCAATGCTCCAGGCGGCATGCAGGCCGCGAGATTTACACACGGGAGCTGCTGGGAAGGTAAGTAAGCGCTTGCTGCGGGCACCCACTGCACCTTCCATGCCACTGAACCACCAGGGAATGCCATAGCCCCCCTCCCTGACCAGATAAGCAGGGAGGGGCGACTAAAAAAACAAATGTAAAATTAATTTAAAAAAATTTGAATTAAAAATGCCACCCGCCTCCCCCATTTTACACAAATTACATACTTACAGAAACACACACGCACACACACTCTGTGTTATACACACGCTACACAAATACACTGTATTCACTATAAACACACTATGTACACACACTCTGCATTCATTACATACACAAAAACACACTGCATTCATTATACATACAAACACGCACACTGCATTCACTTTACGCACACTACATAAACACTCACTGCATTCATTATATACACAAATACACACAGCTCCCCTGTCTAAACACACTGCATCCACTACATGTGGAATGTATATTTTGTGCATTTACCTTTAGAAATAGTTTATTTTTTTCAAAATGGTAGATGTACAGGATATCGGTAAGTTATCGGCCTGAAAGTTCACAGATTATCGGTATCGGCTCTAAAAAATCAGGGCCGCAGGACTCGCGAGAGTTACAGGGGAGTTGAAGGGCGCTGCTGGAAAGGTAAGTAAGAGTGTGCTTGGCCCCCCAGGACTGCCGCCGGTCCCCCAGAACCCTTATGGCAGCCCTGGTCTGCATTATCGGCAATATCTGTATCTTTATTGGCCGATACCGATATTGCTGAAAATACAGGATATCGTCCGTTATCAGCCAGACCGATAATCGGTCGATCCCTTACAAAAATAATCCACCAAGCCCTCAGTAAATACTTTTCTAGCAACCTATTTTTCAATCCTACCCCTACCTTTTGTGTCAAAATAACCCACTCTCTCTAGCATGTAAGCTCGTTAAACAGGGACCTCCACCCCCTCTGATTCTGTGCGTCTAACTCGTCTGGTTACAATTATGTGTCTGTTAGTCCACCCTTTATACAGCGCTGCGGTATTTGTTGGCGCTTTATAAATAATAATGTAACAAAACAAGCATAGGCCTCATTTAAGCCTTAACTGCTGAGTATCTTCCCCAAATTGTGCATTTATTTTGAGATGTTATACAAAGTGTTTTCATTGAGATTTGATATCTCATGGTGACCTGTCAATATATGCCTGTATATTTGTCTTTGCACTACAAACAAAAACAATAAAACAACCGGGACAGGCATCTACCTGGACTCAGAAAGCTGTATATCCCTGATACCCCTAGTCTCTAATGATTGGGAATTTGTGAGTTGGACCATAAACTGTGGGACAGTCAGAGTTGTGTTTAATACAGGAAGAGCAAAGTGACTAATATATATATATATTTTCTAATGACGGTTATGTTATTTGAGGGCTTGACAATCCAAAGTGTACAGCGGTGAAGACAAAGGAACGAGTGTGTAAGAAGAGGGGAAAATGCTTCCATTAGGCGGGCTGTTATGTTATTCCCTATGTTGTAATTGTCACACGGTTTTGTTAACAAAACTGTATTGTTGGGAATTCACCAGGGAGTCGCAGTTTCACTCTAAAATAGCAGCAAGGTGGAAACCAGGCCTGCTCGGGGAATCTTTCCAGTTCAACGATTTTGACCCAAAATGTCTAGTTCCATGGTGAATTCTCATCCATTCACAATTTACTGGGTTATGCACTAATCTCTGAATTTGCAAAATTCACACTAAAATAGACCAGGATTGCTTATAAGCCATAATAGCACTGGAAGTGGAAATGTTTTTCAAATTCTTTTATATTCGCCTTATTTTACCATTCAGAGTTTAATTTGGAGTTTGATGAATAACGCGTGAAGTGCCTGTTAAAAGGACACTCCAAACACCTAAAATGCTTTAGCTTGTTGAAGTGTAAAGAGTGTTAACTTTTTTACATTTTTGTAAAATACTGATTTCAGTAGTTATCAGTGTGGACTGAGAAGGAAGGAGAGGACTTGCAGTAGCAGCAGACACTAAATCTGCAGCTTTTGCAAGCTAAGGTTTCATTTACCCCTGACGAAAACATTGGGGAAAAAAAACAATTTTCTTTGGGTTATATCTCCCAAATTGGTGGGGGTGTTTTTTCTGATGTCTTTTTCAGCACCTGTTCAATAGACTTCATTCTTGCACCTTAAAAAAAAAAAAAAGAATCTCTTATTTAAATGAACACTCCATGCACCATAACCACTACAGCCTGCTGTAGCGGTGATGATACCAGGAGCGCTCTGCCCCAGACCCAGAGAAATGTGCTGAATAGTTTTAGGATGGGTCCCACCAGATGACAGAGGCTGCAACCATGCATCCAGATTTCCCTTGTGGGAGAATCTGATTGGATCCACTGAGCTAAGCAGGGCTGTAGGGTCGCACTTATCAGCTGAGAGTGACATTACTGCGACCCTCTATCAGACCTGCTTGGAATAGTGAAGACATCCATCTTCTTATAAAGGAGAAGAAAGGACGTAACAAGGCGCCTGAAAAATTCTGGTAAGTTGTCAAATCGTTCTACAATGGTGGGCTTCAGTGGTTATAGTGTGTGGGGTATTATACTATTATTTCATTTCTTTCCCATATCCTTATTGAGACAGGCTGGTAGCAGGAGAAAACTTCCCTCTGTTTACTCTGTAACTCATTTTATATACTCCTTCCTGGGAGAACATTCATTGTACTTGCCTGTTCTGTCCCCTATGCATTGCATGACTTACCCCTCCTCTCCTTGACTGACAGGTAATATTAGACTTTGTTCAATATGAAGGGCTGGTGGTAAAGAGAGCACTGGATACGGATAAGGAGGCTCTGCAGAAGCTTGGTATTGTCTCCGTGCCTTCATGTTACCTGATCTACCCAAATGGTACACATGGATTAATTAACAAGTAAGTACCTAAGTGTTTGTAAGAGATACTGGACGTGGGGTTCGTTATTTTCCCTCTGTGAGTGCCAGCTGTGTGCTCAGTGCATTGCTTTGGGTATATGTCTGGCTTCGTAAGGTTTAAAGACAAGCGACATTGTAACTGTATCCACTAACCTCCTTTTCACATTCATCCAGCATTCTCTGGTATGATGGCGTAAGTGTTAAATAGAAACCGTTCCAAAATGGAGCTTGCTGTCAGTGTTTTTTTCTTAAAATTAATTGAAAAATTTCTAATGCAAAGCAAAGGTTGAGTATATTTGTATGTCCTGAAAGCCCCGGGACCAGGCCTTGGTGACCCGATCATTAATCAGTTTGAGAGGTGTCTGATTCTTCTCACACCCACCATCAGGATTAGAGGAGAAAACAAGGGATGTGCAAAATCCAGCCTTGAAAACCTCCATTTGTTGTGTGTGTTATTCTATTTATTAAGCACCAACGTATTGTGCGGCGCACCTACAAAAACAAACTGATGGTAGTCCAATGTAGGGAAACAGGGTGAAAAGATGATAGAAGCACTTAGTCAGTTTTAGAAAACTTTCCAGCAGTCTGAATGGTGGTTTTGTTAAATTCTGCTCATTAACTGTCTGTTCCTAGGTTATCAGTGAAATGTCATACACAGGAAACTGGTGCCTGAATGCATTAGCATAGCTGCTTAATGAGCGACCCTACCGCCAGTGCCCCTAATGCTTAGTCCCTATGTTATTGTTGTCCTGCAGAGCTTTGAGCATCTCCTATGCAGCTTGTCCTAACCTTGTACAATGTGACTATCAGCAGGCTGCCATCTTGGAATTGTATCCCAACAAAGTTACTCACTAAAGTGAGAATTGCTGTAAATGCAAAGTGAATTTCACGATTTAAGTCGAAATAGCGCAAATGGAAACATTGTCCAAGTCTGTTCGGTTACTTTGAATTCCTGGCAATTCTCATTTTATTGAGTAACCCTGTATGTGTCGATTTGAAGCCTTGCCATCAATACCTGTTGAACAGTGTTATGTAGGATAAGATCAGACACCAGAGACTGGAATGAACAGCTCCTGCTTGGCAGAGAGTCTCTCTGTTCTGGGCAAGGCTCGCTGCAGCCTGTCTGGGGAGATTTTAAAGGGTACCTGTTACTTCTTGGGATTCTTAATCTTATGTTTACTTATCTCTATATTTTACAAACATGCATTTCTGTCATGTGAAAAATAGAATTACGGTAAATGTAGGTTTCCACGCTCCTTTATCATGCACCTGGACACCTCCATCTTAGCTCCCTGTCAACCATTGTCACACGCTCTGTCCTTTCCACCTGGCAGTCCGCGTATAGAAAGCTTACAGAGAAAAGGAGGAATATTGTTTATATTTCTCATCGTAATTTGCAATGTTTGCCCCAGCCTTGCCTGGACTGAGCTGGATTGTGGGGTAATTTTGCTAAATCTTCAATAAAAATGTAAAAGGTTAACAAATGTATTAGTTGATTATTTTTTTTCAGTGCCTAATTTAATAGTGTAATATCCAGAAAAGTGTCAGTTCCCCTTCAGAAAGGAATATATTTCCGTTTTTGTTCTTGTTTCTGCATTATTTGTACAATACATTGAAAATGGGGGACACATCATGTCCGCAATGTCCTTTTTTGTTGAACAGATTTAAAATGATTTTATTGTATGGAATGGTTTTCATTTGCTGCATTAGGACAAGGAGTGTTATAAAGTGCAACTAAGGAGAGTTTTATATGAAATAATCAGGTGGTTTTCTGCCTTGCAGCTTAGAACCTCTGCGCTCTCTGTTCTCTTCTCACTTGAAGTCCCTGCCAGGAGTGAGGAAAAAAACGTTATCCAGACCGGAACTGACCACAAAACCAACGAAACCGGATAAAATGACAGAAACATGGAAGGAGTTTGATAAGTAAGTAAAAATCCAGTCTTTAATTCTAGTTAACCTCATGATTCACACAGGGAGATTTAAAGGAACACTATAGGCACTCAGACAACTTCAGCTCATTGAAGTGGTTTGGGTGCAGTGCACCTGTCAGTTTAACTCTGCAACGGTGATTGCAATTACAGGGAGTGCAGAATTATTAGGCAAATGAGTATTTTGACCACATCATCCTCTTTATGCATGTTGTCTTACTCCAAGCTGTATAGGCTTGAAAGCCTACTACCAATTAAGCATATTAGGTGATGTGCATCTCTGTAATGAGAAGGGGTGTGGTCTAATGACATCAACACCCTATATCAGGTGTGCATAATTATTAGGCAACTTCCTTTCCTTTGGCAAAATGGGTCAAAAGAAGGACTTGACAGGCTCAGAAAAGTCAAAAAATAGTGAGATATCTTGCAGAGGGATGCAGCACTCTTAAAATTGCAAAGCTTCTGAAGCGTGATCATCGAACAATCAAGCGTTTCATTCAAAATAGTCAACAGGGTCGCAAGAAGCGTGTGGAAAAACCAAGGCGCAAAATAACCGCCCATGAACTGAGAAAAGTCAAGCGTGCAGCTGCCACGATGCCACTTGCCACCAGTTTGGCCATATTTCAGAGCTGCAACATCACTGGAGTGCCCAAAGCACAAGGTGTGCAATACTCAGAGACATGGCCAAGGTAAGAAAGGCTGAAAGACGACCACCACTGAACAAGACACACAAGCTGAAACGCCAAGACTGGGCCAAGAAATATCTCAAGACTGATTTTTCTAAGGTTTTATGGACTGATGAAATGAGAGTGAGTCTTGATGGGCCAGATGGATGGGCCCGTGGCTGGATTGGTAAAGGGCAGAGAGCTCCAGTCCGACTCAGACGCCAGCAAGGTGGAGGTGGAGTACTGGTTTGGGCTGGTATCATCAAAGATGAGCTTGTGGGGCCTTTTCGGGTTGAGGATGGAGTCAAGCTCAACTCCCAGTCCTAGTGCCAGTTCCTGGAAGACACCTTCTTCAAGCAGTGGTACAGGAAGAAGTCTGCATCCTTCAAGAAAAACATGATTTTCATGCAGGACAATGCTCCATCACACGCGTCCAAGTACTCCACAGCGTGGCTGGCAAGAAAGGGTATAAAAGAAGAAAATCTAATGACATGGCCTCCTTGTTCACCTGATCTGAACCCCATTGAGAACCTGTGGTCCATCATCAAATGTGAGATTTACAAGGAGGGAAAACAGTACACCTCTCTGAACAGTGTCTGGGAGGCTGTGGTTGCTGCTGCACGCAATGTTGATGGTGAACAGATCAAAACACTGACAGAATCCATGGATGGCAGGCTTTTGAGTGTCCTTGCAAAGAAAGGTGGCTATATTGGTCACTGATTTGTTTTTGTTTTGTTTTTGAATGTCAGAAATGTATATTTGTGAATGTTGAGATGTTATATTGGTTTCACTGGTAATAATAAATAATTGAAATGGGTATATATTTGTTTTTTGTTAAGTTGCCTAATAATTATGCACAGTAATAGTCACCTGCACACACAGATATCCCCCTAACATAGCTATAACTAAAAACAAACTAAAAACTACTTCCAAAAATATTCAGCTTTGATATTAATGAGTTTTTTGGGTTCATTGAGAACATGGTTGTCGTTCAATAATAAAATTAATCCTCAAAAATACAACTTGCCTAATAATTCTGCACTCCCTGTATTGATAAACTGCAATAATTACATTGCAGAGTTAACTGCATCTCTAATGGCGGTCTACCATACATCCATTGACTTCTGGGTCATTAAGTGACTTTTGGTCGCCTAACTGACTCTGAACGTCCTAACGCTATGCATGAGGACATCCTGCATCCTCTAAAACCACCTATGGGGTTGTCCTAATTTGCTCAGGAGAGGAGGAGTGAAGGCGTGGATTCAGGTAACTGATAAAAGGGTTTTTAACTCTTTCTGTTCTGGGGGGGTGGCGCAAGCGAGGGCAGACACTATAGGCTAGGCATACAATCTTGTATGCCTAGCCTATAGTTTCCCTTGAATGCTTCTTGATCAAGTGTGAGCGTCACTTACCGAAAGATGGTGCGTGAATAATTAGTCGTCTGTTTGAGACCTCCACCTTTTCCTGTCTGAAGTCACATCACTAACGCGCTCTTGACGCATGACGATAGGAACAAGTATTTTCTCACAGCAATCCTCTATAGATATTTTTGCACGTGTAATTTATTGGATATTGTCTGGGAAGATGGCTCATATCGTGTCGCCAGTGATGGTTGGTGGCAAATGACAAGACGTGGTACCCTGCTATATCTTCTGATTAGTAAGCTCTGTTAATGACTGATATTAAGTTGTAGACCTATAGAAATACTAATTACTCTGCAATTTATGACTTTTAGGTCCAAGATGTACATGGCGGACTTGGAGTCAGGATTACATTATTTGCTGCGTGTGGAGGTCGCGACACACCAGATGTTAAAGGGCGATGAATTGAAGGCCTTTAAGGATTTTATAACCATCCTTTACAAGGTAAGTGTATCTGATCAAGGCTCCGAACACCTTTCCCTCTTGTGTATCCATTTTATCCGGTTACATTTACTTCTTTCTTTGCCCATTAATTCTACAGCACTATGAAATTCTAAAATAAAAAACGTTGAAGCTCTATTTTAGTTAAATACAGAGAAAATCACAGATACATCACTTATAAAATAAATTGTAAAACATTTGATCTAAAAAGTACTTTTAAAAATCAGTTTGTATTGTTCTTTAGTATTTTTTCTTTTTTTTTTTTTTTCTGTTCAGTCTAATTCTCTCCTTCCCAAATCTCAAATTTTTACAAATGCAATACATGCATGTATTGATATTTATTTGAATAATTAGTATTCATGATTAAATGTTGTATGATTAATATTTGAGATTATAATTTTATTTTATTTTCTATGTGTGTGTGTGTATATATATATATATATATATATATATATATATATATATATATATATATATATATATATATATATATATATATATATAGAGAGAGAGAGAGAGAGAGAGAGAGAGAGAGAGAGAGAGAGAGAGAGAGAGAGAGAGAGAGAGTCTTTTTTAAAAATTTGTCCAAAAGTTAATCATTTTAAAAGCATTTCCAAAAATATTAGAGGCCCAAGTCTCTTACTTCTTGAAAACAAAAAGGGTGCTTTCCTTATTAAATATAAAGTATTTTTATTTTATGTTTTTCCCTCCCCTGTAAACACAGACTATACAAAGCAGTAGAGATTCAGAGCTATGATAAAAGCTTACATTCTAGTCTCCCTAGCACAAGGATTTAGGTACACGAGACAAAAACAAATGGTTATTAACGTGGTGGGGGTGTTAAAGAGCTTCTTAAATGCAAAGAAAGGCTGCTTGAATTGCCAAAATCTGTAGCTGGCCTCATTTCTTGGAAGAAAGTGCCGTGCTAATCTGTCTGTCATATTATCTCTAAAAAACTAAAACCTCCTCTGGCTTTCTGATGGATGCGGACGTTCTAATGCAATTTATTTTAACTGCTCTTAGCCGTTAAGTCGGAATGTCCTCTCTGAGTTGATCTGACTGACCTGGCAGCATGGTGAGAATGTGGGTTGTTGGGCGACAACAACAAAATAAACAGGATACTTTTTTTTATTTGCTAAATGGCAATCAGGATTTAGTAATATGTGTATCATGAAAACAACTGCCAATGGAGGTAATCGTAAACTCCACAGGTTTTTTTTTTGTTTGTTTGTTTTTTTTAATATAAATGTCTTTCTGTTGGTATCCTTAATTGTACAATACTACAGATATTGGAGTCTCAATATAAATTGAGGAGCTGTTATTACGGATTGACTTTTTAGTACAGATAGTTTTTCTTTAAGAGCAATCTTTTACACTGTTGTACCTGTTGAGAATTTTAAGGGTCAAGAACACAAACCTGTATTTCTGACCCTATAGTGCAAAACGACCATTTAAGTGGCTTGCCCCTTACCCCCCTTAAAAGCATGAAAAACTCACCTTATTTCTAGCGCTGTGTGGGTCTGCTGACACTGGCCACGCCCAATTTGTTACATCGTTAGAATTGCTGATTTTTAGCCAATCCAATGCTTTCCCATGGGGAAAGCATTGGAATGGCTAAAATCGGCAGGGGGCTGGGCCAAACACCGTTTTGGCCAATCAGCACCTCCTGATAGAGATGCATTGAATCAATGCATCTCTATGAGGAAAATTCAGCGTCCCCATGCAGAGCGTGGAGACGCCGATCGGCAGGGCTGCTTACTGTGCAGCACTGAGCCAGGAAGCACCTCCAGTGGCCATCTGAGGAGTGACCACTTGGAAGTGTCCCTAGGGGCAATGTAAACACTGCCTTTTCAGTGAAAAGGCAGTGTTTACATGAAAATGCCTGAAGGCAATGATTATTCTCACCAGAATAACTGCATAAGCTAAAGTTGTTCTGATGACTGTAGTGTCCCTTTAAATTTGGTGTTAATATTTAATTGAAATGTACAACTGCTTCATTCATGGATTTTTTTTTTTCTATATTTTGATAATTACTCTTGCTTGTATGCTGTATGAACATAATCTGCTGCAGGAATAGTGTCTGTAATGACTACACTCCCAGTGGAGAAGTGATATGGTCTAGTGATGGATTTCAGAAGATGTAAATAATATTTTAGCCTTCTATTCAGTCAAATACAAACGTATAGTAAAATAAAAAACACACTTCTGTTGATTATCATTATATCGCTGTTCCAATCAAAAACCTTTCCTATCCAGTTCCACACCTCTGGCAGCAAAGGGGTTAAACTTGATACTGCTCATGAAGTGGCCATGGTGTTTGGAGTAACCCTTTTAACTTTTCCATGTAGCCCCATCAGTTCATTCTGCACTCGATGCATTACTTAAAGGGTATTATAAAGTCAGTTTGACAGTCTGAAACAAGCTGATACGGTGGTTGAGTGAATCCAGATTATCTGAAAAATCTGCACAAATAATTCTTTTAAATAAATGTTTGTTTTTTTTCCTCCCATTCTTTTGCCTTCCAGTTATTTCCTGGCCGCCCACATGTTGCGCGGCTCCTGGAAACACTGCAGGATTGGCTAGTAAGCATGCCATTAGACAAGATCCCTTACGATGCAATATTGGACCTGGTCAACAATAAAATGCAGGTAAGTGTCCCTCTGAAACGGCACAGGGGGTTCCAGTCCGGGATCATTTCTCGTCTATCATTTTGTTTGTATCTCTTTCTTGTTCCAGATTTCTGGGATCTATCTGACTAGCCACGTCCAGTGGGTTGGATGCCAGGGCAGTGAGCCAGGCCTGAGAGGCTACCCATGTTCTCTCTGGAAGCTGTTCCACACTTTGACTGTGCAAGCTGCTCTCCAGCCCAATGCCCTGACCAATACTGGTAAGCCACGTAGTGCTAGAGTCACCCTCTGGCCAGCATCTCTCCATGATGGTTTACCTGTTGGCCTTCCTTGTCCTAAAATTAAGAAATGTCTGTTCAACAGCAGGTGAATTAACAGACGGGTGTGCGCGTTGCTTCCGATGGACCTGTGGAGCCAATGAAAGAGTAGAAAACCTCTATGGCTGCCAAGTAGGGATTTCAGTCCCAGTTGTAAAAGTACAGAATTCGATCGAATTCAAATATGGCAGACTGCAGACACAGAGCATTTGAGCAAGCTGGAGTGCTTTTTGTATGGAGTGTTTCTTTAACTTTCACATATTACAGCCCATTCCCTCCTCCAATCTATCCCGCGGCCCCCTACTACGGACAAACATACTCTCCAGGCTGAACATGACGCATTCTATTTTTGTTAAAACATTATACTCCAATATGAAGTTCCCCCAATCAGGAAGAGACTGCTGTTCACTCAAGGGTTACTCCAATATTTTGTTGGTGTAACATTTCTTATCCTGGCCCCCTTTCCACTAACAACATTAAAACACACTTTACTTTCCATCACCAAAGTTCTTCCTCTACCCCCTGAAGTAGTTATGGTGCTTGGTTTAACCCTTTATCTACTGAGCTTATTCTACAAGCAGTGCTTCTGGGAGTTGTAGTTTAGTTGTGCTAGAGATATTGCATCACCCAGAAAGCCAAGTAGTTACATCATGTAATGCAACGCCGAAATATTGGAGTTTAGGGAAGTGATAGAAAGTCGTAAGTTTGGCTTTGGGGCAAAAACGTTTTTTAAAAAGTCCAGAAATATGTTAGAACAGACACTATTACAATGGATTCGCCTGACTCTGGGTCTGAATGGCTTAAACACTTTCAACTAAAAGTAAAGTGAGTGTGTGTGTGTGTGTGTGTGTGTGTGTGTGTATGTATGTATGTATGTATGTATGTGTGTGTGTGTGTGTGTGTGTGTGTGTGTGTGTATATATATATATCTATCTATCTTGTGTGTGAGAGGTTTCGTCACCCATTATATATGCACTAGACTTGGGCAAAGATTTGTTTTGGCTGATTCGTCCGAATCCTTTTAATCCACAGCCATGAGTGAATTGATCCGGCCAGTACCTGTGGTGTACTATTCAATGACTCTATGGGTAAATCCCTGGTCAATCGATTCGTTCACACGTGGATAAAAGGGAATTCTGTTCAGATAAACTGACTGAAACACATTTACAATTTTTTATATAATTTTATACACTTGTATAGTTCAGAAATGTATGTATTTATTTATTTTTTGGCCCTACGTAATTAAACCATATGCTTACTCAGGGGGTTCTTCACCATTGTACTTCTGTCACTATAGAGAACTGTAGTTGTAATGCTGCTTCCAGTGTTCCTTTAAAAGGAGGCCATAATGTAGGGTTACTTGAAATAATCTGAATCAAATTCATTTCACTAATCTGATAACTCAGCTGGCCTTATCTTATTGTTCCTCCGAATGTATAATTGTTTGCGTGATGTTGTACTACTCATTGGCCTATGTGGCTGCTTTGAAATTAAAGTGGTTTAAAGACCCGTTTGACTGACACCGAAATCGGCAGAGTAGGTGTTCAGCACAGGTTTGTATTCCAGACCTTGGTGTCCAACTGAAATAAAAAGAACCCAGAGCCCTCGTTTTTCATTTCCATGTGTCTGGACAGGAGCAGGCAATGTCAATCTATTATTGACCCACCCGTCCAAAGGTTATCTTTTTAAGGGCATAATCGTAAGTCATGAATGAGGCGCCAGTGCCACAAAATATCCATACGAATATCTTTGGACTCTTACTCCAAATGGCTTTCCCTTTTGATCAATGAATAACAGCATTTCTAAAATCAAATAATGATCCACAGTTAAAACAAAGTAGACTACAGTCAATTACTCGGCCGTATATCACCGGCTCTAAAGTGCATACGTGAAATGCCTTAGCGTTGTGTCTTTCAGCAGTCGAGATTTATGGCTCTTCAAGTAGCAAGTGACAAAAAGGAGATCTGCAACAAACACTTTTAAAGAGTCTTTGGCAAGAACTGCCATTTATTATGGTAACAGATTAGAGCAGAATAAAAGCTTAACTATACGCAGGTGAGAGGGAATTCTCTTCCCATTCTTTACATTATTAAAGGTCTAGATCAAGGATAGGCAACCTTTGGCACTTCATATGTTGTGTACTACAGCCCCTCCCCTTCCCGATGTTTTGCCCGCATTATGGGACTTGTAGTCTACAACATCTGCAGTACCAAAGGTTGCCTATCTCAGGTCTAGAAAATGTTAAAGTTAATGAAGGCTAACACACTTGCATCTAATAAGATTAGGTGTCGTGTGCCCATCTCCGGTGGTCTCATCTGCCACCGATGGTAAATGCTACAAGTAGGTGACTACCACGTGTAAGAAATGTCAACCTTTTTGCTGCTGTTGTAGTTCACATAATCCCCTGAGAGCCGTTTGCTGTTTATTTGGCTGGGGCAGGTTTCTGAGTGTTGTATTCCGTGTCTGGGGCTCTCTGTGTTTCACTAGACCCACTATAATTTATTCCAGATTCATACAGCTGGTGAAGCCTACCGGGCTTAAGGTAATTTGATTCGTCTTGCTGTATAATTTAAACGATGTGCTACGATAATATTAGCTGGGTTGTATATCGCCCATGGAGTTAAAGTTCACCCTGGGATCAGCTGCGATGCAGTAACATTTAAAACCATTACGCACTATTGCTTTCGATTGGCATGAACCCACCTCATACTGCCATGTTTTCTAGTTCCCCAGAACTAAAGACACAGATAAAGCTACTAAATACATTCATGCCAGATGGGTATTTTGGGTTTTTAAATGCATCTCCCTGTAGAATTCACACAGTGTTACTTTTAAGCTGAAATACTTGTTTCCCTACGAAATATGCATCATGCAGTGTTGTCATAAACAGCTCATCTTAACAATACACTATGGGTTTATTATCCCAAGTCATTCGTAACTCTCGCAGTGCTGGGAACATTGCAGGAATTGCTGAGCAGGCAGAGGGGTTAATGCCCATCTAAAAAGACCCCATCCGAAAGCCAATTGCATATTTATTATAAAGAAATAATGTTTAAAATTGCAGCTGCTATGTTCTAATTTGAGCCATGAACTCCAGCAGACAGGACAACCCCAAAAATGTGACCGAGCCTTTTCCTGGAGTGTCTTATATTTGGTTAACCTAGCACGTTTAGCAGCATACACTCTTTGCATTCGAAGGTCAGTGAGAGATTGAGACGAAATGCTCCTGGCCTTGCTGTGTGATTACCAGGATAATAAAAGCAATGAGTTCTGGTTAGTGTCGTAAAATAAGATTACATCCACTACCTGCTTTTCCTATTGTTTCAAGCATCTCTCTGTTAGATGAACTGTAGTGAAATTTTAGCCAGTGTTTTTGTAAACCAGATGTGGTTTCTCAAATATATGCGGGCCTAAACCAATCTCCAATGTTATAATTTTTTTTTAAACGATAGAAGTGTATACAAATAGTGACTTACAGGATTATTCAAAGCACCATGTCTACTTCAGTGATTAAAAGTGGAGTTGGTACCTGAAGTCTATGTGCAGCGATTTGCTAGACGTTGCTCATACGGAGTTTAACCCATTTGCTGCTGGAGGTGTGACTTCACCTCTGACACCATCATATTCCTATGCACAGAATTGCATTCATTGATTAAGAGCGGTCAGCTGACACTCTCATCCTTCGGGATCTACTTCTGTCTTCCACAGCTCTGCAAAAGCCAGACGCAGTTACTGGCCAACAGAGGAGGAATTTAGCGGGACCCAGGTTAGAGGGCAAATTGTTGCAGCCGGCTGTAGTGGTCATGATACTTGGAGTAACCCTTAACGTGATATCAGTAACTTGAGAATACAAGTAATATATGGGTTTATACGCTCACCATTGATAAATTGTTCAGCTCGGCTGTCTGTGCGTCTAAACTTTATTTGATTTTTTTTTTTTTCTTCACTTCATTGTTCAAGACTACTTAGAGGGTACATATGGCGTCAATGAAAAATAAATTCTAATGATCTAAACGTGATTATTGGCGGTTTTCGTACCAGTAAACCTTCTCCGGCTAAGTGGTCCTGCACTTGACGACGGCTTGATCATTTTCAGACACCATCAGCAATGTGATGAGAGCATCTTCCGCTGGAAGAATTGGGTCAGTTTTGAGTCGACCGGATTAAATCTTGGGAGGTTTTCTCTCTCTCTTTATATCTTGCTTTAAATCCCATCTAGTAAAAAGCCTGCTAGCTTGTAATCCTCCCACCAACAGGTAGGAATTTAATGGTTATTGTCCACTTTAGAGATTAGGGTAGCCCTGAATTTGCAGCAGTTTGGGGAGTAAGGAGAAAAGGAGGATTATGCGATGATACATGGCAGATGTTGGGAGAAGATCTAGGCAGGGTCTTAGACGCGGAAAACACTGGGACGCACAGCTATTTTGTATCTTTACTCGTTTTATGTTCCGTGAGTGTCTTGCCTTACAAATGGAATAGTGTGGCATCAATAACGTCCATTAAGTCTTTCCCATTTTCGCAGCCTTTATTTTTTCCTTGCCTGGATACTGCTGGGGAAATTAGAGACATTCCAAACACCATAACATATCATTGCATTGGCTATGGTGGAACGAGGTCGTCTGAATGTGTCCCTGCAAGTTCCCTGCCCTAACTCCAACATCACGGAAGGAAGTTGTGCTTCCCCCTTGATCCTGCAAGCACTTGTAAAACATGCACACACTCAGGTCCTGTCCCCTCCTTACATTAACAGGCTCCATGGTATTGACAAAACAGATTACTTTTTGTAGATCCGTTCACAAAACTATTAACAGAGCTAGAAAATGTTAGGATAACATTTATTTGGAACTTGCGCTGCATAACTAGAACACAAATCATTTGCTAAAACTACAATTGTGTGTGTAAATTGCTCTTCAATCTACACACCTAAAATTCCAGTCTGTAGACTGATAGACTGAAATTTTGTTGAGCTGAATAAAAGCGAAGAATACTTTCTACAAATCCTGAAGTGCACCTCTACTTGGATAATATAAATATATACATACCATGAAGGCACTACAGTCAGTTCTATTTTCTAACAATTGCTTGAGAATGTAAATGTCTGCATACAGTTAATCGTTTATTTCCAATATATTTTACAATTGCTGTAATGCTGGGAGACCTACCATTCACTTACCCCGGCTGTAGGGGTGGAATTGTTTCAAGTATCCTCTTGCTGTTTGGTAGGGGGCGGCTGTCATTTTCAGCTCATTGCAAGACTTTAAATGGGTGGTATGGATTTCTGGCAGAGAATGTATTTCCCCTCTGCAAGCTGGTAACCAACCCTGGGGGTATATGGTTTTATAGACTAGTGGGGGGGGGGTTTTTTGCGCAAAACAAATGAAAGCAAAAATGTGTGTACTCGTTTTTGGTAATGGGGGACATGTGGTTTTTAGTAGACTATATTCATTCTGTCACATGATCAGTTTGATGGAAAATGTGCCTGTGAACTGGAATAATTCACGATAAGCTTGTTAGATTTCTTGGGAAGTAGCGCAATTGGTGCTCTCAATCGGTTTTACAGTAAAGTATCTCATAAAGCGCAATCCAGGACTCCTGTGCTTGTTTCATCTTAATGGTGTTGCTTTAACTTGTTCTTACCGTAGGGTGTTACAGTTATGAAAGGTTTTACCCCAAAGTTGCAAAAGGTGGCGCCTTGTCTGCTCTGCCCTGTTCCTTTCAGCTATGGTCTGAAGCTTCAATCAGGTACCCTTGGACTGGGCACTGCTGATAGGTTGAGAATGTGATCCAATGCTCTCAGCCAATCACCAACGCTTCATAAAACTGTTAGGAAAAAAATACATACCAAGGGTGTACTGGTGTTTGTCCTTACTTCCCCAATCTTGCCATATTAGGTATTGGCAGACTATAACTTCTTGAACTTATAAAGTCACAAGTCCATACTCTGTATTTTTTTTATATATTTTTTTTTATTTAACATTGGTTAATTTAATCATAGAAGTCTTTAGAAGTCCTTTTTCTTTTCATTTTTAAAAATTTATTTTTTTCCCTTGTCTGCAAAAAGGCACATTCAGAATTAATACTTCATTAAAATTTAATCTGGTTTTCGGTAAGAACTTGGCTCATTATGTAAAAATAAAAAATAGTCTCAGGGTTCATAAATAACTCTTCTTCCAGAGCCACGAGTTGTCTGCATTTTGACTGATTAGGGGATTTTTAATTTATTTCTAAAATTCTTTTAAACCATATCTTTAATGCAGGCATTTAATCTGCTTTAATATTATCAACAGGTATTTTATTTACACGTCTCCACTCAATCACAACAGTAAGACAAGTCACTATGAAGATAGAAGTAAAATATATCTTTATATGCATATTGAAGGTATATAAAAAAAAAAAAGTTAAGTATTTCCTTGGCAATCTTAGATTCTATTACAGATAAACTGCATTTAATGTATAGGTGCATTCTAATTTTGTACTATTATTACAGGGTTAGAACACCTTCAAGGGATGGCTTTTAAGTTAAATGACGCTACAATACATCCAATGCCAATATTTCCTGCTGGTTTCCCTTTAAGGCCGACACGTCACTGCAAAAATCCTGCTATTGCAAAGCACTGTATAGGGCAGAGGCCAAGAGAATATAGCACTTTAGATTTCCTTAATCCATTATTGAGCATTGGCCGTTTAACTTTCATGATTCGTTTGCTTCTGAGCAACACATTAATGGACTTTCCATCAGTTTCATTTACTGTGTGAATTTTAAATTTTAGGCAGAAATGGCAAAATCATTTTGGGGAAAAACACTGTGTTCTGTTTTAGACTTAAATTTTAAATTCCCGTTGTGTTCCCGACCCTTCACACGTTAATGAGTAACCCTGCCGATAGTTAAAGGGACACTATAAACAACGTTATCTTAATAAAGCAGTTTTAGTGAATAGGTCATGCACTGTTCAATTCTCTGCCATTTAAAAGTTAAATCACTTTTGTTTCTGTCCATGCAGCCCTGGCCAGATGTCCCCTGACTGTGACTGACACAGCCAGCATGAAAAAATTGTTTAAAGGGACACCGTAGGCACTGTATCTGCTTCATCTCATTAAACTTGTTATAATGTCTGGAGTCTTCTGGTCCCATCTTTTCTATCAGCATTAAACAGTTTTTAAAGTTTTAATGCTAAACAAGAGTCCCCAGCAATCCATCCCCTCTGTGCTGCTTTGGCTAATAAGGAAGTATTCGCCTGAGCAGAAATGGGCAGCTGTGATTGGCTGAGAGTGTCAGCTGACTGCTTTTAGCCTGTCAGAGTTCCAACTGACGGTATGAGTGGGTATGACAACAAGGAAGTGTGTAATCTCTGCTTTAGCTACACATACTGAAGGGGCCGGACTGTGGGTGGCCAGGTATTCTTATTTTGTGGCATACTGCACGAACATGGTGCAACACTGAATGGAGGGACAGTGCCAGGGTACTCCAGGCAATATAACCGATTCAAAGAGATGAAATTCTTATAGTGACTACAGTGTCCCTTTAATTCTCAATCAAATGTTAACTTGCTTTTATAAGTGTTTACTCTACTGCTCTGTAAATTAAACTCTAATCGCATACGGGAGGCTCCTGTAGTGTGTAGCAAGCTTTTAACAGAGCAAGAGATAAGAAATTCTAAATTGAACCGAGTTTTGCTATAAAGGAAGTTTAAACATTAGATCTCTCTTTACAGGAAGTCTGTGTAAGTCACATGCAGGGAGGTGTGACGAGGGCTGTATAAACACAGTGATTTAATCAAAATTGCAGAGAGTTGAGCAATAAGATTGGAAGGGCATGATCTATACCCCAAACCAGCTTCTTTTTGTGATTTATAATGTCCATTAATGAAGGCAACAACTCAACTGAACACTCTAGAAATAATTCTACATTCCCCTGTTTTTGTTGTTTAATGATTTAGTATAACAAGTGTGTTTGTGGTGAGATTTCATTCTGCTAAAAAAGGTCAGGGGCTAATGAAAGTATTTAGAAAATTGGGCAGACTAAATGGGCCGAATGGTTCTTATCTGCCGTCACATTCTATGCTTCTAAATGAATTGAATTGCCTAACTCCATGATGCTTGTTTGAACAACTTCAGAAACAGCTGGCCCTACCAGGAGGCAAACCTGCAAACTGATTGAATTCACGGTTTAGTCAGAACGCTAAATGCATGTGGAAGCAGCAGCTAAGGATTTGTGTGATCCGTCTCCACCAGTCTGATTAGTAGACATTGATCCCAAGTAACCGTTCATGATTTTATTTAATCCGTGCATAGACGCTAAGGAGGGGCACGGGACAGAGTCCAGTACTAGAACGAAATCAAGTTTTCAGTTTATTAAAATATACAAAATAAGTATCTGTTCTGCAAGGGTGTTGTTTTTGCATTTTAGTAGAGATGGGCTGCTAGATCTCCAGATAATATGGATTGTTAGTTATAAGCACAAGAGAATAGTAAAGGAAGCGTTCTAAACACACTGATCGATGAAGGAACCTCTGGAATTTGGGTTGTATTTTAAACTTCTCTTTTTAATGTTTGGGGATATATAAGAATGTCCTTTAGTTCTTTGACGGCATAGATGCTTGTTTATGTTGTTTATTTTAATTTTACACCGACAAACCCTCCCCCCATTTCCATTATTTTCTATGGCTGTCTCCCAGTCCTGGCCATTTTCTTTCAGGGGTTTCTAAAACCCTGATTTTGGAGGGAGTAACACTTGGTGGCATGGTCCCCTGCGGCTAAAAGAAATAAAAAAATAAAGGAAGAATGTACCTTCCACCAGCACGCTCACCAGGTGGTGACATCACTCCCCCTCTCTGCAGGGGAAGGTACGTCCCGCTGGGCGGCTTGGAGGGGGAGACCGTGGCGTGCTATGCATGCTGACGACAGATGCCAAATATGCACAGATTTTACATCAGCCATCACGGAACTCTCCATGAGCTGTAAAGTTACAATAAAAGCAGATGTATGATCTAACTCTGCACATGCAGACTCCAAGTACCATAATCACTTTAAATCATGGTTCTTAAAGTAACCCTTCAATACAGCTTGCAAACTCCCTGTCCCCTTTTAATATATTTTAACTTCTATAGTCATATATTCAAATATTTTTTATTGTGGCGACTGTCTTTCAGGGTATCTTGTGTTAAGTGCCATTGGACAATAGCAAAATATTCCCCCCCTAGATTCCCTGTGGCTAATTTGATGCAGTCCTGATTTAATTTTGCTCTCACATGCCCATTCTGCTAAATATGTGACATTTCACCCATCCTTCGCAGCAGCTCTGTTCCGTATCTCTGACATCAAGCCTATTTTGTCAGCACTGAAACTAATGCCTCCTCTCTCGAATCCTGATCCCCCCTTTCCCTCTCATCTTTCCTGCCTCTGTTCCTGATAAGCAACAGCAAAACATTACTGCTGCGAGAACGTTAAATATTGATCCAAGTAAAGTGGCCAGTGGCACGATGCCAGGCCATTAGGTGGAAAGAGAAAACGGCTAATGGATGTGCCAGTGACCAGTCTAGTGAGATTCAGCGATGTTCCGTTTACGGTGACATATTGTCTGTGAGTAAACTTCATGTGCTCTGTACCCGCCGCCATTACCAGCATTGGACGTGTTAAACCAGACCTGTCCCCTGAAATCCATTACATATCAATCAGTCAAACATATTAAAAGTGACAATGTAATAAACTTGGAAACAATCATAGTACTTTAAAAACCATTTAATCTATTCAGATGGTTTAATTACTATTATAGAAGGTGAGTAAAAGTTGTGATGCCCACTTTTGGTTCCCGTGGGTACAGCGCACCAATTAGGGAGAACAGAGAACATTTGTCTCCTCTGCATATTGTTCTGCAATCTAAAGTCAAGACAATTTTATCCTTGGAGGTGCTTTCTATTGAATCAACTGCAGAAACTGGGTCTGAAATGGTGAGCATGATAGATTGTGATGGACTTTTCCTTTTGAATTGACACTTTTTTTTTCTCCCTCAGTTTTGAGGCTAATTTGTTTTGTATGTGTGTTACTGAAACTGTGCCTGTATTTATTGTATTTAGCTGCCTTTTAAGTGAGTTTGCCTCTGTCTTCCTCTAGCATTTGAAGGAAATTCTCAAGCCGTTCTGCAAACCATGAGACAATACATCAAGCACTTTTTCGGTTGTCGCGAGTGCGCTGGGCATTTTGAGTCGATGGCAAAAGAATCAATGGATGATGTGAAAACCTTAAAAGAAGCTGTTTTGTGGCTGTGGAGTAAACACAACAAGGTCAATAAAAGACTTGCAGGTATGTTAAAGGAACTTTCACTGCCCAAATACAGGAAGTATAAAAATGGAAATCTGTTTAGTAGATATACCCTCGATGAAAACATGCATTTTTTTATTTTATTTTTTAGTTTGGCATTTTGGGGGATATATGTAAAAACCGGTTGTAAAACCTTCTCTTCTCTGCAGCCTTTGCAAACCCTCCCCTTCTAATCCCGCCCAGACTTTATGTGGCTGTCCAATCACAGACTTCCCAATGCAGCTCAATGCAAGGCAGGTGCTCTGGGCAGTTGCTGCCTTTTGAGTTTATTTCCACTGAGCTAAACAAACCAGGAAGTAACAGGACTGACTGGGGTGTAACAAGGTTAATTTATACAAGTGCCAGTTTCTATGAAGTATCTGCTTTTATTTTTTTATTTTTTTTGTTAACGTAAAAAGAGTACACAATCTTTACATGTTAACCACTTCAGCAAGTTAAAGTGCTTTCGGTGTTTTGGAGTCTTTTAATATAAAATTGTGATAATTACAGGATATTTGTTCAGCTTAGAAGCAGGTTTTTGTCCATTGTTGCATTCAGATTGGCTGCAACTAAATTTTAATAAGGACTCTTAATTTTCACCCATTGTTTAATCGGATTTGTTTTCCACTGACTTAACCTGAATTCGGCTCAAATACTGTTTTCCCATTAGTGATTATTGAATTGAATTAAACCAGTTGTATACAACTAATGGCCTTGGTAGATTGAAACTTTCTAAAATAGGTATGAGCCCTGTAGGATACCTCTATCAAAGTTAACTCCTTTTCTACATTGCATAGTTGGCAAAGCAACTTTATCTTAATGAAGCCGTTTTAGTGTGTAGAGTGTTACCTTGCATTCTCACTGCACAATTCTCTGCCATTTAAGAGTTAAATCATTTGTGTATGCATCCCTAGCCACACCTCCTCTGGCTGTGACTCACTTCCTGTAACAAGAGATCTAATTCTGAAACTTCCTTTATTGCACAGTGTGTTTAAATTAGAATTTCAGATCTCCTGCTCTGTTAAACCGTTGTTTTGGTGCTTAGTGATCCTTTAATGTAACGCTATAATATATATATATATATATATATATATATATATATATATATATATATATATATATATATATATATATATATATATATATATATATATCTGGTGGAGAACAGACATCAAAACAGTTGTTGGCTAATTCTAACAATAACTGAGAACAGACGGGGAATCTTATATCTTAGGCCAAACTTACCCACGTTGAAAAAAACCAAAAATGCAATTCCCTGGTCTATTGCCTGTAAATTCCCGTTTAGTGAATAAAGCCCCAAAGTGTAACCTTCAGTGTGATTCAATGGCTCCTTCTCACAAATCTGAAACTGAGGGTCTCCAGAATAACCCTTCACCTCTCCAGTGAGCTGTGGCCAAAGGGACTTACAGAGCAGAATGCGCTTTTCGCATGTGCACTTTGACAGACACAATCTGCAACATGAAAATGGCAGGTTTCTACATGGTGCGTTTAATGGGATTCCTAATCCTGCTCAGACTTTTACATTAAGCAGCCAGAGCTGAATTTAAATGCCTGATCAGCTCCATGTTTTCACATACACCGTGTTGTGTGAAATGAAGTTTGAGTAATCACCCATTAATGAATCGTGCTGGGTCTCCGTGATTAATACCAATACTGTCAGCCGCAGCATTCCAGAGACGCTCAACCCGTTCTCACAGTCCAGTCAGTGATCTATGATTATAATATGCGCTTAAATCTGTACGTTGTGTTAGAAAGAGATTTACACAAAAATATATCTTATTTCTCATATAGCTCTATTCATTTAAATGCATAAAGACATGCACTACGCCATTCAAGAACCACATCGGGGATCTGGCCTGCTCTGTATTTTCAAATATGTTTATAAAATGCATTTATTTTTTTGTTTAATTAAAATTTTTGTCCTATTCTCCATGTAAGACAGAAGAGAAGCACTTTTAAGCAATTGCATCAAAGACCGGCGTTCACATTTGCTTACCTATGTTTACCTTTATTTAATGCAACTTCTGATTAAAATAGGGTTTATCCACTAAACAGAGCCTGGAGAGTTAGTAAGACCGTTTTGTAATTCAAGCCAAAGGCATCGACAGCAGTGCAAATTCCAATACTATGGATGGCAACTGTGACATAGCAGTTACATGTAATCTAGAAATCCTATGATAATCAGGCTGCTGGGGCATCGTTCGGGAAAAAGGTTTATACATATCTGATACTTCAAGATTAGCATTTAGCAATTTAGAGTAATAGTTGGATATTTTGTTTTTCCTTCCTTGAAGGCTGGTTTTGGCTGTTAGTTTGCAAGGCATTTGTCATTCTGGATTGTGAATAGTAAACATTCTTCAGCTTTTAAACCCTTAAGGACACATGACGGAAATATTCCGTCACGATTCCCTTTTATTCCAGAAGTTGTGTCCTTAAGGGGTTAAATTGGTAACAAAAAACCCCCAAACCTGTACAACTGCTTTGATTTTAAGGTCGTTGTAATTTTTTATTTTTTTTTAAGCCTTTTGGGTGGAAGTTCACGGAAAATGTTCATGGGTGGGAGACACTCTCTTCATAGGCACTGTCGCATTTCTATGCCATTTAATCAAATTAAGGACCGTTTCCACGTAGTCTGGGTTAGTTCTCCCTTTAGTGCTCTGTGTCAGCTCGCGGTCTCACCCAATGAATGAAGCTCTATTCGCCCAGGAGTAGAACAAGTGAAGTTCTGTTTTAAAAAAATAAAATAAAAAAATTGCCCGAGTCCTGGGAGTGTGAAGATTTAATTAATGTGCAGTTAATCCATTAACATTGCTGTGAAAACAATTCAGCCTAAATGGATTACTCGTGTGATAATTAAAGCGATGCTGTGACAGGAGCCCTGATAGGATAGCAAAACGTAATTCCCGCATCCCGTGTATTGAGATTATTTCATTGACCATTAAATATTTAAAGTCACACAGGGTTATTCACTAAAGTACGAGTGGGGCAAAACCATTTGTTTATGGTGATATTTAAACTGCAACTTTCAGCCATTGTTCAGAAATGGACGAGGAAAACATGAATTTGTCTATAATAAACTAACGCAGACCAAAAAAGCGAAAATAAAGACCACTTTTAAAAACTCCATACAATAAAAATAACAAGTTTTCACCCCTGGAGGGCTCTGTGTTCATAGACAAAGCAAGGTAAGAATTTCATCCTTTTTGTGCTTTTAATTGTGAGTCAGAGCGCCTTTTACTAAATTTAGCTGGAATTATTGTTCCCTCCCCCAATACCCCACTAGTTTTATTAATACCGATTTTTAAATTCAGACATCGAATGCATCCAGTTGGTGCAGATTCTGTCAGGAGGACCACATTTCGATTGGGTTTGTCTTTAATAAATGCGAGAATTGCCAATACGGTCGATTTCACAAAAGTTTGTCCATTAGGACAAAATTCTTGACAGCCCTAAATGCTTCTTAAAACACATTTATTTGGCAACAAACATCCCAAATGACCAACCTTTTGAAAGACAGTCCAACTATGGGACTCAAATTCCTGTGCCTTTTCCTTTCAGTCACAGAGAGAGACTCTTCAAAAAGCAGGATTTTAATAAGGTATATTTTCCAATAATCAACAAGTTTTATCCTTAACCCCTCCACATGGTCAGCTTTTGGTACTGCAGCTGTTTGACACCTATCTGACTTATAGGCTAGGTATTTCTCAAACATCCGCTGTACTATAGGATTGAAAAACACTAGGTTAAACTGGCTGAACCCCCCCTTCTGTGTGATATAATGACAAACAATATAAACTGCTTGACACAAGCTTTGCACACTAATAAGGTAAGAAGAAAACCTACTTTTGTACACTAATAATTATCATGATATGGGCTATTGACAATACTGAGATGGTTTATCCCCCTTTATACAAGAATAATTAAACAAATCTGTTTTTTTTACATTCATTTATTTTCCCAGAAATTTCAGTGATTCCAAGTATTGTGGTATTTTAATAATATTTACATGGGCTTTCCTTTCATGTAGGTGCTGCAAGTGAAGATGTCAAAAGTCCCAAGGTCGACTGGCCAACCCCCGATATGTGCCCCGCGTGCCATGGAGAGGTGAAGGGCGTTCACAATTGGAATGAAGAGGAAGTGCTTGTGTTCCTTAAAAAGCATTACGGGAGCAAAGATATTTCTCTGCTGTACTCCGATCCAAACAACGACAGGATAGAAGTCAAGATACCTCCATTCACCAAGCCTCCAGGACATGTGACAGGAGATAAGAAAGACCCAAAACACGGGCTTAAATCAGACACTTTAGATAAACTGGTACCAGACCACCTAGACAAAAATAAAGATGGTGAACTGGGCGCTGGTCACAAAGACCTCAAACTTTCCAGTTTTTTAGGACTTGGGTTTTCAAATATAGATATGAGTCTGTGTGTTGTCCTCTACATCACATCAACATTGTTTTTAATGATTATGTACTTCTTTTTCAAAGTTCGCTCCAGAAGGTGGAAAGTAAGGTATAATAGACCGTACGTGTAATTATTTTTTGTTTTCTATTAATATTCCATAATGAAGAAGACTACTAAAGGCCGCAGACTTTTGTGCTTGATCAGGGATTTTTTTTTTTTCTTTTTAGATTGTTTTAGAATCGTGTTTTGCCTGACTTCCTCAAAGTGTTGTTGAAGAGCACTTGGGTTTACTTCTGTGAAAAAGACCAAAGAACCCGAAACATGCAGCATAAGGGTGATCACCTAAGACTTGTGCCATAATATTACTGCCAAATTGGTGTGATCCTCTCAAACAAATAAAAAGCTCTCCTTTTCAACGCTGTCGCCTACGATTTGGGATTGAGAGTTGATCTTACTAAAATAGGTCTTAGTGGCATTAAAAAAAAAGTTATACAATGATGAGCAGTTGTTTTGACAATATAGCTATTTTACATATTGTAATCTGGAGGGACAGCTTAATCACAAGTCCAAGATCCACACTTGTGGTCATTTGCCAGAATCCGGGTAGACCTTTGTGCAACAACCAACTGTTCGTTACCTTTGGTGTTAATGTCATCACTCTGCAGTTCCAACAAGGTTTTCATTTCACAATACTGTACCACACACACACAGAATATTCCCCGTGGCGATGTTTTTGCCATTTCCTTGTGTGTATTCTGAATCCCCTCCGTTACACGTGGCCACCTAAACGCCTATTCAGTTTTCCCGAATGCATTGTATCAAGAAGGCTCATCAGTTCCTAGTACTACAGCCGATATCAAATTTCTGCTACTTTTGTTATTAACAAAAATAGCAGAGCTTTGTTACAAATCCCCGTCACCAAAAGGACATCTGTTAACGTGACGTGGAGACCTCCTTCCCTGCTTTATATACTGTTGGCTGTGTGTTTATATTTATATACGGATGCCTGAAAAGTTTAATTTTCTGAGGGCTTGAGATCCTTGTTTAAGCCAAGGAAATGGCGTTTGTATATACTGTAATTATGTCTTTTTAGCGTGTTACATTTTTGTTTTTTAAAAGGGATGTAAATACTCTAAGGAATGTATTGTGTACGGACAGAAGCAAGAAATGGCTTGGGGCAGGAGGATTAGCCTAATTCACAACACATGCACAGTGTTACAATAGTTAACGATCATTTTAGAAGTTTCTAACTACCCCATTCACACTTCTGTCTGCTGGGTTTAATTGTGGGGCCAAATCTAAAATAGTTTTGGAAAACCTAAATTAACTGGATCTGCTCTCTCTTTTTATTTATTTTTTTCAAACATCCATTAAAGGGTTTTAAATGCCAAGCATCATTTTAAGAGAATCTGAAATCGTTCTGGGTTAAAATGAATTTTGTGTCCTTCATAATAGAACAATTATTTAACATTGTTGGGATTTGGGAGCGGTGTGGGGGTTAGTCAGACTCAAATTGCTCCACAGCCAGCTGAACAGAACGGATGGCCAAATTTTGCTTATATTTTGGACTGAAACTGCCATTGTGATCAGACATCAATGATGCTGGCTAAGCATACAAGCAGCTGTAGTCTACGTGAACTGGAGAATAACTGTACTTTTTTCCAAAATTAGCTTTTTTTTTTTTTTTTTTTAATATATATCTCTTTAATGTGTTTCTGTAACACCTTCTTTGCGGTCTTAAGAATCTGAGTATTAGCCATGCCTTGCCTTGATGGGTCTATATTTTAACAAACTGTGCTTTATGATGTAGGCTGGGGCTGCCTATATAGGGTAAAAAGTAAAACTCAGTTGAAGTGCTGGTAAATATTTATATATCTGCCAGACCAGCCTGATGTATATTGATACCCCTCACAGAGAGCACTTACCTGTCATCTGGGATACTGTTAATATTCAGCGACCATTATAAATAATGCAGCCGTGTGTTCTATGTTTCATAGTATGGAGGGTGTAGATGTCTGTGTGTTTACTTGTCATGCATTCACCACTGTGTGCAACGTGGAATTCTGGAAGGGGTAGGGAGACGTCTGCCATATAACGAAGCTGCGAGATCCGTTTATTTTTAAATCTTTCTAATTGGTGGATTATTGGTAATTTTATGATCCAACAGTAGGTTTCTATATTTTGAATTGGCGATGTGTCAAACAACTTACATGTTATGTTTTGCTACCAGAAGCCTCCACCCTTTCTTGTAGTAGTTCCTTTTTATCAAGACTATGGTTAGAAAAACCTAATGGCCGTGGGTTTGGGAAATCTAATTCTAAAGACTTGCATTAATGCCAAAACCTTACTAAACTTACTAAGGATGGACCATGTGAACTGCCAGAAACACGAAGTGAATTACAATTTGTAGGCCACAGTAATTGAACAGGGAATTGACTTGGAAAATGTCTGTTTCCCTGTTTTCTATATGTATTAAACCTTTTAAAGGACTGTAAAGATTTGTCAAAAAAAAATTAAAACCGGTCTCTTTCTCGTCGTTTTGGCAACATATTTCTTGGCGCTGTAAGAATGAATTCCATTTTTTTAATCTTTTTTTTTTCTTCATATTGAGCCAGCTTTGTACGATGCAATGTAATATTGGAAATGCCTGTGTAGCCATATTAACTTCCACGTTTCAATGGCAATTCACTCACTGAGTCGTGAAACACATTGTAGCGCTGTATCACCTTAAGCTACCTCATTGCAAATATAAAACTCCTGGGCCTGCAATAAGGCACATACAGCGCCTATGAAAACCAAATAAAATACTGTGGGGAAAATTGCAGTGAATATTTTATGTCTCGGTTTGTGAATGTAGAACAGTTATCAGATTAATATACCGATACTTTTTAAATGCCCGTCTATCAAAAATCTTTAACTTTACTGTAATTTTATAAGTTCCTTTCACAAATATATTTTCATTACATTGTAACCTTCTACATTACAAATGTGGGTAATTAATTCTGGGAAACTTACAGTAAATGTAAGATATTTAAAAATTAAAAAAGCTGCCATGCCCACCTTATACGACCTAAACACTCAAAACTTTTTCAAACTGGCTGTAAAAGTATTATATACTGACTTTAATTTAACTATTTGTTTGTTTTTACATTTTCTTACACGGTCCAATGCCGTCTGTGTGTATATATGCAGATACATTTTGTAAAGTCAGGAGATCTGTCTATTTTGTATTGAACAATTTAAATAAATGACATGCAAATTGAGATTTCTTAGTCTCTGAGTATTTCATTTTAATTGCATTTATTAAACTGCGACTTGTGATTTTGTAGAATTTCAAAATTAGAATTTGTGCATCCCTCCTACTACGATTGGTCTAAATTCTTCCATTCGTTTCTCTATCACAGTTTGCTACTTAATGTAGTTCTGTCACTAAATTGAAAAACCTGTTTAAAACAATCTGAACATACAAATATTTAGAATATTTCCACGTAAGGAAGCAATATTCTTGTAACTACCAGTTCTGACTGGTTCAGCGTGGAGGCAACCATTTTGAAATGATCAGTTTCCAAACGTTAACGTACCAAAAATTACTAAAATGTAGAGATCATGTGATGTCGGCAGTCAATCTGAATCTGCAATCGCCCCCTGGAATAGAAAAGAGGGAGGAAAGCTAAACTGTTGCTCTGTTACTAGTACTGCCTGACCCACCAAAGTTTATTGATGGGCACTACATGAAAAGTGTTGTCCTGCAGTATGTAGAATTTAAATGCCGCAATATTCCTCACTGATCTCTTCCTACCTGCAGCGTTTTAAACATGGCATACTGCAGGCCAGCACTACGTACATGTGAGGTGTCGAAGGGAGTCTTGGCGGATCTGAGTTTTTAAGGCAAAACAATTTATTCAGCAATTATTCATTTTCTGAAAAAACTTAATTTTATTATAGATTTAAAAGTGATGAGAAAGGGTATGGGTGGTGAGGGGGAGGGATTTCCTATACACGGAGATACTTTAGTAAGTCAACCTGACCATTACAATTAAAGATTCTAGTTTTACCAGCAGATGGCAACTAGGAGTCTAAACATTGACACTAAATAGAAATATTCATGAAAGTGATCTGCCGTATGTGAAATGTTATACACCTCGTTTGGTAAGGGACCCAATTTAGAGTCATGGGGGAGGAAGGGAGTGTAGGCGGCCACAAATACTACTTGTGTCGATATTAAATGAAGCCATTTCAAAGCTAAAACTTGTCAAAAAAATGTTTATTAAGCTTTAAAAATGTTCTAAATGTTGTACTCATTTCTTCTGTTGGAAATCTCTTAAACTGCTGAATGTGCGCATGTTGGGCCTATTTCCATTTAGCTCTCCTATGTTACGTTCTCGGTGCATTTTACTCTATTCCTGCACCAGTGCGAATACCGCTTACAAAGCTTTTAATGCGTGATGACATTTTCCTGTTAATTTTAATATTAACCCATTTTACTGTTTAATTGTCTTCGCTGACTAATGAGACCATACTAAGACTGAGGATATGCTATGCAAATCCGCTTCCTCTCTCCAACTAAGAATCTGGGTTCACTTATTGAAGTTGTGAAACTTTAAAGGGACACTATAGTCACCTGAACAACTTTAGCTTAATGAAGCAGTTTTGGTGTATAGAACATGCCCCTGCAGCCTCACTGCTCAATCCTCTGCCATTTAGGAGTTAAATCCCTTTGTTTATGAACCCTAGTCACACCTCCCTGCATGTGACTTGCACAGCCTTCCATAAACACTTCCTGTAAAGAGAGCCCTATTTAGGCTTTCTTTATTGCAAGTTCTGTTTAATTAAGATTTTCTTATCCCCTGCTATGTTAATAGCTTGCTAGACCCTGCAAGAGCCTCCTGTATGTGATTAAAGTTCAATTTAGAGATTGAGATACAATTATTTAAGGTAAATTACATCTGTTTGAAAGTGAAACCAGTTTTTTTTCATGCAGGCTGTGTCAATCATAGCCAGGGGAGGTGTGGCTAGGGCTGCATAAACAGAAACAAAGTGATTTAACTCCTAAATGACAGTGAAATTGCAGGGGAATGATCTATATACTAAAACTGTTTATTTAGCTAAAGTAATTTAGGTGACTATAGTGTTCCTTTAAAGCACACACAAGTGGCCTATATGTAAAAACCCAACTACTCTACAAGAGTCTAAGAAATGCCTACCGTACTATCATTCTTAAATGGCCAAAAACATTGTCATTGGCGTTAACCTATTCTGCATCTAAGTATGGAAAAATAGACACATTGCAAAAACAACAAAAATGATCGAAGTCATGATTACGTTTATTTGTGGGATTTATTCACTAAACTCTAAATTTCAAAAGTCTGGCTACAATATCCAAACTGTGGCTGTCCTGGACTGGAGAATCCGTTTTATTTTAGCTGAAACTTTTGCCATTTGGATTCACTTCAATTCAGAGATTAGTGAGTGGCAAAAACTGTTCCTCTGCTGCGTGGTCATTAACTTCACCTTCAGGATTATTCACTAAGGTGTAAATTGTCAGGAATTAAAGTGAATTTCAATTTATTTATTTTTTACTAGAATTACTTTGTTAGTTTAGTTGTTTTGGCTTTAAAAGTTTAGATTCGCTCTATGCTCAGCCAATTGCAAAATAAAGAACATTAGACAAAAAATAAATAAAAATTGGGGGATTCACTTTCAATTCTTTTCAAATACACCACAATTCCAACTTTAGAAAATAACCGCTCTAGAACAAGCAAGATCTGTTCTCCACGCTATTAGAAACACCGATATGGTTATTTACTAAAAGGGAAAATTGTGGTGAATTAAAAGTGAATTTCCAGTGTAAGAACAGGAACCATATCGGACAGTCTGGCTATTTCGGTCTTAAATTTTAAATACACTTTTTGAATTTCAGACAATTCTCCCGTTGGTAAACAACCCTGCAGCTATTATCTTAGCCTCCTAATAATCAAGCTGAGTTGGTTAAAGCACCAGCCAGCATTATGAGGACTGAAACACAAGACTGAATTACCCCTGCAAACTCTTGTCTCTAATCCTACTAGATGTCATTTAAAGTAAAAGCGTGTCCAGTCCAGTGTATTTCCGTTGTATTTAAACAAGCTGGCTGGTTCGCCGATGGAAATTAGACACCAGAGGAGCACCTTACCCAGCAACAGTTAAATAAAAGAAGGGGGAGGGAGGCTTTAAATGAAAAATTAGTTAGAGAGCCATCTGTCGCATTCTACCAGCTCGTTCAGCTTCTGTCTTGCGACAAATGAGACAAGGTGAATCTAACGGATATTTCCTACCAGCCATGTTTAATCCAACCTGCTGCTATTGGGAGAAAGGCGGCGTGTCCGTTTAAAGATTTTTATTGCATTCGCAAGTATTAATGATTTCGATTTAGCAAAAAAACTATAAAGAGCTAAACGGGGAAAAACGTAATATTTTTCTAAACATTTTTGTCACAATGACACAATTGTATCCTCATTTTAATTAGATGCTTTAAAGACAAAAAAAAACAAAACACAACAACATGGTTAAGGACTGGGTGATTAACATAATACAGACGGCGATCTGTGATCAGTCTGAAAATATGGATTATTTTATAATCTGCTCTTATTAAGCAGCAATATGGTTGTCCAATTTTAGACAATCTAGTTTATTCACTATAAAGCGATTGTTACGAATTAAAAACCCGAACTGCTAAACTAAAGCAAAAAAAGCCAAGTTGTAAATCTAGCTGAATTTAATAACTCAAATTAACACTTCTTGCTTACATTCTGCAACTTTGTTTTCAAATAATGATTTAGTAAATAGATACATTTAAAGGTTTGCTGATTTAGTTGGGAGAAAACAGGAGATACTGGCCCATCTTTCCTTTAAAGATTCAAGGTTTTTTTTCGTGGTTTTTCATGAATTCTGCATCCTGTGGCTTCCAGGGAATTAAAATCCTGCCTGACCAGTAATTGAAATTCATGTGCATCTAGTAAATACTTCTTTGCTAATCCAAGGTGAAATTTAAAGGGAGACTATAGGCACCAAAATAGCTTAAAATTAAGCAGTATTGGTTTTTAGATCCTCCCACTGCAGTCTCACTGCTCAATCCACTGCTATTTAGGAGTTAAATCACTTTGTTTATACAGCTCTGTTCACACTTCCCTGCATGTGACTCGCACAGTCTTCCGAAACACTTCCTGTAAAGAATCATCTAATGTTTACACTTCCTTTACTGCACAGTCTGTTTAATTTAGAATTTCTTATCTCCTACTCTGTCAATAGCATCCTAGACCCTGCAGGAGTCTCTTGTGTGTTCATTTTACAGAGCAGGAGATAAAAACTTCTAAAACAAGTTAACATCTGAATTCAAATTAACCCTTTTTTTCATGCAGGATGTGTCAGTCACAGCCAGGGGAGGTGTTGGTAGGGGTGCATAAACTGGAACAAAAGTGATTTAACTCCTAAATGGCAGTGAATGCAGTGAATTGAACAGTGAGACTGCAGGGGCATGATGTATACACTAAAATTGCTTCATTGAGCTAAAGTTGTTTTGATGCCCATAGAGTCCATTTTAAGACAAAAATAGCTAACCTGAAAAAAATTTGTGCAAGTCATCTATGCTTCCACTTCAGCTACTTTGGCCTTAAATTTGAAATTCACTTTAAATTCTCAAAAAAATCTTCCTAAAGGGAATTATTCTCCCAAGTAAAAAGAAAAAAAAATGCCAGTTCCAAATATCCTTTTAGTTATATGTAAAAGAGTAGCAATTAAAGGCCAGGTACCAGTTAATTCTGAATCTCCGCCTCTGTGTAACCAGGTCACACTATAACCATCCCATGAGGTCTATTGGTTGGTTTGCACAGATTAGTTTACATTTGCGAGAAATCTGTAACAGATTATGGTGAAACCGATTCAGACTCCTCCAATCATACAGATTCTGCTAAATAATGATTCTGTTCTACCTATGCTATATATTTAGAGATATTTCAGAATGGATGTAAGTATTGAGCATCCCAGACCATCTTCGCCGGGTACACATCCTACATATGGGTAAATGTATAAAACGTGGTGGAAAAAAACTTTTAAAAAAAATGAAAGAATCTAATAAATATATTAAAGGTAGAGTGTCCTGACTTTATCAATGTGTGTATGACCCCTGGAAGGGGAACCAAAGGTTGTCCGATCTAATAAGTGAAACAGTGAAAGATTCTAGAAAATGACTGTATATATCCTCTAAGTACAATCAGGACTAATCTTTAG